TGTCTCCAGTATGGAATTGTGCATACATGACTGAATCCCAAATGGCTATTTATTAGATGTATTATTCACCAGAACTACTGACGAGACCCATGATATACTCAGTAAAGTGCACAGTGACCTAATATATCAAGATAATGATGACATATCATGATGTGCCCCACCTTTATGGCTGATTGGACATCAGAGTATGGAATATCACTTACACTATGTGTGTGTATGTGTGTGTTTGGTGTGTGTGTGTGTGTGTGTGTGTGTATATGTGTGTGTGTGTGTGTGCGCATGTGTGTGTGCGTGTGTGTGTGTGTGTGCAGACAGGAGAGGTGTGGAGTGAAGTGTCAGCTGAGCTGGAGTTGGAGGGTGTCAGGCCCATCAGTCCGGATGCGGAGGCTCTCAGCACCATCGCCCAGACAAGCGAAGACACAGCCAGACATGTCTGCTCATTGCAGCAAAGCATTCTGGACCAGAAGAAGCAGGAAGACCTCCAGGAGGAGAAATTGGCATATAAAGAGGTCGAACACGCCTTTTTAACGATGTTTATTCACTCTCATTCTCACAGCCAGCTTCTGAAATATCTTTATCCTTTCATACTGCCACCACATTTGGCCAGGCTGCACATACGACGTCCAGTACATATGAAGCTGATTGCTGTATATTTCAGAAAGACTGTTCTAGAGGCGGGGAATATGACAATATTTTAGCATTATTGTGATAAAATTGTGATTATTGTGATTAAAGAACACGGACCAACTGCATGATCGACTTCTTGTTTTTTCTCATTATAAAGAGGAGCATAATTAGCCCTGTTTAATTAGATGTGGTGCAGTACAGTAATTGAAACGCTGAATAAAAATCAGAAAAGAGTTTTCGGTGGCTGTTTTTAAAATGGCACTACTAGTACAATGTGTCTGTGTCAAAATATCTTGATATGCATTGTGTGTCATGAAAACGTCTTTATCATGACATATATTTTCAATTTTGTCCATCCATAGACTGTCCACATGCTTACGTGCTACAAATATCATCTTAGGAACTACATGACTGCACTTGTGACTGAAGTTGTGAGTATTTTTTTTCTTTTCAAAATGCAGATCAGCTTAAACCGCAAGCAACAAGAGCTAACTGCAAAGTCCTGGCAGCATCATGTTGCAAAGACGTCAGACTACAAGATCTTAAAGGTGCGTACCTGTATTGTGAATTTTGCTGAATTGCCTTACAGTTAGTCTATGAATGACAACACATAGTAATATTTACTTCATTTCCATCTTCGGACTCTTTGCCTTCGCTTAGGAGTCTAAGCTGCTGCAGGAGAGATCTATCGAGTCGTCTCGGCCGAAGGAAAAATCGGACGGGTTTATTTTTCACTCCACTCATATTCCCGGCCTGCAGACTACTGTAAGAGCTGTGTACTACAATAATATAAACTCTGTCCCAACATATTACAGCTCTGATGCTGTCTGTGTGTTTGATTAGATGTTGGTGAGATTCTGAATGATGTCACTTGTTGAAAAATTGCTTATTAATTACACTTAAATGGTAAAAGTGTTTTTTTTTGATGGTACTAACCAACACAAGTGTAGCACAGATGAACCAGACCATTTTAGTGTGTTTTGGCCATTGATACAGTGCTGAGTGAGATCACAGGATGTAAAATGTAACAGTTAATATCTCAGACACAACACAACTCAGGATGAATGATGATTTTATAGCACAAATCCAACACAAACAATACTTTTATTCGTTTTTGACTGTATGGAGTGCCAAACTATAGAGGTAGCGTCTGGCTGCTTTTCATAAATGAACGTGACATTGTTAAAAGTCAGCGTGAACCATGTGTTTTACTATCGTACCTTGACCTATTACCAAAATGAAACATGGTATCAGTTTGACTTTATAAGAAATAACTGACACATTCGTTGTGTTTTCATCTTAGTAAATGCAAAATAAGATCTATTTCACAGTTAAACAAAAGCACATTATGAGTCCATGGGCTGTAAACATCCTGTGATATATCTCTCTGATTTGTGTTTGACGATCCATTGTAAATGTTTAATGAATAGCATGTGGTTTTTTGTGTAACAGAATTTCTTCAGCCGTGTCTTGACGATTGACAGCACCCCTGCAGCTCTGACTGGAGGACCCCTGGCAAATACAGATTTAGCCCTGGAGAGGGTGCCTATTGAGGGGGGAGCACTGAGGAAAGTGGCACCTTCAAATGCTGAGCTGGAGCTTCCCAACACAGTCACTGTCAAATAGACACCTCAGTTAGGACAATCAATCTAAAAAAAAATCCCTGCACAGTTTAGCATCTCTACCACAGCTCTAATGCACCTAATTCAACAGCTCTGAGACCTCCAGGAACCGGAGGTTCTCCCCTCTGCTCAGATATATAGGACTTTTATAAATAAATCAGAAATTATGCACAATCCTTCAGATAAATATATATATTTATTTTTGTCAGACTGGAAGCTGCTACACATTTGTTTCATGCTGATATGTAATAGTGTCCATTTTGTCTGCTTTGTTGAGTTGGCTCAACTTCTGTATACAAACAAGCAGCATTCTATCATGCTACTGGAGGATTGTTGTATGTGATTGTATAATACATCTTAAGTGCACTCGGAGGCCATTTGCTCAAGCTTTTTTGATCGAGGAGACTCTATGTTGTTGCTTTGGGAACAAAACCTCATATCTCCAAAAAAGAAACTTAACAGAAAGGAAAAAAAAAAACATTTCTAACTTAAAGAATATCTTAAATATTCTTAAAGTCATTTTGGATCATTTCTATGGGTCTGTTCTTCATTTATTTTTAATGCAGCGTATTAATGATTTAATTTGCAGTCATTTAGTAAATTTGTGCAGTTCCTCTTTAAAAATCAATACTCACTTGTAAATATCATTAACACTAATGTAAAAACGTTTCAAATATACTATGTTGACGTACACATTGACTAGGTTTCACAAGGATTCCCCTTTTGTACTGCACAAAAAGACGGGGATACTAGCCTTGGTGCTTTGTATCAGGCCATACAGAGTTATTTCATTAATCTAAACTAATATTTAAGTCTGATAATTGCCTGATAATATAAGTCTGATAATTGCCACTTTATTTCATTCTAATGCAAATCAGTATAAATAATGTATAGTGTCTGCATTTACTGGTTTTCACTGTAGAAAGTACAAAGATTTCTCTATATTTTGAATGCACAGCTTTTGAAAGTAATGCTAGCAGGGATATTTATGGAGAGGATTTCATGCCAAATTGAAAAGCAATCACCAAGCGATGATTCCAGTGGAAAAATGTGAGATGCAAGGCACACAACATTACTTTTCCATAGTGGCATGCAGACTATGCGCCAAAATAAAAAAAAACAAACCCTCTGTTACATTGCTTTCACACCGCTTTACCTCATTACTGAAAAACAATACATGAAGGTTTGCATTTAAAAAGAAAATGCTGAATTCATGTGAGAATCTAATACAGTCCACTTTAAAATGTAATGAATGCACAGCTATATTTCTTTTCACTGTGCAGTACTTTAAACAGATTTTCCTCACTGAAATGCAACCATAACAGTGAAAACAGGCACACATGACATTACCTTTCCACTGTGACATGCAGAATACGTCCCAAAATGAAAAGCAAAACCTCGCTTGTCCTCATTTTCGTACTTCAAGATAGATAGATAGATAGATAGATAGATAGATAGAACTTTATTGATCCTGAAGGGAAATTGCAGTGTTACAGCAGCAAGACATATAATTGCACATAAACTATGCAGAAATAAAATAGGGATAAAAACAGACATAAATTAGGTAGAAATAGAAAAATAGACATAAATTAAGTAAACTATGAGAGAGTAGGAATAAAAGTATATCTATTGCATATTTACATAGCATATTAGACAGATGTAGCATGTAAGACAGATGTCAACATTCAAATGTATTTGCCTCATTGAAAAAAAAGCAAGTTGTGCCTTCAAATTTCAAGGCAGATTGTATTCAGTTTTGACATGAATTCATCATTTCATTTTTCAGAGGTAAAGCAACGTGAAAAATGTAACAGAGGTTTAGTTTTTCCTTTAGGGGTGTGTTTTGCATGTCGCTATGGAAAAGTAACGTCACGTGTGTGTTGCATTTCATGTTTTTCCACTGTAGCGACTGCTTTTCAATCTGGCATGAATTCCCCTCTATAGGATATTAGCTGCGGTATTACTTGATATCAAAAAGAAAGGCAGTGGTGTCGCTCACCACTGAAGAAATCTGTGGAGGTCCAGAGAAAATCCAGAGATAGTTAGAATTTTCTGGACTGTTATCTTGAGGTCACATTTTGAAGAACACAACTTATTTTTCTTATGATCTCAAGATAACAAAACTTGTCTAATCTTGAGATCATGAGAAAGATAAGTTGCGATATCAAGAAAATAACTTGTGTTATCTTGAGATCACAAGAGAAATTGTGATAGCGAGAAAACAACTTTTGTTATCTTGAGAAAAGGACTTGTGATCTCAAGATAACAAAAGTTGTTTTCTTGATATCACAATTTCTTTGTCTACCTCATGGATCCTTTGGACTTCCATAGAAATCCCTGCTTGTGGCAAAGATTATGTGATCTTGAGATCATGAGAAAAACAAGTTGTGACATTAAGAAAACAACCATTGTTATCTTAAGATCACACGATAAATAAGTCATGATCTCAAGATAACGGCCCAGGAAAAATATACTCCGGACTTCTGTAGAAATCCCTGCTTGGGGCAAAGATTATGTGATCTCAAGATAACAAAAGTTGTTTTCTCGAGATAATGTGATAATCTTGATAATCTTGAGATCATGAGAAAAACAAGTTGTGACATCAAGAGAACAACTGTTGTTATTTTGAGATCACAAGGCAAATAAGTCATGATCTCAAGATAACAGTCCAGAAAAAAATATACCCCGGACTTCTGCAGAAACCCCTGCTCGTGGCGAAGATCGCGCTTGTAGCCGGACGCTATTTTAAAGGAAACCCGAAACTCTTAGTTTGAAATGCGGCGCTGCTCTTCCGCGCTTGCATATTAAATGAGCTGGGAGCCGCCGGACTCAGTGGCAGTGCTGTGACTGGGCTGAGCGGACGGACTGGGACTGTAAGTACCGCTAATCGCGCATTTCTGCCTTTGGTTTCACACAATACTGAACTTCTCTGTCATGCGGCGCTGAAAATCGCAGCGCTTTTATGAGCCGGTCTGCGGCGGCGGGTCCAGCTCGCCATCCAGCGGCTGGGCGATGTGGCGATGTGGCAGCGCAGCGGCTGCACAGCTGGAGTCGGAGATTTATTTAATAATAATATTAATAATAATAATGAACGCCTGGCGTTTCTTCAGGTGGTCGCGATCTGCAGCGACTGTTATGCTGGGCTTACACATTTTTTTTTCCAGCCCAAACTGGGGACTGCGGTTTGGTCCATTCAGATGCTGAATCTCTGTAACCAGTACTGACTGGTTTGGGGCCGGACTCCATCCGCACGGTGCAGAATGAATGATGCAATTACCAAACACGGATTGCACGCGAGTCGACTCGTTCTGCTGCATGCATTACTGCTTTTTATTCAAAACGCAGCAGTAATAGGGCACAAACCAGCTCTGCTGCCACGAGACTTAATTAGCTAATCAAGACCTTATTGAACTGAAATGTGAGCGCGCGCCGTGTTGGATAAGAGTGAGAACATCTCTGTGATCAAAGTTCATGTTGGCCTCACACACTTTGCTCCAAAGGCCTCAGTAGCAAAACGCTGATATGATTTGGTGAATATACATAGAATCTGAATGGCCAAAAAAAACCCTTAATCTTAATGCTGATCTGCTCTGAGGTTTGAGGCTGAACGCAGCTGAAAGAGACAGTCTGCTGTAGTTCTCCAGTGCTGCTCCTGCAGCCATCTTTGGTGCAGTTGTTCATGAGAAATCTCACCGTGCTGTTGCACAAGCCTGACTCAAAGACTCTGTTTGGCATGTTATGACTGGTAGTTAAAGGACCCATATCATGGAAAAAACAAATGGTCATTGTCACCATCACTCCTAAACATCATGCCTATAACAGGTTGTTGGACATCCCGTTTCAAAATCATGGGCATTAATATAGAGTTGCCCTCCTTTTCCTTTTGCGGATATATCAGTCTATGCATTCTGATAGCAATCACCCCAGATAACCCAATACCATGGTGGCATGCTTTACCCTACTCCAGCACTTACAGTTGGCTAGGGCAGATCTAGCAGGGCAAAAATTTCATGAACTGACTTGTAGTAAAGATGAAATCCTGTGACAGTGCTGTATGAAAAGTCACTCAGGCTTGTTAGTATAACCTATTCTAATCTCTATGGTAATTGCATGGCTATGTGCTTGACTTTATACACCCGTTAGCAGAGGGTGTGGCTGAAACACCTGAACTCAATAATTAGGAGGGGCGACAAACTTTTGACTATATAGTGTATATTAAAACGAAGATGCAAAAAAGGCTGTTTTGGGCATGATCCATTTTGTGATGTCAGAAGAAGCAACACATTTAAACAGGTCCACCTTTTCAGCCTACAACAGTTTAGCCCCGCCCATTCATGTTGAAGTTATAAGGAGTGTTTCAGCCTGGACTGCAGTTGGACTGAGGTGTGAATCAGGTTAGCCAATCAGAGTTTACATCAGTCTTAAAGGCACAGTAACAAAAACAGCCTGTTTAATTCTAAAAATGGAAAATGGACATGCAAAAATGAATTACGGGTGCTGTCAGTGTATAAATTATCACTTGTAAGTGTTGTAAATGAACCTCAAGGGGGGAATGAAATTAAAAATTGTGGATATGGGCCTTTGAGACTTGTTCCATTCATTTCATTGGCTGCAGTGAATAAGACAATAAGCCACAGCATAAACAAGGTTTGGCCAAAGCAAATCTCAAGATTGAGACTGATGCACTACAGTGTATGCTAGAGCAGAACCAGGTGCAAAGTGGGACATATTTTGAAGCAAACCAAAAAACTCTCACCAGCTTTATGCATTTCTTAGTGGTTGTAGCACTGTATCTAGTAATGCTAGATGTGTAGCTACAGTACAAGTGATACTGACAACACACTGAAGTGGAGAGTGTATTATGTTTCCTACAGATATCATTGGGTTCATTCCATGCAGCTCTGTAAAAACAGGACATTTCTAATCCGTGAATAACTCTGCCAATTCAGATGGATATGATTAATTCAAATCATATGCTAATACCAGTACCCAGTGGTTCCAGAAGAAAAGTTAGATAATATCTCAGATACCAGATAGTCGCTATTTGGAATCAGTGGCAGATGTGAAAATGTGGCATTTCTGTTTGCTTTAAATGAAAATTTTCCCTGTGTTTTCAGTGATATGCTAAAAATAAGGCTATTTTTGTGCTTTTAAGACAATTTAAGGCAACTTACAAGTTCTGGAAGAGGTTGAGTGGTTTTGCAAGTGTATATAGCACTAAAAATAGCACTGAAACAAGATCAGCAGTGCTGCTTAGGCACTCGAAGGATGTAATCTGGTCTGGGTGCTAAAACTCAGTCCCCAAAGGCACACAGACCATCATATCAGTACTGCCTGACACTGCAGTGTGAAATTCAGCACCCATGTTTGATACTTAAGAGAAAATCTACATCATAAATTATATCTATATTTATTTTGACCCTTTACTGAAAAAAGAGACAAAGTGCCTCCAGAGTTTCTCCGTTTGGTGCTAAAGCTACACACAGAGCAACAGAAAAGGAAATTTAATTTGTCAGAAATGTAGAGGCATGAAGGCGCATGCAGCCGTTTGGACGTCATGTGATTTGCAGGTTGGCAGCAATTACAAAATAAGAGAACCTCTGTGAAGCTTAAGAGTTCCTTAAAGTGAAACTGAAAACAGAAGTAACCTTTTCCCTGTTAGTTCATGGTTCTGGCCATGTCGTTCACAATTCATCATATCATTAAAAATAAAAAAAAAGGAGTGTTTTCCCAAATTAGTGACTTTTGGTTTTGTGGCAAACACATTTCTCTTTTCAGATCTGAAATAATAGTGGATGAATATTATTTTCAGCCATATCAGTAAACAACTTTAAATGGTTTATTGTTTCAAAATCAAATCATTCAATTTGCTGGGCTTTGTTATCCATGACTGCTAATACAACCGCACCGCTTTCCTCTGCTAGTCGGCTAGTTAGCATTCTGAAAGCTACACGCCTGACAGCAACAAGGAAGGCACCACACCACAGCTCTACACCAAAGTTCATAACCAGACAAAGCGATTATTCGCAAATTTTATGTTTTAGACTCAAAAAAAAAGTGTTTTGCATTGCAAAGCTTGCATGGCTAGCCGATTAGCTCGCTCAGGCTAACCTACACTGTGTCCCAGTTCAGGGGCTGCATCCTTCGAAGGATGCGGTCTATGAAGGCGTGTCCTTCGAAGGCTGCGTAGACCTAGAAGGTTGAACTAAAATGAGATGGTCTGCCTTACAACGGAGCTCTAGTTCTTTTGAAGTTTTTAGAGCCAGAAACTTTGTTTTTATTTTTTCCCTAAAACAAAACAAAACGTTAGCATACGTTTTGCTTCAAACCACATTCAGTGAGGCTTTTTAACATTTGTATCGTTTACTTTTCGAATCAGTTTAAACCTAGTACATTCATTTAAAAGTGTGCTCTTCCTCTGCTGATGCCGCCATGTTCTTGAATCTTTGCCGGCACGCAATGAATCTCGGGATATGTTGGCTGGCGAAGAATCCAACGGGTTGCCATTGAAAAAAGGACACATCTCTTGGCCGCGTATAAAGGAGCCTTCGAAATGGGACAGGCTAGTCGCGCCGCTGTGACGCAATCGGCCTTCAAATGCAGCCTCTGAATTGGGGAGCAGCTCTTGCTGAGGGCAAGTGGGCTACGTTTCCCCTTCTGCACTGACTGGCCACTTGTGTAAAACAGGTGTGACCCATGTCCGGGTGGTGAATCAAAGTGGGTGAGGGCAAGTGAAAAAAGAATTCAAAGGGGGCTCCAGTTTCGAAAAGAGCAGCAAAATTTTATACTTCTTTGTTGGGGTGAATAATATGACAATATTATATCATTATCATGATAAATTACATCATAACATGCTTTTCTCTTATTGTGAATATCGTCAGTACAGTACAGAACAGAACACTGACCAACTGCATATCTTATTACAAATTAGCATTATTTTGTGCAGTAATAAGTGTATAACGTTTAGTAAAAAATCGTTTTTCAACTTTTTTTTTTTTTTGGTCTAATTTCATTTTCAGTTGCAGAAAACAACTAAATATCATGGTACATATTGTGTATTATGTAAATGTCACCTATTGTGATATTATATTTTATTTTGCCATGTCGCCCACCCCTGCTTTTTTGCACCAGTCAGATGCCACATTGAAATGACTAGACTGTTATTTCATCACTGACAATCACTTTATACCACCTATTTTCCATTTTGTACATTTTTGAAAGCCTCTGGTATGTCTAATGTTTGTTTTAGGACAAAATGTAAAATAAACAGATTAAAAAGAGTCATTACATTAGGTGTAAGATGACAGTTTTTGTTGCTTTGCTGCAAAGGTGGACGTCAGGGTTGTGTTATATAACTGAAAATATGAAAACATGGGTGATACATTTCATGTTTTGGTGTCAGGCGGTACTCAAATGTTTTGGTCTGTCCCTTTTAGAACCTTAAATTTCAGTAGCCAGCCTAAACACATTTGTCTGGGTCTGTATAACACCATCCCAACAATAACAGAAGGTCCTCTCAGGACAGAAGGCAGCCCAGCTCCTCATAACTGACATATATCACTGCTGTCGGAACAAAACCTTGTAGCTCTATTTGTGATGTTTTTCAGTTTTTGACATAATTTGAGAATGCCTGTTGTCCTTTACATTGTGTGTGAATTTCAGGATTAATTAACCAAAATAAACGGCCCAAAAGTTGTTTGTAAACAGTCTGGTTCCATTGACTTACAGTAAAAGTAAAGTGTGTTTTTTCCTTCTCCTGTAAAGTTACCATTTTGGAGATACAGGGTTTTGTTCTGACAACAGTGATATACTGTATAATGTCTGTAGTTGGTATTGCAGCTTCAGTTTGGTATGGACCCTCAGTAACAAGGTGGTCTTGTATGCTTTAAATTCTATTGGCCATTTAAAAACAAACAAGACCGCCTTACGCTAAGAGATCTTACATCACCTCTCGTTCTCGTTCAGCATTGACTACACCGGCCTTTTTTCCTCTTTCAGTTCTGTGGCATTCTTGGCCTGTTGCCTGTGTCTCTCGCTGCAGTTGTAGAGCAGCCGTTCACGTGAGAGAACACGGCCTGGTTGAAAATCAAGCCGCCTGCTGCTGCCGTGCGCTTCAGAGGAGGTGAACTCAAATCCTCCCTGGTTGGCTGGTCAGCTGTTTCCATAGCAACTTGGTGCTGATTCAGCAGCGGGTAATCCGGGGAAGAGTTTCGTGTCTAGCATTGTTCTGTAGGAGGAAAAAAAACAGGAGTGTACTTTTTGTCCAGTGTTAGTTTAGGACACGGGTGACTGGTGTGGTCATCAAAAGACCCTAAAATCAATCGTCATGTGATCACTGCTCTCTCAAAGGCTGTTATAAAAAAATACACTGAATATTAAGCCATGCTATTCAAGGCTTTCTCACCTGAGCTTGTTAACATTATGACCCTCAGGCTTCTGATTGCACACGAATGTGGAACGTGTTTAACCTGCCGAACCCCTCTGAGCTTTAACTGAACCTCTCTCCCAATTTTGTACCGTAGTCACCATGGCGGCCGAGCTCTCCACCTCCATAAACATCAAAGAACCTCGCTGGGATCAGGGAACCTTCATAGGCCGAGCGAAACACTTCTTCACCGTCACAGACCCCCGCAACATCCTCCTGTCCAATGAACAGCTCGAGAAGGCGCACAGGATCATTCAGGATTACAGGTACCTGAGCCATTCGCTGACTGGCTGAATGCTAAGGGTGTAAATCTCTGAGCTGATGTGAATTAGATTACATTCATATGCAGCATGAAATGTCAGATTTCACAATTCAGTAGGACTATTTTGGTCTGATTCAGCAGTATTGTGTTATTATACTCTGAATATGGAGTGAAAGTGCAGACGTTCGCCATCTGCTGGTTACATTCAATAGATTTTGAGTCATCATTCATTCCACTTTTGGCAAGTTTTTGATAATGGATTAAAAAGCACTGGGGCATTAGTGAATCAGTCATGTTGTGGCCATAACAGTAGAGTAACTACACTGTTAGAAATAAAGGTAGAGTGCAGGTACATTTTTGTTCATCAGGGTACAAACAATGTAAATGTTCCCTCAAAGGTACAACAGTGTTTTTAGGGTCTAATGGTGAACCTTAAGTAAGTTTTTTTCCTGGTGAAATGTACTTATTTGTACCTTTTCATAACCTAAAGTTTTATAACAGAACAATAAAATAAAAAGCCTGGAGACGAGACGGGGTGTGGAGGCAGAACAGCTTAGAAAATACAATTTTTATTATTTTTTTTTACCCAATTTTCTCCCCAATTTAGTCGTCGCCAATTCCACCCGCTAGTCAGGACTCCCCCATTCACACGATACTACCAGCGCTAGGAGGGTGAAGGCTAACACAGGCTTCCTCCGAGACCTGTGAAGCCAACCACCGCTTCTTTTCGAACTGCCGCTCACGCAACGTCACTGGACAGCCGAACGCACTCGGAGGAAAGCGCCAACCGCCAGATCTGTTACGTCAGCTAACAGACACCTGCACTGACTAGCATCACGTTAAGGGGTTGGGGGGAGAAGGAGGGGACATCCTACCCACCCAGAGAGAGCGAGGCCAATTGTGCTCTCTTGGACTCCCAGCTACAGATGGCTGTAGCATCACCAGGGATCGAACTCGCAATCTCCTGATTATGGTGCCAACCCTTCTGCTGAAAAGGATGTGTAAAAGACGTTAGCTTATGCTAAAGCTAACGTACAGTACACTGTAGAGGGCCTGTAGATCCGTTCTGTTAGTCACAAACTCTAGAGAGAGTCTGTTCATAGCCTTTGTGTTGATTCTCAGGCCCTTATATACCAGCAGCAAAACAAACTAAATTTCATATTATTAGTATTATTTGAACTTTTTTTGACCTCAACAAAATGTTTTATGATAAAACCAAGGCTGCAAATATATTCATTCATTTAATCTTTTGTTCCCTAGACAGGGGGTGGTGACCCCAGGTCTGACAGAAGATGAGCTCTGGAGGGCAAAGTATATTTTTGACTCAGCATTTCATCCAGACACGGGGGAGAAGATGCTGGTGATCGGCCGCATGTCCGCTCAGGTCCCCATGAACATGACCATCACCGGCTGCATGATGACCTTCTACAGGTGAGCAGCGGCAAAGCACAGCCCCAGTCAGGAATCACTGTATGTGCCTTGATATATTCACACAAACTGCTGTCAGGACTGCCTGAGTGGGTTACTTTGTTATTTTATATATATATATATATATATATATATATATATATATATATATATATATATATATATATATATATATATATATAATAGATTTTTTTTTATTCATTAAAATATATTTGTAACATCTAAGTTACAAAATTTCTCAGTTTCAGCATTTCATATGTTGTCTTTGTAGTATTTTCTTTTAAAAATATTTTTCAAAAGTTTACATGATTTGATCATTGTATCCTATTTTTATTTAAATTCTGCATAGCATCCCAACTTTTTTGGAAATGGGGTTGTACTTTACAGCATATGTGTGTTCATTATTTGTAATTTAACTGTAAATAAACTAGAGCGCACCTGTGTCGCACATTTGTGTCTGAGTGATAGTATAGTGTCTCTAATAATTCAGTACAAAGCTTTTTGTTTCTTAAAACAACAGGACAACCCCAGCAGTGCTGTTCTGGCAGTGGATCAATCAGTCCTTCAATGCAATAGTTAATTACACCAACCGCAGTGGAGATGCTCCCATTACAGTGAAGTGAGTGGATATTTCAGAAATTCATTTGCATTGCAGATTGTCACTCAGTGCAGAATGCTCTGTGTTTCCTTCACATCCCACAATGCATTAATGATAACATTGAACGGTCTATTGTTCAGTCAGCTCTGCACAGCGTACGTGTCTGCGACTACAGGAGCGGTCGCCACGGCTTTAGGACTCAACGCACTAGCAAAGGTAACATCCATCAGACATTCACTCTGCACTCAGTACTCTCCAGCAGTGTTTATACACAGAAACTAGAGCTGAACAGTGTTGATAATGTTCAATCTATCATGTTATCATATGGATTTGTAAAAAGAAAGTTAATGAGCCCGTTCTTCCCTAAAATTACTCAAAAGAAAACTTCACACAGTATTGTAAACATTAACAGAAAACACATTTGCAGAAAGACAGCAGATTTTTTTTAATGGTCTTCAAACTGTCCTTTTAGAAAGATTTGAAGCTCGTAGCGAGTGACATATACTATGGTTGTATGGTTATAAACTGTGTATGTAAATATATATAAAAAAATTTCAAATAAAACTGTTTTAGACGCTTAAGTAACAACCAAGTCTGAAATATTTTAATTGTGCAAAACATTAAAAACAAAACTGAACTATAAATGCACCTTTATCGGGGTGTACTGGTGCCTGAATGTAACAGCTGTACCATTTAAGGCGGAATGGGAAATTCAAATAAGACGCAAACTTCAGCTTCACTAATTTTCTAGTTTGTCTTATATATATATATTATATTATATGTGTGTCCCCTACACTCGTCCCTCTGACCGTCAGACACTGCTGGAATGTGGAAAATATTATATTTATACAGCTATCAGTACCAGCTGGTCTACTGGGCTTGAGCCTTGACTGTGTCCTCATTTGGTGCAGCTGACCAAGTCAGGCGGCTACCCGGGGGATTCAGAGGAAATAGAATTGCAAAGTTATCTGGGGTCTATGTTAGGCTGAAGCAAACCCCAAAAGACTGGCAATTCTTTTATGTCTGCTACCTCAAAAACACATTGGACGACTTCAGGTGCAGACAAGACAGCAGGGTCTGCTGTTTTTTCTTTTTCATTTGAAGCCTGACTGAAACATCCCTGGCGCAGCCATCCAGCTAAAGGGGATAACGTTAGCATGGTTTGCACTGTTTGTTCGTCACATTTCTGCGCTTATTTGTGGCATGGTTACCTAGAATGGTTATGACGAAACATATACCTGAGGATGAACTGGTATACGGCTCAGAATTACGCTAAAATGTTGGAAAAACTGAAATGCAGTACCAAGGTGTGTCAGTATTGCGATGTATCAGTATAGACAATATATAGTCCAGCCATACCTTAACCTTCACATGGATATTTACTCATTAACCTATTTATCTGGTAATTACTCTGATCTTGATAAGAGACTTGAGGGCAAACTGTCTCATTGCGTAAGCACGTTCAGGCCACAGTTTAACACAGTTTCTAGATCTTTATTCTACTATTGTGTACTTTTAACCTCACAGCAGTTTCAATAATTGCAGTAAAAATAGCTCATGTTAATTTACACTCTGCATGTCAGAGTGTGGTGTAAAAATACATTGGCTAATTTAAATCCTTCCCACTCTCCAGGGCAGCATAGATAATTAGAGTGGTCATGTTTTTCCCCATAATTTAACTCAGTGTTTTTTTTGGGTTTTTTTTCCCAGCATGTCTCTCCACTTGTAGGACGCTTTGTGCCGTTTGCTGCTGTAGCTGCTGCTAACTGTATCAATATTCCACTGATGAGGCAAAGGTACGATCAGTTTTCAAACCAAGAAATCAAACTGCTTTGATGTTCATGGGTTCTCCCTTTACCTACTGATGTTGTATATCTGGTCTGTTAGGATGGTGGACTTTGTGTATGGTTTACCCTCCACTGAGCGTTTGTACTGTGTCTCACTCACAGGGAGCTGAAACACGGCATTCCAGTCACAGATGAGAATGATAACCGGTTAGGGGAGTCAACAAACGCAGCACAACAGGCAATCTCACAGGTGGTCATCTCCAGAATCCTCATGGCCTCTCCTGGAATGGGTCAGTATTTTATTCCTTTAAAGAAATGTCATTTAGATGAATAGATGAATGGACAGATGGATGGATAGTTAGCTGGACAGATAGATGGATGATGGATAAATGTATAGATAAAAAAAGAGATGGAAAAGTACATAGATATAGATATAGTTAGATGTAATAATGGCTTGATGGATAAAAAGAATCCCAGATATAGCTTGGTAAATAAATGAATAGAGAGAGACAGATGGAGAGAGCACCATAGATAGGTGGACAGATAGGTGGACAGATAGGTAGACAGATAGGTAGACAGATAGATAGACAGATAGACGGATGGACAGATAGGTAGACAGGTCGATAGACAGACAGGTAGACAGATGTACAGATAGATAGAAAGATAGATAGATAGGTCGACAGATAGATAGACAGATGGACAGATAGATAGACAGATGGACAGATAGGTAGACAGATGGACAGATAGGTAGACAGATAGGTAGACAGATAGGCGGATGGACAGAGGTAGACAGATAGATAGACAGACAGATAGGTACACAGATAGACGGATAGACAGACAGACAGACAGATAGGTACACAGATAGACGGATGGATAGGTAGACGGATAGATATAGGTCAATAGATAGATATATGAGAAGTTTGATTGATAAAGAGATGAGTGGATGGATGGATAGATAACAGATAGATTGATAGAAAATGGATGATAGATGAATAAATATAGGTCAGTAGAGAGATAGACGGGTAGATGAGCGTGGATGAGTTGATGGATGAATTGATAGATGATAGATCGATGCATAGATAGAAAGAGAGATGGATCAATAGATAGATAGAAGGAAAGATTGCTTGATGGATAAAAGGATGGATAGATATAGCTAGTTTGGTAAATAGAGATGGATGGAGAGAGTGATAGATAGATATATAGACAGATAGATAGATAGATAGATAGATAGATAGGTAGGTAGGTAGGTAGATAGGTAGGTAGAAATGTGGGAAGTTGTGGATAGAGAAAGAGATGAGTGGATGGATGGAAAGATAAAAGATGGATAAATATTGGTCAATAAATAGGTAGATGGGTAGATGGGGATGGATAGATAGATAGATGGATGAATAGATGAATAGATGGATAGATATAGGTCAGTGTTTGGATAGAGAGATAGACGGATGGACAGATAAAAAGAAAGAAAGAAAGAACCTTTCAGAATTCCAGTCCACTGAACATGTAACTGTCATATAGACTAGCATTTAAAACCAAAAAGAGCTTCAATACACAGAGCTGCTGTTCCAGGCCGCCACCCTGCACTGTTAAAACATGTTTTCCCTGCTGTATCATGTCTGATTCATCTCCTCTCCTAATCATCAAGCCCTGTTTAAGAGGAGTCAGGTGTGAAGAGCACTCAAGAACTGGATTTCAGGCTGTTTGTAATTAAGCTGCCAAAGTCTAATATTTTTTTTCTTTTTCTTTTAGCTATTCCACCATTTTTAATGAACTCATTGGAAAAGAAGGCTTTCCTTAAGGTATTTGCTCTTCCAACGTAATTTTCGTTCTGTATGCCTGTGTTTCAGGGCAGTAGTTGAATAGTCTGAACGGAGCATGCTCAGTAAGGGCCTCAGTGTTTTACATCCCAGTGCGTACATTAACGCTCACAATAGCCCCACAGAAGCGCTGCAGTGGTTGCTGGGTTGATTTCTTTTTTCTCATCTTTTCAGAGGTTCCCATGGATGAGTGCACCCATTCAGGTCGGCTTGGTGGGATTTTGGTGAGTTGCCAAAGATAGATTGGTGGTGTAATAAATGGCCATTTACAGTGTTTCTAATAGCCTTTCAACAAAGGCTGTTTGTGACTGTCTTTCCTTTTTTCTGCATAGCTTGGTCTTCGCCACTCCACTATGCTGTGCACTGTTCCCACAGAAGAGGTGAGAAAGCTTTAAACAGCCGTTTCAAACTCTGCTAACCTCAACATTCAGGTGTAGTTTCTCAATAAAACAAGAGCTGGTTCGATGTATTACATTTACATTTCTTAAATGAGCTCAGTGAGGTCACTACTTTAAAGCAACAGTTCAGTACAAAAATCAGATCTACACAGTTTTACCAAAATGTAATCGATCAGCTGAGATGCATTTCCTGTCTGAGGTTTGCTTCTTTATTTTTGCTCTGGAACTAATGGAGCTAACAAGTAATGCAAGATAATAGTCACCAGTTAGCATTGTGCAAACTGCATATATAAACCATTACTTGCCTCAAACAGTCTCGGACAAAAGTATACATAAAAACAGTAGCAGAATCCTGAATCCTGAATTTTATCTGTACATATTTTGTCCGTTTTTGTAGACAACAGTATGTAATAGTGTCTGCAACCACACAACTCAAGTCTGTTTGGGATTATTATTTAATAACTAGACTCAGTTTGTATGGTGAGTGAGGCTAATTGGTGGACTATAAGTTTACATTACTTACATTAGGTTCGTTGCTCCAGCACAGAACTAAAGAACCAAACTTCAGACACCGAATGGTTCTTGGCAGATCAGCTGCATTTGTTGTAAATTGTTGCCTGAATGTATTTGCCAGCGAACTATTGTTTTACAGGGACAAGCAGGTGGTGCTTCTGCATTGACCTTATTTTTAAAGCGACACATTGAAAATTAACAGGTTTTATTGCTCTGAATGGTTAGTTAAGCTGGTCCGGTGTGGCACCCTACCCCCACCACCACTACCACCACACTTACACACACCTCAGTTGCCTGTAATAAGTGCTACGAGGGCGTCCCATGTAAAATCAAGCCTGGCTTAGAAAATATTTCTGTAATAAATGCCTTGACTTTTTTGATCAAACTACTATTTTCCAAAACATTGATTGACATTGGGCAGATACAGGTTTGGGGGCAGAGGTCATTGTTTATCACTTGCTGTCAATGTTCAGCTAATCGTCCTCCTGCTTGAATTTTGCATCTTAGAGGTAAAACAGTTTAAATTAGAGGTGTCAAAGTGCTAAACTGTTAATTTTCTAAACTGCGTTAATGCATTTTTCTAGTTTGACCCCTTAAGGCATCCGAAACCCAACCCTGAAGGTCAGCTGCTTCCGTTGCATGTTGCTAAGACACCATGACTGTAGCCCTGTCGTTCCGTTACCGCTTTTTAAATGAGCGGTTCAGTTGATGGCTGTCTTGATAAAAACAAAGCTATGTAAAGGAACGTCATTGACACAGTGGCATTTATTAGCATAATAATCATCAATATTATTAATGTTAACACAAAAGGAAGACTTGTGTTAAGCAGTGTTCGTAGGAGAGCTGTGGAAAAATCAGTGAAGTTGCATAGGAACATGCAGCAGCTATTCACTGGATGTTGGTGATCAAAATTGGATCTGCCTTCTGATTGGTTAAACGCATCTCTTTGGCCAGGTCTGTTTGCATTACAGTTCAGCACCGTTCAACTTCTTCGACATACTGCATCCCCCAGATTGGACACGCTTATGATGGACACTGAAAATAAATGCGATCTGTTGTGATCCAATGTAAACGCAGCGTTAGACCTTGTTGCTTTATGGTGTGAATGTCTGAATCTGATGTGTCTCTTTCACCGTGTGACCCGCAGCTCCATGGCCCTGAGCCGTCTGGAGCCCGAGCTTCAGGAAAAGATCCGTGCGAGTCATCCAGGAGTGGAGAGAGTCTACTTTAACAAAGGACTATGAGAGGAAAAGCCCCATCCCTACACTGCCATAGCCATCCCTCTCACCGCCATGTTAAAGCCACCTTCAGTGTGCCAAAGTTAAGTTCCTCTGTCTCATCTCAAGGACATCCCGACTCAGTTGTTTTGTAAGACGTTATTCCTAGTGACTGTTAGGTTTTTTAAATAAAAAAAAAGGAGTTTTTGACGTTGCAGGTGTGTGCTAGTGTTAGGAAAATACCTGTCTCAAAGGGTGCTCTTTCAGTTTGGTTTTGTACCTACATGTAGAGTTTTTGACGTTTTCGTTCGCAGTTCAAAAGCAGTTGGATGGTGGCGCGATCTGTGCTGTTTTGGATTTGAAATGAAATAATAAAAATGAGGTAAAAGTGCAGAAAAAAACAGAGGATTGCAAACTCAGGCCAGCAGTTTGGTACATAGTTAAGCAAGAACACAGTGGTTAACTTTACAATAGAAAACAACCTGGAAAACTGTGGTAATGGATGATGGAGGACCCTAACCCTAACCTTTAGATCATGAAGAAGACAAATAATAAGACAACCATAAAAAATATTACAGCTTGAGTTTAGAGGGTTAACCAAAGGATAGAAGTCTAAGAACAGAAAAGTCAAGCTACACTTTGCTGATTAACACACAAAATCCTTAGAGATCTGGGCGAAAATCTTATTAATGAATAATATGTAAATTAAAAAGGTATTGATTTGTTGATACCATCAAGATGTAAACACAGTCATGTGGATGGTTTGACCTGGAATGTTCCATTCTAGAGAAACTTCCTGACCCAGTGGTCGTGATGGGAATCAAGCATTTAATGCCTCTAAAAGCTCTAAGAATGTTCCTAAGAATGTTTTTAAACCTAAATGGTTAGAAATGCATTGCCTGATGCTTGAGACATTGTTTTATAATAGTTTTGAGATGAGATTAATTATTATTATTCATCCATTCAGGGGAGAGAGGTTATATACAGGGCATTGTTAGGCACAGTAGCACCCCTCCAAACCAATAAAAAAGAAAAAAAAGAATTGATAAAAAATGTCCACTGTATGTTTTGGATATTAAATAAAATGGCGTTTTTGGTCACTTGGTTCCTTTCACCACCACTGTAAAGAAATCTGATTCACTAAGATTCTCTTCAATTCACCATTTCACATAAAAACACTCTGAATGGCTTTGTTTACATTTTAATAATAGATTTATGACAACGTTTTAAAAAGTCAGTGGGATTTCCCTTCAACCTTAAGCTTAAAAGGTATGTGAGGAAAAATGAATTGCTCGTTCCAGAATACCTCATATATGAAACATGGTTAATTGTATGAGCATGTGTGACCGCTGGCAGGGCTTCTAATCTGATAGATGATGTGAACTGGATCGCTCGTCTTTATTGACGATGTGACCATCAGCAGCAGGATGAATTCAGAAGTGAACAGAAACATCTTAACTGCTTAAATAACCAGAATGTCTGAAATCTCTGTAGAAGATATTTCATATTGTAGCAGGACAATAATCCAAAGTATTGCTTCATTTCAAATCCAGTGCGCTGCAATACAGAGCCAAAGCAGCAACAGCTGTGTCACTGTCCAATCGTGTGCAAACTGCGCTGTTATCGTGTTTGATGCCAAACCATTCCATGTGCCATACGGAATCATGTTCAGAGAGGAACAAAGACGGTGGGAAGCGATCCTGTGCTTTCTGTTAGTGTTTTTATTGCATTACTGTATTTAGTCAGTGTTAGTGTGTCCATTAAGGCTGCTTTTGACACAAAACTGCCAAAAATTTCAAGCTCACTTTAAAGGTACACTAAATAGTGTTTTCCATTCATGGTACTACAAAGGTACTTCATGATAGCTGGTTTTCAGTAAATTACTTATTCCTATAGAACAGCTGAGTCTTATTTAACTGTGTATGTGTGAGTTTCACCTAGTAGGAGTGAATAAAACTTACTCTATTTAGGTCTGCCGCAGTTACTCGAGCTGACTGTAATTATTTTAGTTATTATATGGTTGCGTCACAACATATAGAACTGAATTGGGTGTGCTTTTATCAGTTGGGTTGGGGTAAATACATGGCAATTAAAAAAAATAGAAAACTAAGTTATTGAGACACATTAGGAACGTTCTAACTGCTGTCTGGTGATATAACACCTTTAGAGGCCAGCGGTGGGTAATGTTTGTTTACTTGAGCTTGAGTTGTTTCTGTCATCAGTTGGAAGCTACTAAGCATCAACAGCTAGGAAGCAATACAGCCAAACCAGGCAATTAAATTGTTAATTGCAATGAATTGTTAGTGAAAATGTCATGATTGTGACAAGTCTAGTACTAATAATGCTACTACTACTACTACTACTAATAATAATAATAACAACAATAATAATAAGTGATGATAATGGTAATACAGTTTAAGCAAATTAATTGGTTGTGGGTCACAACTGGTCAATTAATAACAGCCAAAAAAGGTATGTAAGTGGACTTAACTAGATAAACAACATTGGAAAATATTACCACAACAGAGACCTTAATTTGAAAAATTGAACTGCTATCACAGTTTTTATTTCATTTTGAACTGTTTAAACCCAGTCATTTTATACCATTTCTGTTCATAAAGACTAAAACAGAATCTTTCCATTTAAAATTGGTGCTTTACTGTGTGTAGAATGGTGCAATCTGAAGGCTCAACTCTGCCATTAAGACGCAGAAAAAAAGCCTTTCCTCTTTTCCACTGTCAGGATTCCTGCTAGGTTCCACTGGTGGGTAGTTCCTGTCCTTAAGCCATGTGACCATCGATGTCACTTTCATCTTAGCTAGCAATAAATGACTTACAAGCACAATGGGGGAAACTGCTTAGTGTACCTTTAACGAAGAATCGAGGGACCTCTATCTGAGAGCAGTGCAATTGATGTGAAACGTTGCCAAATGTGTTTTTATCTCTCCGTTACAAAACAGCCTGCAGAGGCCAACCTGAGCTGCACAGTCCTGAAGAAACTGGATTAATATATATATAGAGAGAGAGAGAGAGAGAGAGAGAGAGTGCAGTGTGGTTAATAGTCCACAGTATTTTGTTTAAATATGATGTATTATTCTGCTTGCCAACCGTGCATGAACAAACTGTTTAGTTGGGGGGGGGGTGTTTTGCCTAAGGTAACATTCCCTTGTGTCCTCGTTCAGTGTGGCAAAGTCCGTTCAAATAGCAGAGCAGGTGGTAATCACTGATAGCTCACAGTTCACTGTGACCTAAAGTGACCTAAAGGACTTTGGGTACTATATTGTAGCTGTCGTTTCAAAACCTCATACCTCATATGTATATATATATATATACATACATATTTCTCTTTTTTGTGTGGTATATTTTATCACCATTTGAAAACACCAGCTGCTCTTTACATTGGATGTTGAATGGTCCAATAGAAATGGTCAAAATTACCTGGAATAAAATCTCATATTTACTTGCATTAGAGTTAAGATTGTTTGTTTGTTTTTTTCCCTCTTAAACTATTTAGATATAAAGTTTAGGATGCACAATAATAACAGAATCCTTTAGTTATTGACAGATGTTAAAGAAAATACTGGTATCAGAGAGATATTTAGATTTGACCAGTACTTCAAACTGATATTTGATGTGTTTATTAATCCAAAAAAAATGTACTGTTCCTTGTATTGAAAAAGCCAGCACAAATGATGTCACAAAGGACACCTCTCACAGCGCCCCTCACAGACATCACATGGCACGTACACACATATTAGCAACCACCTGGGATACTATAGCAGCGGCCTAGCAACACCTTAGCAACCACCTGGGATTCCATAGCAGCGGCCTAGCAACACCTTAGTAACCACCTAGGATACCATAGCAGCGGCCTAGCAGCGCCTTAGCAACCACCTGGGATTCCATAGCAGCGGCCTAGCAACACCTTAGCAACCTCCTGGGATTCCATCAGCAGCAGCCTAGCAACACCTTAGCAAATGGCTGAGATTCCATTACAGCAGCTTAGCAACACCTTAGCAATCGCCTGGGATTCAATGGCAATGGCCTATAGCAACACTTTAGCAATCACTTGGGATTCCATTAGAATAGCCTAGCCAACACCTTAGCAACCACCCCGGATACCAGAGCAGCGGCCTACCTTAGCAATCGCCTATACAGAATTAGTGCCCTTGTTCTGTTGGGACCAATCACTTGTATAGTTTTTATACAAGATTCGTTCAAACACATTTTTTTTTCCCGTAGGAAAATTAATGAGTGGCAGAATCGTGAGAGAGTTCAGTTCTAACTAGCACACATGATGTCACTAAGACCCTCATAGACATTACATACAGTCTCACACGTACTAGCGCACACACACACATATACATACTTTGTGTGTGTGTGTGTGTGTGTGTGTGTGCGCGTGTATTAGCAACAACCTGGGCTACCATAGGAACAACCTAACAACACCATAGCAACCAACTACGATACCGTAGCAACATTAAAGCAACACTTTAGCAACCATCTGGGCATCCATGGCAACGGCTCTCTCGGGCCAACTTAATGTTCGTTCACAACTTTTTCCCCTGCTAGTTCATTTTATTGTAGCCTTACAGACATAAATGTTGTATTTCTCTCTAAAGCTAATTCAAGTAGATGTAGTGCTAATTTTTCTAACGTTTATTCATGTTTATGTATCAGTTTTCGCAGATATACACACGAAAAATCCAGAGTTCCCATATCAGTGCATCCCTAATAAAGTTGCCATTTCAGGGATAAGAGGTTTTGGTGCGACAGCGACAATTTATTTATATCAAATTTTAGGGGATCATCAGTTACATCAGTTACTCATATTGCCATATTAGAGCGTCTATGGCAACATTTAAGGCTAGTACTAATTTAGTGTTTGGAAACAGAGCTGTGCTTATAAAAGTGAAATCACAAACATGAATTATTACCTCAGATCCAGAGGCGGTTTCACACAGCCTGACACACTTAGAAAGTTAATGATTTAATGTTGTTTAGTATTCTTTCTCTCTTTTGACTCAAAGCCAATTACTACAGGTGTTCTTCAGTCAGACTAGTACAAATAGGCCCAGTGTTCTGTTATACTAGTGTACGGTCTAGTGGCCTTTTGCTGCTAATGTGACTTTTGTTTTTTCTTTTCTTTTGCAAAAGTTGTACACCGGCCTTTATTTCAGAACCCCGTTGGTTTTACGGTCAGTAGCTGTGCTTGTGAGTGTTAAAGGTTTCTATCAGTGTTCATTTTTGTGGTCATTCCTTTTGATCAGCAGTGTAATTCTTTTTCACTGTACTGAGCCTTGATGTGTTTAATTCTACTTCTCTATGGTTACGTTTGACTAGTCATGTTTCAGGAACTGTCTGTGCATTGAACAGTGTCTCAAACCGTGGTTAGGCGAGGGGTGAGTGTGCCGTATAGTGCAGACTGTTAGCCTGTTAAATGGACTGTGATGTGAGGCCATGTTCTAATTTGCATTTATTTTCTGTGAACACATAAAAATTGGTCTATTATTTAGTAATTTTATGAAGGTTTTTCATTTTTTTTTTACTTTTAACATTTTGGGGTTATTATAAATTATGTATCTGATTTAAAATTGAACGTTTACATTATTACGCACAGAATTAGGAGTTTTACCAGGATACTTTAGTGTCTTTCAACCTGATCTTTACCTGATGTATCTCTAGAATACATTCGATTACCACAAACAGCAATTTTGATATGTTTCCCTTGGCTTAGTAAATCCTATGACTTGAAACATGTTTATAATAGAGGTCAATGGGCAGGTGCTTCATTGACTTCTATTAGAAGTATGTTTTAATGTGTTTCTTAAGTACAGAAATTGTCTGTAGTGTAATCAAGTGTATGATACAGATGCGTCAGATAAAAATTAGGCTGAAAGACACTGGACTATTTCTTTAACGCGCACAGAAATGGATAATACAGTATCTTCAGCCCTGACCAGTGTTCAGCCTAAGAATCAGATCAGACACCTGAAATACACAGAAGTGGTAACACTATTTTACAAAGCACTCTGGACTTTAACAGGCATCTTTTCTTTTTTCTTTTTTTAAATGTAATATCTTTGTGTTTCAATCTGTATTTTTGAACTATGTGATCAATATTCAAAAAAGGCACAGAACAAAACCAGCATGTTAAGTCAAATGATGGATGTAGTTCATCGGGACGGTACGTACAGCGTCCCCAGTGGGGCGCACAAACATTCAGAATGAAATTAAGCTATAATTGCCATTTACAGTAAATGAGATGGGTCAGATATTTTTGAGAAAGGTGTTATTCTTTTTTACATTAATGGGGATGTTGTAATGTGTAGGTTACCTAGAAGAAATAAAGGATGTTGAAGATCAATGATCTCTGTATCTGTTTCTGTCTATGTAGCTGTTAGCCAGATAAGAGTGTACATGTTTTTAATGAACCCTATGCTGTTTGGTTTTGATCTCATTTAGCTGTAACAATTAGCCTAATTGATTTATACACTGGTTATGCATCATTATTAATCTCAGATACAGGTGAGTGTGGTTAGAGAATAGAAATCCAGAAGAACACACACACATACATTCAGTTCCACACCCCCAAAGTTCAGTCATGGAAGTTGGTTAAATTTTCTCGAGTAATCCCAAACACGTTCAGTGATGGTCAGTCCATTGTCCATTGTTCTGAGAGCTTCTTCGCTTGATCTACAGATTTTCTTCTTTTTTGTCTATATTTCCTTTTCTCAGTAAGAGCTTCTTAACAGCCACACATCCTTTCAGACCCACAGCGCTGAGTCGTCTTCTCACAGTGGAAGGATGGACAGAAACACCTGTGGATGTTTTCAGATCTGAAGCAGCTTGACTTTCTCCTCTCTCTCAAAGATGAAAGCTTTCAGTGCTGTTTGGGTCATTCTACAGAAACCATCTGTCCATAGGAGTCACTGGTGTTACTGATCCTCATTTGTGTTACACATAAGAAAGGTAACACCAGAGACATTTTTAATGAATAATGCATTTTATAAGATGGCTGCTACAGAGAATCAAACCACAGGTTGTCAATCATGAAATATCCACCAAAATTATGTAATTTAATCCATTTGTTTTGTATATTTTTTTACAATTACCTAAGAATTAAGTTAGGTCACACCAGTGACTTCAGCTAAAAGCTTCATATGAAATCATGATTTAAATGAGAAAATTTCTGATGGCTGAAAGACTCAGTGGACTCACCATGTGCTTTTTTTCATAGATCTTCAGAAAATAGGTAAACGGAAGTCAAGTGATGTCATCAGTGAGATTTTTTGTTACGCAGTAACACCAGTGACACGACTCCTGGGGACCACAACTTTATAATATATATTATAATATTTATTTGGCATTTGTTTTCTTTATGTCCTTTAAGTCATATATTTCATAGTGATATATAGATTATAGATTGTAGTTAAATTTGCAGAAAAACGTTTTTTACCTCAAAATATGTCACTCACCCTTTACACATGACTGTGAGGATGAGCTCTTCTGTGGTGCTTAGAATTCTAGATACTTGATTTAAAAACCAATGTTGCTAAATTGAGGCTCAAGAAGGTGTAACTGTTAAAATAACTTATTTTTTTATTTTAAAATCTAAATAAATTGTAACCCTAACATGTTTCTAAAGTGTAATTTATCTGTAAACGCTAGGGACACAGAAATGGACATTTCTGTTGAATGACTCGTTTACTGTTTATACTTTCCAGCAACAGCAAAAGTGTAGGCACCCCTGGTCAAAGAACATGTTTTGGTGATTTTCTAAGTGAAAATAAGTAAACACATCTACAGGAAACACTTCTGTACATGTTTATTTGTTTGTTTAATGCAACAAATTGAAAAAAATAAAACACAAAATGTGCCCTGTGAAAAAGTATTTAAAATTAAAATTTTAAAATATTTTTAATAGGTTTAACTCAGCATGTAAATAGAAATTGTGCACTAAAATCAGCAAAAAATGGAAATTAGCAAAATAAATTGGAAAAAATTAGCAAAAAGAAGTATCTCCAGTTTTTTCAATTTTCATTTTTCTATGTCATTTGAACTCATTTCATGATGAATGGACCAACAAAAATGCTCCAAAATAGTTTGGAATACAATCTTTTTACATTAACTTACATTAAAAGCAAAGAATGTTTTTGCGTCTCCTGTAAAGCTGCACTTTTGGAGATGCTTGTTTTTCTTTGAACAGTGATGACATAATTTGATTGAGGGTGTTTACACACGCAGGCCCTGGACAGAGGATCCACTTCAGGGTTAAGTGTTCGGGGAATGTTCAGTGGGCGTGGAGTTAAAAACAGCAGCTCTCTGGTACAAAGTCCATTTACTCGCAGAACCTTTAACCAGAAACTGTCTAGTGCAGTGGATCCTGATTTCAGTCCTGAAGACCCCACACTCCATACATTACTTATACCCCCCTCATCTGACACACCTGATTCAACTCATTTACCAATGAACAACCCTCTCATGTGCTGGATTAGGTGTGTTAAAATAGAGAACATAATTCAGTGTACTGAGTGTGGGGGTCCCCAGGACTTTGGATTGGGCTGCCACAGCTCTGGTCTCTCTAGGCCGCACCGCTGAGAAGCCCAGTCTGCTCGAGTGCTTGTGTTGTAATCAACAGTGGATGCACAGAAGATCCTGTAAAGCTTCTGTGTTGTAAAAATTTCAGTGTAAAATTACTGTAAATTACTGTATACTAGTTGCATTTGTTTCAGAGTAATTTACTGAACCACATTAACAGTAAATAACAATAAAATCGCAACTTCATACTCTGACTTTACAGCCAACGACTCCAAGATTACTGTGATGCAGCTGCATCCACTAATACAGTAATGATCTGTAACTAAGCTACAGTAATCTTCAGTATTTTACATAGCAAAGCAGCTAATTTACTGTAAATTTACATATGAAATATTACACCTTTTCCAGACCCTATAAAAATCGAATTTATTTAATGTAAAAAAAGTTAAAAAAATAAACTAAAATAAAAAAAATTTCAGTGAACATGTTTATTCACCATGTTTTACATTGCATATGCATGGACTATCTTAACTATGTGTTTTTCATGTTCAAATTCAAATACATATTTTACAATTTTGACAGTTTTTGCTTAATTTGTACAAAAGCTTATATCTCCTAATATCAACATTCCACTTCATCAACAACACATCAGTGTTCCAGCATGTAAATCTTTAAAAAAAAAAATGGATCATCAGAATAAAAATATTAATATGTTCTTACTGCTCACCCTCAAACTCACCCTCAAACTCACCCTCAAACTCACACTCAAACTCATGGTAATTTGCAGTGTTGATTTCACAATAAAATAATGAAAATAAAAAAAACTAAAATACTGTGAAATCTGCCAATAATGAACAGTGTGTTTTTTTTGTGTTGTGGTCTAAATGAGGATCATATTTCTGAACAACATTATGGCTTCATAAAGATAGATGTGACTGTAGATCTCTCAACTCATTAATTGTATTAATCAGCACTTTCGATGTACAACACTGTTCAAGAGTCTGTAATGTTTATAATTTGCCATATTGTTAATTATTGTCTTTTTCTGTTATACATCAAAAAGTGTGGAGCTAGACACCAAATGTATTTTTATGTATGTGTGTGTTTATATAAATATGCATATATTAAATGTGTATGTGTGTGTGTGTGTGTTTGTGTGTGTATATATATATATATATATATATATATATATATATATATAAATCTTGTATCTCCAAAATGCAAGGTTTAGTTCCTATATATCCATATATATATATAAATATATGAGAGAGAGAGATTCTTGTTAAAATGTCAATTAGATGTTAATATTAGAGATTTAAACATATGATTTAAAGGAATTTGATAATAAAAGTGTGAATAAGTGAACACATTCTCTACACAGGATGCACATTTAAATATACCATTACTGTTTATTTGCTGCATTCAGCATATTGGGGAAAAACATGAAATGTGGCCTGTGCAAAAGTTATGGCACATTTTATATTTTATATTTTTTTATGTTACATATTGCCATACTAACATATTAAATTCAGCCAATTAACAGAACGTCTACGATAAATTTGCAGAAATGCCATGTTTAATTGTGTCCTCTATAGAGAATGTGTTGTATTAGTTTCACTTGGAAAATAAACAAAGTATATCATTTGAACAGGGGTGCAAGATTTTTGCATACAATGGAACATTGCATTGTAACTTTATTCTTATTACTGTCTGGAGCTTCTAAGGATGGTTTTATAATATTGAAAACAGTGGCTCCAGACTTTTTGGTGGTGACTCTAAACGTTTGAGCGGAAGTGCATGATTGTGTCAAATAATTCATTATATAGTGAGGTGAGACCCCTAGGGGTGCAGTTTAGCACTAGCAGGAGATGAATACTTTAATTCAGCACAATATTCCTGTAGTGCTGTTTATAGTAATGTATGTAATGGTAATGTAATGTAGTGTAGTGTCCTGTAGCTCACTCTATGACCTGTCTGAACTTGCTGTAGGAATCCTGTGGAAATTCCTGTAGCGTTACTCTGGAGCATTTTTAAAAGCTTTAATCCACTGGGACACTCCCAGAGGCAATAGAACAACATTCCATACCACACTTTATAATTTCATTAACTGATTTGATTGCATAATACATTGAACAAACTGATCAAATTATATTGGAGTGATCTGCTTTGTCTGTAGGTTTATATGCCTGTTTGTCTTTGACAGATGAATTCTGGCATTTTCTTATGAAAAACTTCAATAAACTAAGACTGTTGGTTGCAGTCCCTTAATAAATTTGCTCAGTAGGTTAAATACTAATTAAATGTGCAAACAGACTACATTAAAGGGTAATTCCACCAACTTTCCAAAATTTTTGCATAATTCAGTGGTTGAGATGTAAACAAAGTCATTCAGAGTGGTTTGGTGTGAAATGGTTCATTGTAGAGAAAGTAAATGACTCTGATGTCTTTACAGTGGTGCTGATAGGAACCAGATGTCACAATGTCTACAACACAAATATAGTCATTTTATTTGCTATCAAAAACCACCAGTGAACCTACACGAGTCTTCTGAGTGCTTATTTGTAATGTTGATGATGGTAAAAATGATGGTAAATCTGGAAAAAAGGTTGCGTTACAACATCCTTAATGAAGCTCTCCACTGTATGTGGATCTGAATTGGAAAGCACATTTCAGACTTTTAACTGACTTAGATTTAGAGTAAAATCCCTTTTCTCTGAGTGTCCCTATACCTTAGTTATGTTTATTAACATAAATGATTGAACATTCCACTTTGGCTCTTTCAAAACTCCCATAACGCCACTGAAACCTCACCAAATGATTCGGTAGTGACAATTTTAGCTAATTTTGAGTGTAACTTAAAAATGCTAGCCAGTACATGACTAGCAAACACAGCTTTGAACAGTTTTACAGACATAAAATCATAACATTTTTCATTAAAACACAAAAAGTTCACTTACAGAACATACGTGTTTCGGTGGTGACAGTTCTACACTGTGTTCAACACTGATTTTCAGACTTTGGGACACTCTTACTTCAAAACAATGAGGTCTAACTGCTCACCATGTGGCCATGTGGCCATCAGGGACAGGGATGCAGTCTCACTTCCTGCTCTAAAATGCAGGGGTGTGGTCAGAATAAGGATCCGCCCACAGACTCTGTATATATATATATATATATATATATATATATATATACACAAATTAAATTAATGATGCATCGAAATATTTGAGCTTCACTTTAAAAGAAGCAAAATGATCTTTAAAAAGTTGAAAAATAAACTATATATATAATTATTTTCAGAAGTTGAGGTTTAGGGTTTAGGGACTGGCACAGCCACCTCCCAATAGAAAGCACCCTATAAATTATATTGTTGTGTATAATTAACTTATTATTCTCTCAATTAATGCTTTGAGTTTAGATATTTCATAACATAATCTTTGGAAAAGTCTGAATACTTAAAACTTTTTTTTTTGACCTCAGTTTAAACCACTACAATAAAATGGTCCATGATTACTTTTCAAAAATCTATATTTCATGCCAAAATCTGATCTCAAAACTACCGTAAAACATTGTCTCAGGTTTTAGGCAGAGTATTTAAATTTATATTTTGTATTATATTTACATATAGCTTTTTGTAATAACTTTCTGTGATGTAGCTTTTAGAGGCATAAAACTCTTCAGACGTCTGGTTCCTATCACCACCACTGTGAACAAATCTGCCTCCATGAGAAAATCTCTACAACACAGCGTTTCACATCAAACCACTCTGAATGACATTGTGATTCTTAACCATTTTATTATGCAGAAATTTAGAAAAATTGGTGAAATTCCACTTTAAGTGTATTCAGTGCGCACATTCCTTCAGTGCAAGGAAAACTGGAGCTGCCAAGTTTGTGGAGGAAAGCATTTAAGCATCTAAGCTGCCTGAGCTGCATTTTAATTCAGAGGGTGTTGCCATCAAGCGGCCGTACCAAAGAGGCTCAGAGAGAAGTTTCAGTCGCGGAGTAGATGACAACACTGACGACCCGCTGTCGGCTGCCTCTCCTACATCAGAATGGCCACCGTGGACATAGACATACAGCCTGTAAGTGACCATTCAGTTTTATTCTCTGTGTTTTTTGGGGGGTCAGTTTAGTCTGAGAGTATCGCTGGTCTGTAGCTGCACTCCAGTAAGACATAAAGCTTGTAGAGTTTCTGCTACTTTCATCCATTGATTACATGAAACTACACGGTGACAAACTGCGGATGCTTATACAGTCGCATGCAACAGTTTAAACACCCTTGGTCAAATGTTTTGGAGATTTTCTGAGTGAAAATGAGTTAACACGTTCTCTGCAGTGACCAGACCAGACCAGACATTGTGTTTGAGTTTTTTTGCAAATTTTGGTGCGCAATTTCTATTTATATGCTGAACATATTAGAAAAAAGAAATTAAACATAAAATATCAAACGGGCCATTACTTTTGCACAGGCCTCATTTTATGTTTCTATTTTTTATTTAATAATCTGATCAAGGGGTGCCCAGACTTTTGCACATGACTGTATTTATGTGTACTGTTCAGCACAATTTCATCAGTTTAAACTTTTCTGCTAGAGTATGAATGCACTACAGTGCAAGGGGGACTTTTATTTTGTATTTGCTTCACTTTCACACCCCTACAGTGACCATCATTCTGCACCACTGATCTGCAAACAGTATTGATCTCCCTCTAGAGCACTGATTAACAGACAGAAGAGGATCAATACCTTGCTACAAGTTGACACGATAGTCATCCTGCACTTCACTGGTGTTTTACCCCGTTTACAAACCAAGAAATTATGAGAATTTATGTTTTAGTCATTAACTGGGACTGCATTACATAGGCCGTATTGCAATATTCATATTAAAGGGCTCACTTTCTACATTAATATTGTGTTTTAGTTTCCCCCCTTAAGGTCCATTTATGACATGTCTGTGGTTTCATACGCCAAAAACAGTCATAATTCCCCTTACATGACCATTTTCTAACCTCTATCCCATAAAATTAAACAGGCTGTGCCTTTAAGACTGATATATGCAAATGAGCTCTGTTCTGATTTGCTGACCTCATTCAAAAAGCAGCCACAGCTCCTTATAACTTCAGTGAGAATGAGCAGAGCTGAACTGCTGTAGGCTGAACTAGGTGGATCTATGCAAATCTGTTTTTGTGACATCACAAAAACAGTGAATTCACTATATGCTGTTTATCCAGCTTAGCTTCTATGTATGTGCTGAGGAGTGAAGAATATGTTTTGAGACATTTACGATGTTTCAAGTGAAGAAAATGTAGTTTCTCATTATTTGAGCCCTTTAATATGATGTAATGAGTTGCCAGAGTATGTTTTACTGAGATGGTATATATTTAATTTTAAGAAAAAAGAAAGCATGACTGATTCTTAATGGTTATTTTACAGGGCGAGGGCAGTAAGGGGGGTATGGGGGTGTATAAAGAGGCCTCTATGTCCATTGTGTGTGTGTTAAGAGCAGTGGGACAGCGGAGCAGATGACGGCAGTGAGTGAAACGCTGTGTTGTGCTTGTACAGAAGCTGGCGCTGTGAAGCCCTCAGCCTGCTGTGTGTTTCTAGGGCTGGTCTCATCGCTGCAATGAGCCATGCATCTCAATTCAGCTCTAGCCTTGCTGGCCTGCTGCCCTGTTTTAGAGCCCAAGTGCTGCCTTCATGAATTCACTGTAGAGAATTGCTCCAGACTGACCACTCTCACAGCACTCACTCTGACAAGGTAGTGGTAGAGATAGGGTCAGTCAGTGTCGCTGCTACCAGCCCTCCTCCTGGAGATCTACTTTCCTGCAGGGTTTAGTTACAACCTGCATCTAACATGCTGCCCCCCTCCTTACATAACACCAGGCAAGGCAAGTTTATTAATATAGCGCCTTTTATACACTGCAGTCATTCAAAGTGCTTTACAGATGATAAAATACAGAGATAATTCAAATTATAATTTTGAAAATAATGTAAAGGAGAATAAAAATTCAAAACATGACTAAAATAAGAAATTACTCATTAAATCAAAATGTAACTAAAAATGATATTGGGATATTAACGTGCCATTACTAATGCAGCTGAAGAAGTTAATCCTTTAAAGTTGAGGCAAAAGTGTGGCTATTTCAGTCGTTTAACTCTTTTTAACAGTATTCATAGGATACAAAGTCTGCCTGGTGTGGAGTTCCCTCAGTATTTGCACTGTGCATATTTTCCTTCAGTAACATTGTTTATATATATATATATATATATACATATATATTTATTGTAAATGTATATATATATATATACATATGTATTTATTGTAAATGTATCTGATTTACAAAACCAGAAATTAACTGCTTTTTTTTTGCCTGTTGTTGTTTCGCATCTGAATTTGAATCTCATGGCATCATGTGCTGCTTTTTGAGACCTTCTAGCTGCTTCACTTTGCCAGACAGGTTCTATGTTTAGTTTCAACAGGTCTGGCAGTAATCATGCCTGGGTGTGGCCAGTAAAACTGAACCCAAAAGTCCATTGAATCTGGTTAACTGGTTGATTTAGTAGCTAAGGGGCCAATTTCTTTTTCACACGGGTCCAGGTAGGGCTGAACAGCATTTTTCCTTCAGTAAATGAAGTCATCATTTAAAAATAGCATTATATGTTTACTTAGATTATTACTGTCTAATATTAAAAGTAGTTTGATGATCTGAAACATTCAAGCGTGACACATACGCAAAAATAGAAGAAATCGGAGAGGGGCAAATACTTTCTCACAGCGCTGTACAAAGTGAACATATATGGTCGGTGTTTCTGTTAAAATGGCCAGTGAGTAAAGGTCTAAGGTAGGTATTTCTAATAAGGTGGCAACTGTGTGTGTAAGAGTCTCATCAGATTTTTGGTGTGTTTTTACGCTTGCCAATCAGACTGAGGAGAAGAGGACGCTGACCCTCCGTGGTCATGTTGGTTTCGACAGCCTTCCTGACCAACTGGTCAGCAAATCCGTCTCCCAGGGCTTCTGCTTCAACATCCTCTGTGTAGGTAAGCAATGGAGCAGAGAAATGTGCAAGAGCCGTGAGTGGCTGCTGGACGTTTGGTAGGTTTTAATTGAAGCCATGTTCCTTTGGTCCGCTCAGGTGAAACAGGGATCGGGAAGTCGTCTCTAATGAACACTCTCTTCAACACGACCTTTGAGAACGAAGAGGTCAGCCACTTCCAGAACACTGTGTATTTACGGCCCAGGACTTACAACCTACAGGAGAGTAACGTGGACCTCAAGCTGACGATTGTGGACACCGTGGGTTTTGGTGACCAGGTCAATAAAGAGGAGAGGTAGTGTAAAACACAGTTATTCTTTCTGTGGACGCTGGGCCTGTTTGGGTTGGTAATGAGGATGGCTGAATAAGTGCTAAAGCTAAGCACGGCTGAACCGGAGATGTTATAAAGGAGGAGACAGGTCACTGGTTGGAAAATGCATGAGGAAGCGTGTAATGCTCAACATAGCATCTTGTTATGGAGAAAGTCCTGCTTTTCACTAAAAAAAGACCCAATCGGCCTGCTGGTAAAGCCGCTAGCAGGAAAAGCCCCCCTCAGTTGTGGAGATCTAGGTAAGCGCGGTAGCTAGAACAACCCACACAAAGTTTTTTGTGCATTATTTGAGCCAAAGGCTATAAACTATTCATAAGATTTTTGGCAAAATTTACCAGTGATCTCAAATATGTTTTTGAAAAGGTAAACTGGCCTTCAGTTTTGAGTCTCTCCCAGTTCAAAGAGATGGCAGCCTGCTCTTTTATGCCTTGGCATTACCAAGATGGTCTCCGAGTGGACAGACTTTCCTATAAGGTTTTTGGCTGGACTTTAGCCCACTCTGGACCTCATTTCAGAACCACTGCCGAAATCCCAGGGGTTTGGGGTCTGCTTTCTCTGTCTAGAGAGGATAACTAAAGCAGTGGACCCCAACCTTTCTAGCACCGCAGACCCATTTTATATTGATAATATTCTTGCAGACTGGTCGACCGAAAGGTGTGGCTGCAGGGTTGATGGAGACCAGAATATACAGAAAACTATATTTATTTACCTTCCTTATGAAAACATTGATCCAGAATCCAGACAGAGATGCTACCTCTAACATACCTTTTAGTCCATTGTCATTTGTAAGCTCATATAGTTTTTTGTACCTGCACATGGATGATTCACCACGGTCATTCACAAATGGGTCATATGAGGAATCACTCATCTTATTTTCTGTTGAAAGAAGCTTTCTTTTTTTTTTCTTAAAGCTTCTGCTTCTGCTGTCTATCAAAAGGCCTTTTATCATCCCTACGCCTGAAGAAACTCAAATGAACTCTGAACTTAAATGATGTATGTTACTCATCTTTATCTAACAGTGAGCACATATTAATTGAAATGGGTGCAGCGTCTAGTTAATGTGGGCGTGGTGAGTGGTGAGAAAAGGACCAGTACTGACAGACTGTGCTAAGATCAATGTGAATGTCGCCACTGGAGAAGATACCCTATATATTCCGCCACTTAGCAAATTACTATTGTACAGATTTCTAAACTTCTCACAGTGGCTTTACCTTACCTGGGGGTACCCTCATAACGCATGTCTTAAATTGTCTTACTGGTGTCTCGTACAGTAAGAAACAGAGTTTCACTGCAAAAAACGGTATCTTTTTTAGTGAAATTATCTTAAATTTAAGCAATATTTCTAATATTTCCCATGAGATGGTTGATGGTAGCTTATTTCTAGACATTTTTTACTTGTTGTAGGTCAAGTAAAATGATCTCACTGTACTGGCAGATAATTTTATAAATTTTATTAAACAAGCAAAATTATCTGCCAATATAGTGAGATATTTTTACTTAATAAAAATACTATAATACTTAAAACAAGTAAAAAACATGTCTAGCAATAAAGTAAATGATCTTAAAATAAGCTTACAACAATCTCAACAGGAAAATATATTAGATTGACTCTATTTAAGATAATTGTATTTGACAAGTTACCATTTTTTGCAGTGTTAATGGACGCACCAATTTGCATGCTTTTTTTCATATTTTCTATGTGTTCCAGTAAAAGATTTAAAAAATTGCTTTGTATAACTTGTTTTTGTACTATTACATTCATTTTTATGGTTTGCTTTTTTATTTAAAAAACAGATTACTTGATTACTTATTCATCAAAATAATGGTAACAGCCACACGATGCAAACAATAACAGGTTTTTATTCTTTAGAGAGTGATTCTCTTGGGCTCTGTTGTTTACATTGAGACCCTCTGTCCACAAGGGTTGTCAACGTTTATACTTATTTATACTTACTGTCTAACTAATATCACCTTCAACTGCACTTTTAAAGCTTAAGTTATGCATGGAAAATATGAATATAATGGTTGGAAATAAGATTTACTGTTTCTCATTCCAGCTCATTCCATCCATTGCATTTGGGCGGCGTCATTTTCTTAAACTCATTGGAAAAAATAGCGACAATAACAAACAGGAATAAGTGGCGTAACTGGAATGGACACGGGGTCTGAAAGGATTACACCAGAAAACAACAAACAATATGGATTTATTGTTTAAAGAGGGATTCTATGGATTTTACATCTTGGATGGATGGATAATGAATATATTTCTTATTTTGTCCTCTGTAGCTATAAGCCCATTGTGGACTACATTGATACCCAGTTTGAACACTTCCTCCAAGAGGAGCTGAAGATCAAGCGTTCACTCCATAATTACCACGACACGAGAATCCACATCTGCCTGTACTTCATCTCCCCTACAGGCCATTCATTAAAGTCTCTAGATCTGGTCACCATGAAGAAACTGGACAGTAAGGTACTAGATGTGTAGCAGCTTTTATATGTTTGACCTTTAAACTGTTGTCTTATTATTTCATTATAAATCTTAAGACTAAAGCACATTGCAATAGGACTATCATTGTTACTCAATTAAAATAGATTACTTGGTATTTTTATCTTTGATTAAATTTTGCAGTTCTTTGAATCGATAATGATTAGTTTGCATTTTTAATGGTAATCAGGGTCTCAATGGGTCATTATGAAGCCACACATAGCAGGCTGAAGATTCTCCTCAAGAGGGAGCTGTTGGCACTCATGTCACTTTTGTGTACATGGCTGAAAGGGAGGAAACCCACACTAGCAGGATCTCATGAATATATCTGTGTGTAGTCACAAATTGTGTGTATATAAGAAACAATGCAAGTGGCTTCAGTTATTTGTTTAACTAGGTCTAATTTGGCGAGCTAGGCAGACGGCTAACAGGCTAAAAGTAATGTTTAGATATAGTCTTTAAGATGAAATCCTTACTTCATGTTCACCATGAAGTTGGACAGTGAGGCGTTTTATATTTATACCTCTTAAACTGCTAGATTATTGCTTCTGCATTATTCTTAAGACTTATTATTACATAACTTAGTAATGTAAATTATTCAGTAACTACAACAAGGTATGTAATTATAAAAGCAAAGAATTGTGTGCCACACATGAGCCCTTAGAGTTTAAAGGGTTAAGTTGCAGCTGAAAGTGCTTTATATCTACAGGAACGATTCGAAAGAGTCTTAATATTACAGTATTGCAAAGTTTCTGAATTCTGAACTGGATGATACAAAGTAGGGTTGTAAAACAAGGTTTGTACTGCATGAATTAAAATCCAAACTTTATTTTTCTGATAGGTGAACATAATCCCCCTTATCGCGAAGGCGGACACCATCTCTAAGTGTGAGCTTCAGAAATTTAAGATTAAGATCATGAGCGAACTGGTCAGCAACGGCGTTCAGATTTACCAGTTTCCAACAGACGATGAAGCCGTTACAGAAATCAACTCTACCATGAACGTGAGTCAAATTCAAGCACAGGTTCAGTTTAAACCCCTAAAATCCCAGGCTTATTACATACTAAGGCTTATTAGTCAGCATCTACAGAGACTTCAGTGCAAACTGTCTGAGCTGTTCATAGGTTATAGAAGTGTGTAATAAACATTTGGGCCTGCCAGTGGGCTGTGGCTATTAAAAGGGGTAAAGAAATGCTGCTTTGACCATTTAACCACTACTATGTAAGTGATGTAGTTATGAGGGTGAGGAACTGAAATGTGAACCCAACGAAAGGACTGTAGGTTAAGGGGTTCATAATATTACAGGATGTGGTAACATGAATGGCTTTTGCAGATACAATCTGTGGAAATATCTGAGACTGTGTCATAGTAGTGTATCTTTATGAACTTGAAACCAGTCCTGAGCACCTAACACAGACAGTCTCAATCTGGTCTCCATGTGGCCTCTCAATATTGTTGTTATATTCCAGCTTCTAACACACCTGAGGTGGGAGATTGAGGCCTTTCATGTGTTGAACTTTGGGATTGGGATATACTGTATGCAGCCACATAATGTAGCAAAAAAGTGGTATAAGGAATAGTTTGCTGAAAAATCATTAAAATACTTTTCTCCTTCACCCAAATGTAATCAACTGGCCAAGACATGTTTGGTGTCTGAAATTTGCTTGTTTAGTTTTGCTCTGAAACTATGAGTTTTATGTAGCTAACATGTAATGGAAGCTAATGCGAATTAGCATTGTGCAAACTGCATGCCTAAATCATTACATGCCTCAAACTGTTATAAAGAATGCTATAAAACAGATGAAAGTACAGAAGCTATAATGGCCAGCATGTGTTTTCACTCAGTGGACTTCAGTGGATTTGTGTTGCAGGCACATATGCCGTTTGCTGTTGTGGGGAGCTGTGAGGAGGTTAAAGTGGGGAACAAGCTGGTGCGAGCCAGGCAGTATCCATGGGGAGTGGTGCAGGGTGAGTATCTAATGCAGGTGTGGCAAATTGTGGTTGGAACTAGGCTCAGCAGGAATGTAGTTCTCCAGGACCAGACTTGGAGTCTATTCTGTTAGAGTAATTGAATGTGTTGCGTGCCATTTTGATTGTTTTTGAATTGCTTTGTGTTACTGTCAAGTTGCATGGAACCTAAGTTGCATGCAACTCACAACATGCAACTAGTTGCATGAACGTTTCACTGTGTGGAGCCAGCCTAAGCAGTATGTGTGTTTGTGTGTCGGAGCGCAGTAGAGAATGAGAGTCACTGTGACTTTGTGAAGCTGAGAGAGATGCTGATCCGGGTGAACATGGAAGACCTGCGGGAGCAGACACACACACGCCACTACGAGCTCTACCGCCGCTGCAAACTGGAGGAGATGGGCTTCAAAGACACCGACACTGACACACAGCCATTCAGGTACTGCTGCAGGGTTGATGGACCCTTCACACGTATGCAGTAGTTTAAAAAAAATCAGATGAATGCAGTTTCTCCCCCCTTTACCGCAAATGTAGTTGATCAGCCCAGACATGTTTGGTGTCAGAGGGACTGCTGGCCTTATCTGGTTATAGTCTGTTCAGCTTATAGTGTGTACTGTACTGTTTCATATGGCACATGTAATATGGAGTCGTCTGTCTCCTTCTCCTATAAAGTTACCATTTTGGCAATACAAGGTTTTCTTCCAACAACAGTGATATGTACCTATGAGACATGTTACATATACATATGTCCCATATATATATATATATATATATATATATATATATATATATATATATATATATATATATATAGTTAATCAGCCAAGGCATGTTTGTTGTCTGATATTTGCTTCTTTAGTTTCTGCCCAGGCGCTAAAGAAGCTAACAAATAATGGCAGCGTATAACCCAACAATTAGCATCATGCAAAATTTAGACTTCAAAACAGGGTTAACAGTATATCAGTGTTGGAAACCATGTACAGTAAAATCTTGCTTTGCTAAAATTTGAAAGAAATTGTGTAAATTTGTTTTACTTTATTATAAATATTCCTTTAGGATTCCACTGGGGATTCACATTTCTCAGGAGTTTTCTGTCTCGTTCTCCACGAAGCCATCCTCAGAGAGATTTTGTTTAAATGGGGGTTTTAGACCTGCTGTGTAGCTGCTGAGATGTGTAACTGCAGCTGACTGAAGAGAGTTTGTTGATTGGTGTTTTTGGTGTCTCTCTGGTTCTCCTCAGTCTGCAGGACGTCTACGTGGCCAAGAGGAGAGAGTTCCTGGCTGAACTGCAGCGCAGCGAGGAGGACATGCGGCAGATGTTCGTCAACAAAGTAAAGGAGACAGAGGCGGAGCTGAAGGAGCGGGAGAGAGAGGTCAGGGGTCAGGGAAGGACATCCTGGGGAATAAACACTACTGGTAGACATGAAGCCCACGCTGACTAATAAAGTCTTTTAAGGTCTCGGCAGTAGCTGAGCTTTTTCTCCTGATGATAGGTGGGGTGGTGGGGTGGTGGGAAGGGTATTATTACACAGATAATTGGATATAAATAGAGTCATATTATTACACATGGTCATATTATTATTACACATAGATGCTCACATATATCCAATAAGTATAGGGCATATTTATGGTACCATATCCTGATACAGCATAGAAATATACCTGTGTGTGTGTGCAGCTGCATGAGCGTTTTGAGCAGCTGAAGCGTGTGCATCAAGAGGAGAAGAGGAGTTTGGAGCAGAAGCGGCGTGAGCTGGAGGAGGAGATGAACTCGTTCAGCAGGAGGAAGGTGGCGGCGGAGGCGCTGCAGGCACACATGCTGCAGAGCTCCATCACACACACCATCAAAAAGGACAAAGACAAGAGAAAGTGAGTGGTCTCCCCTCCTCCAGTGTCAGCCTGTCTGCTCCTATCTGTGTTAGGCTCTGTCTGCCTCTCTGAGCGTGTGTGTGAGGGTGTCTCTGTGTCCTTGCTCTCTCCCTGCGTCTCTCAGTTTGTCTCTGTGGGCTTTTTGTTTGTCTCTGCATGCTGTTCTTGTTTGCATGTGCTGTGCAGGGAGACGCGCTATGACAGCACCTTGGCAGTCGGGGCCCTGGCACACACATTACATCATGCTACAGGTTGTCAGCACAAAAACAGCCATTGAATATAAGGTTTTCAGGAGATACTCCTGAGGAGGTTCAATATAAAAGAAAGGAAGGGAAAATAAGTGAAAAAAACAGGAGTTATAACAAAATTATATAAAGAAAATGGGGCTCCTAACAACTATGTAAGACCTGGTAGACCACCAACACTGCCCCCATCAGATAAACAGCACTTAAAGCTTTCACCTTTGAGAGAGAGGAGAAAATGAAGCTGCTTCAGATCTGAAAACATCCACAGGTGTTTCTGTCCAGCCTTCCACTGTGAGAAGACAACTCAGCACTATGAGTCTGAAAGGATGTGTAGCTGTTGAGAAGCTCTTAGTGAGAAAAGGAGATGGACACATCAAACAAAGAAGCTGAACAATGGACTGACCACCCCAGAGTCCAGACCTCAACATCACTAAATGTGTTTGGGATTACTTGATGAAGGAAAAGCAAAAAACTGAAAAAAATTTAAAGCAAGTGTCCCGAAAAGAATGGAAGCTGTAATAAAGGTAAACAGTGGAACAACAACATCAGCAACAGCAGCAACAATAATAGTCCTTTTTAAGCGGGAGAGTGGAGCACCCGAGAGACACTTTGCATGGCCACCCTCCCAAAACTCATAATATATTTATGTCTTACTGAATGTTTCTTTTTTTGTGAACAGCAAGAACTTATTAAGTGATAATCAATATATTGTAAGTACTTGTTTACAGTATTTTTGGTCAACTTTTCTACCTCAAGATTGGACTAATACTTTTACAATACAACACATTTTAGATAATCATTTTATTAGAAGTTCATTCTTAATGTTATACAGCTTTTTTCATTACTTTACAATCATCTACAGCTCTGTTCATCACTTTTCATCACACACTCTTTCATAACAAATAATATAAAACCTGTAAAGTTCCACGTGAATCATTTTAAACATTTCTGCACAACCAGTAAGGATTTATATTATATTATGTGTGCCAGGGTGTCTCCACATCTTCTGACTCTCTGTGTGTCTCTCAGTTTGTCTCTGTAGGCTTTATGCTTGTCTCTGTGTGCTGTTCTTGTTTGTATGAGCTGGCTGATGATGTCAGTGCAGAGAGAAGCGCTATGACAGCACAGCAGCCTGGCACTCAGCAACAGCACCCTGCACCAAGACACAGGCTGCCGAGCCCAGCGGTGTGCTGAGTATGTTAGGATATATGAGGATATATAATACCAATACTGAGTAATACGAAGGATCATGTTCCTGTACTCATACTTAAAGTCTTTACATCAGTTTAAATAAGCTATTAACTAAACTGACCAATGACCGTCTTTATGCCCGTTGTATGCAAATGTTTGAACACCCCTGTTTTTTTTTTGTGATTCTCTAAGTGAAAATAAGTTCACACATCGTCCACAGAGAACGCACTTAAACTGACATTTTCTGCTAATTTTAGTGCACGATTTCTACTTAAAATTTATTATTCATCACATTTACGGCATTTGACAGATGCTCTTATTCAGAGCAACTTACAGTTTGATCATTTTACACAGGTAGGCGAAGGTAGTATTAGGAGTTTTGCCCAAGGACTCTTGTTGGTATAGTGTAGGGTGCTTACCCAGTTTCCCCCCAGTTTACAGTGCAGAAGGCTGAGGTGTTACCCACCACACTACACCAAATTATCATTTATTTGCTATTTCATTTCTATTTATTTTGAGTTTGACATATTGGTAGAAATAAAACATGCAACGCATAAATGCCCTAACTTTTGCACAGGCCACATTTTACGTTTTATTTTTTCTAAAATGTTAAATTGAGTAAATAAACAGTAATCGTGCATTAAAATGTGCAGAAGTGTGTTCTCTGTAGAGGATTGGCTCATTTATTTTCACTTAGAAAATCAACAAAATATGTAATTTGACCAGGAGTGCTTAAACTTTTCTATTAATCTTTTCTATTAATCTTAAAATTGTGCTTATGAGATAACAGGTGAGAAATATCAGGGGAATTCCACTCCAATACAGAGTCATTCAGAGTGGTTTGGTGTGAAATGGTTCATCGCAGAGAAACTTAGAAACTCAGATTTTTTTTACAGTGGTAGAGAAACCAGGGGTTGTGATGTCCACAATGCAAATATAGCCATTTTATTTACTATCCAAAACCATCAGTGAACCTACATGCGTCCTTTAAGTTTTTATATGTAATGTTGATGATTGTACATAATGGTAAATCAGAAAGTGTCTTTGGGGACTATATTGCCTTAGAACGCTCTTCATGTCTGGATAAATATATATATATATATATATATATATATATATACTCAAAACTGTCATTAAACAATGTCTCAGGCATCAGGCAGCACATTTGTAAACATTCCAGGCAATTATTTTCTGAGAGGGAGGTTTTATAGGCATTAAACTCCTGGTCTGGTTCCTGAACAATTCTGCCTCTGTACGTTTCTAAAGAAGGGAGCTTTTCACACCAAACCTAAACTTAGTTTACGTCTCAACCATTTAATTATGCTGAAATAAAAAATAATATGTTAAATTAGCCTTTAAATAACCTAATGCTTGTTTGCTGAAGTGATTATGCTGCCATGAGTCAGCATCAAATCCACATTTAATTTCTTCAAAACAACTGATTAAAGAAAACAGTAGGTGTCAGTATTTTTATGTCAGGACAGCATCAGTCTGTGTGTGAGCGCGGCTGTCTCTTTCTCTGTCTCTGTCTCCATCTCCGTCTCTGTCTCTGTCTCCATCTCCGTCTCTGTCTCTGTCTCCATCTCCGTCTCTGTCTCTGTCTCTGTCTCTGTCTCCGTCTCCATCTCCGTCTCTGTCTCTGTCTCCATCTCCGTCTCTGTCTCTGTCTCCGTCTCTGTCTCTGTCTCTGTCCTCTGCTCTAAATGAGAAGAGTGTTATTTTGGGGTCTGGCTCACTCTGAGCTGTCATTTTGTTGTGTCAGGTGTGTTTTTAGAACCAGCAGTGAGAGAGAAAGAGATGCTTCACATAGTCACTGCAGTTGGAAACACAGAGCAATGAGACAGTATATAAACAGAGTGAATGTAAATATTAGACAATATCATTAGAATAAAGTGACTGTTATGGTCTTTTTAACTTTCCTGGCTTTAATAGATGTGACAGTGCTCTGAGTGACGTCACAATATCAACCACTCTTCGTCTGCACTGGTTGTTGAGTGTAGCGCCCTCTGCTGGACACAACCAGCATTAATGGCAGCATAAGGTCATTTAATGGAATAGTCCCACCAAAAAAAAAACAAAAAAAATTAATTAATTTTAAAAAAAGGAAGAAAAATATATTCCAAATGTATTTATCATATATATTTGCAGTGTACATATGCGATGTATGAAAATGGCCAAAACAGGTATTTGTTAAATATATATTTTAAAATGCAATTATTTATAATTTATTATATTTTTTCAATCGTACGTAGTTTTAATAAAGGTTTTACAGATTAAACTAAATGTACATGAATTGAATGCAAATGCAGTGAGACAAAATGCATTTCCAATAAAGAAGATATCAAATCATAACTGCATTTTCACAGAGCATCAACACCTGATTTTGCCATGTTAAAGCTTCATTGGCTAGTAATTAAAATTAAGATACTGGAATACAAATTCATTTCAAAAGGTATTTCAAACAATGAAGCGAATTTGACAAGTATTTTGACTATTTCATACATTTTTAAATGTATTTCATAGATACATTTGGATACATTTATTTTGTACTGTAAATTTCTCCACATACATTTTAAAATAGATGTATTTAAATAGTTTCGGTTTATATGGCAGTATTTTCTGAAATACATGGTAGTGTTTGGAATGTATTTTATCATGGACTGCAATGTATTAGATATGTATTTCAAATACATAAGAATACATGTCTGTATATATTTTCCATACACGATCAACCCCAAATGTAGTGATCAGCCAAGACGTGATGTGTCTGAAGTTTCTTTCTTTATTTTCCCTGTTTATGTTTTATGCTACGAGGCTAATGTGGCAAAGTAATAGAAGCTTCTAAGCAATTTGCATTTTGCAAACTGTATGACTAAACCATCACACACTTAACAGCGAGTTGTAAAATAAGACCAAACACACTTGCGTGTGTAGTTTCTGACAATGTATGACAAACCGCTCTCTATAAAAATGGATAAAACTACAGGCAAAATCCAGGCTTACAGGTAGCTAGCACTGCTAATGCTGTGTTCACCTGTGTGATGTACTTTTGTCCATTTTTACAGACAACATTAGTGTCATGAACCACATAAGCAAGTCTGTTTGAGATTATTTACTCTGCTTGACTTTACAGCTCAGAATGGTGTGGTTTGTGGCGAGTTTGTGACGCAGGTTGCACAATGTAAATCAATGTACATGTATATTAGCATCGTAGCTCTTTACAAATCTGTTTAGTCAAGCAAGCTGGTATTTAAATCAGCGTTTAGTAGATGTACAAGATAAAAAAGCCAAGAAGTCACACTAGGTAAGTAAGTTATTGTCTCACTTCAGTAAGTAATCATATCACTATGTTGCTTGTTGCAAGAAATACACCTGAAATAAGCACAACTGTCTGACAGTATAGAGAAATAATGTGACGTAGTAAAACCACCTAAAATAAGTTTTAAATCGTCTACACACTTAAAAATCTGGTTCTTTATGGGTTCTTTAGTAAAGAAAATGGTTCTATATAGAAGCTTTTTGAAAAGGGTTCTATATAGCACCAAAAAGCGTTCTTCTGTTATAACAAGCATGACTTTGTAACAATAGAAGAACCCTTTTTGGGTGCTATATAGAACCCTTTTCAAAAAGAACCATCTACAGCATGTTCCACATCAATCTGAAGAACACTTTCACAATGCAAAGAACCCTTTAATCATGCAAAGGGTTCTTTGAGTGTTCATAGTTCTATATAGAAGCTTTTTGAAAAGGGTTCTATACAGCACCAAAAAGGGTTTTTCTATTGAAACAAGCCTGACATCCTAACAATAGAGGAACCTTTTTGGGTGCTATATAGAACACTTTTTAAAAAGGTTCTGTATAGAACCATCTACAGCGGATTCTACATCAATCTGAAGAACTAGTTCACAATGGGTTCTTTGAGTGTTTATGGTTATATATAGAACCTTTTTCAAAAGGGTTCTATACAGCGCTAAAAGGGTTATTCTATTGCAACAAGACCAACATCGCATTTTCAAAAAGGTTCTGTTCTATATAGAACCATCTACAGCACATTATCCATCAGTCTGAAGAAGCTCATGCCAAAGGGTTCTTTGAGTGTTCCTGGTTCTATATAGAACCATTTTCTTTACTAAAGAACCCTTAAAGAAGCATCATTTTCAGGGTGTAGAAATAAATTTAATAACCATATAATAAACTTACAACAATCTCACAATGAGAAATAGATACATCAACCAGATTTAAGACAATTTCACTTGACAAGATGCCATTTTTTGCAGTCGTTCACTCGTCATATCTACACTGTGCATGAGCAAACGCCCATGTGTGCGCGTCTCAACTATTTTTGTTACGCTGGTCTTTTGGACTGTTTAATTAAGAAGCGGCTTATCGCTGCTGTCGGAACCTCATAACTCCATTTTTGTCGTTTTTCAGTTTTTGACATAATTTGAAAATGCCTGTTGTTGTTTACATTGTATGTAAATTTCATGATGAATGGACCAAAAGAAACGACCCAAAATGACTTGGAAAAAATTCTGGTTCCATTGACTTACATTAAAAGTAAAGTATGTTTTTTCCGTCTCCTGTAAAGTTACTATTTTGGAAATACAAGGTTTTCTTCCGACAGCAGCGATATGAGGCTCATGTCTGAAATCAAGGTTTTCTCATAAAGGTAATGAATATTCCTTCTAGGCTGAACAGTTATGACTGTTGATTAAACTCTGTCAGTAATCCAAGTTATTATTATTTACTGTTTGTGATTTTTTTCACCCATGTCTTACCCATGTGAGCTGTTTTGTCATTCCTTTCCTCTGTTTTGTCTTTCAGTTGACTTATTTGCACACTTTCTAAGCCTTGCTCGGAGCACTCCACCTATTCACATGGTTTACAATGACAGCAGCAAAACATGGAGCAGCAGATGGGTCATCACTGAAATATGCTTTTGGTTATTGTAGAATATATTTCACTATACAGACTAGGCTTATGGTAACTGGAGAGAGGATTAGAAGAGGCCTTTCAGTATTATATAATCATGATACTTGAGCCACAATATGACTCTCAAAATTGTGATTGTGAAAGTATTACAGTATTACCTACTAAGACATATTGTGATTTATTACCTTTCACTACAAAATGAAAACATCTTACGACACTTTATAACGTGTTTTCTTTTTTATTTCCTTGTAAAACCTTCCTATGAGAGTGAAACATGAACTCCCCGGACAAACAATTAGTCACCTTGCGAAATTAAAGTGGTAGTAACTTTAGGCTTCTGCAGATGGCGCTGCACGAGGATGATAAGGCTATAAATTCCTGCAGAGTGTGCAACGGGATTCATTGATTGAGAAGAGGTGGTACAGTGCAGTGAATGTCTCGTTCGTTGTGTGGAAAATGGTGCACAAAGCAGATGTTAATGATTGGCAAAAAATAGTGATTGCATTTGGGGGGCCAAAGACCACAGTGTGAAGGAAGTAGCTGAATTTTCAGGTGTGTTGAAGTGTACGGTCATAAGGGACGACCAGCAGTGGCAAAGATCCCAGTCTACAGGAAATTCTCATCAGAATTGTGGCCGAAAGACGAAACTGACAGACACAGACCGCCAGCGTGTTTAATGGACTGTGAATAAAAATCGCTTCGCTTCCAGACAATAATGGCTTTAAGAAGTCAATGCAGGTTCTTCACAAGCAATTTCTAAAAGAACTCTCAGCAGGGAGTTGCATACCATGAACATATAGACCAGAGCGGCACGCAAGAGGCCTTCACTCACTTCTGCTCAGTTCCCGGTTACAGTGAAAGGAGAGACACAAAAACTGGACTGTTCGTGACAGGAAACATGTTATCTGGTCAGATGAATCTCGTGAATGATGCTCTGCGTCGTGTTCATCACAGAGCTCACAAAGCCTTCAATGAGGACTGTGTGGAAGGTGTGGTTCAAGCTGGAGGAGCGCTGTGATGTTCTGGGGGTGTTTTAATTATGCAGAAATGGGCTCTTTGGTAAATTTTAACCACAGTGTCTACATTGAGCTGCTGGACAACCAGGTTTTGCCTTTTGCTTATCATCTTACTGAGGAACATGACATTCCTATTCCTGCCTTCCAAGATGACAGTTCTCAGGTTCACAGGGTTGTGAATGTGACAGATTGGCATGATCTGGACCAGCCCGCAAAATCCCCAGATTTCTGTCCTCTTGAAAATCTGTGGAACTCCCTGGAACAACGAGTAAGACGCCAGGGAAGTCGAAATCTGGCTGAATTGCGCAATTCTTTGATGCCGGAGTGGCTGAACTTTGATGTCGCCTACATCCAGAAACCTGTCCAGTCCAAGCCACATCGAATCGCAGTCGAATCAGGATATTACATGCTATTAGGTATGTTTCAGTCACAGGTGACTCATTTTTTGTCCGGTGAGTTTACATGTTTAATTTATTCTTAGATGGCATTGACAGGACTCTGAAACAGAGCATGAAAATACAGCAGTAACAAATTTTTATATGATCTGAGGTTTTTATCACTCAGTGATGCAATTCACTATGCACTGTAGAACTATCAGCCTCATAACAATACACCAGTATATGCTGTATGTCTTTATATTTAACATTATCAATATTTGACTCTTAAGTTTGTTAGCTTTGAACTGCCCAGTGTGTGTTATGAGTGGTACTAACTGTTTTATATCTTGGCACAAGAGGGAGATTTATAGATTATTGTGCAAATTTATCCACCATATACCATTAATATGTCTGTATGTATTTGTGTTTTTTACATTTAATTAAAGAAAGTGTCCTTTATTTGTATTTTGTGTTTTTTAACTTTATTTATTATTTATAATATTTTTTTACTTCCATCTCATAAAAGCCTGTTGTTACTGTGCATTTAGCCTAAAATTGTTTATACTTTCCATTTCTTATAAGGCATGGAAACATCTGGAAGCTTCTGGAATCAGATGTATTACATACAAGGCCTTATGTCCTGTACCACTTCATTTGACCTCAGTGTGGGCAAAGTAACACTTTACTTAATCCAAGTTTTGGTAAATTCCATTGTCAAATGGGATCTGCTCATAGAAACGCTATAAAGCTCTCACTGGTTTGAATTTAAAGGGGAATTCCACCGATTTTTAAAATTTCTGCATAATTAATTAAATAAGACAAAGTAAACAAAGTAATTCAGAGTGATTTAGTGTGAAATGCTCCATTCTAGAGAAACTTACTGAGTCAGGATTGTTCACAGTGGTGGTGATAGGAACCAGACGTCTGAAAAATTCAATGCCTTTAAAACCTACATCACATGACAGTTTTGAGAAGAATTAGGCCTAAAATTTGGAGAGAAGAGGTACATGCAGGGCGTTATGTGGCAAAATAGTACAGAAAGACAACTTATTTTTGTTTATTTACCACTATTTACCATCATAAACATCACATATGAACCTCAGAAGACACGTGTAGATTCACTGGTGGTTTAGGATAGTAATTAAATGGCTCGATTTGTGCTGCAGTCATCATGACGTTTGGTTCCTATCAGCACCACTGTAAAGAAATCAGGGTCAGTACGTTTCTCTACAGTGAACCAATTCACATCAGTGACTTTGTTTACATCGCAAACACTGAATTATGCAGAGAATTTGAAAAAGCAGTGGAGGGTTAAAACTTCGCCCCGTGCAAAACATGATGTCACTCAGAAAAAGCCAGACAGGTTTTTACTTTACATGCTTTCATTCTCCTTATGTGTCAATTAACTGCATGAAACAGTTACAGCAAATGAATTGATGCTAAAAATGAAGGTATTAATTGTATGCTCTCTTTTTCTTTCTTATTGTCTGTCTATTTGTTTATCTTTCTGTCTGTTTGTCTCTCTCTTTTCTGCTCCCTATCTATCTTCTGTCTTTCTTCCTTTCATAGCTTCTTCAGTCTTCCATCAGCTTTCTCCTCCAGAACAGAAAGGAATCTGAATTAGGGTTTGTTTCATTCTCATTGGCCAGGGAGAAAATTAAAGGACTACTGTCCTCTCCTTTGTGATATACAGTTGCCCTCAAAAATATTTGGACACTTTAACTATTATTACTATTTAGTGCCGTCAAGTCGTTTCCAACTCCTTGTGACCATATGGACAGTGTTTCTCTAGAACATCCTGTCTTAGGTTTGGGTCTTCAGGCTTCTGAATGGCTGGTTCAGGATTTTTCTGACTGTCTCCATCCAACTTGTAGCTGGTTGTCCTCTTTTAGCTTCAACTTTTCCAAGCATAGTGTTCTTTTCCAATAAAATTGGTTCTTCTGAGAATAAGAGCTTCAGTTTGGTTATCTGGGCTTCAAATGAGAGGAGAGCCTTGATTTGGTCATGAATGCATTCGTTTGTTTTTTTTTGCCATAAAAGGAACTCTAAAAAATCTTCACCAGCACCAAAAATTCAAAGGTATCTGTATTTTTTCTGTCTTGCCTGTTTATTGTCCAACTTTCACCTCCATAAAGAACCACAGGGAAGATCCCAGTCTGGACAGTTCTGATCCTCATCTGTAGAGATGAATTGTTGCATTTCAAGCTCAATCTTTTCAAGCTCCTTCGTCCTTGTTCTGCCGAGCACCGATGTGTGTCATACTTCTTTAGTCCTGGATCCTCTGTTGTTAATAATTGATCAGAGTATGAAAAAGCTGTCCACCATTTCCACACCTTCTCCATCAGTGGTAAAGTTAGCAGGCCTTTATGTTATAATAAACATAGTCTTCATCGTATTGAGCTGAAGTCCCTTTTTTTACTCTGTTCTTCAACCTTCCTAATAAGGGCCTTTAGGTCTTCCAGATTTTCTGCTATGAGAGTTGTATCACCTGCATATCGAAGGTTAACCATTAGTAAACATCAGTGAAGCTCTTTAGGTTGTTGTAGATACAATGTTAATCAAATTGTATCTGTTGCAGAGAAAAACAATCAAATTGAAGGACAAAACCTGGAGAAGAGCTCCAACCAGACAAAACACGTAGTACTGTAAAGCGCAGAGGAGGAAACCTCAAAGTCTGGGGCTGTTTTACTGACAGTGGTGTCAGTGAGCCTGTGTTTATTGATGGCATCATGAACTCAGAAGTGTGTGAAGGCATCCTGGATGCAAACCTGCAAAAGTCTTCCACTGCTCAAACAATAAGGATCTGAAATTCACCAGCCGCCTTCTGAAAGAATGCTTAGTCTCTGAATGGTCTATTTAGTATGACGTTTTTAAGTATGGTACGTGTCCAAATATTTTTGGGACCACTGTATAACTAACAGACTTGTTTGATTTGTATTGTGACAGTAATCATCATGTTCACCTACATGTGTTTATACTTCTTTTACAGTCTGAGTAAAACTCTAAAACTGTATTTAAACTAGTGCAGCTTTCATTTTTAAATAAATATTGTTTAATTTCCAAAATATAACCTACAGCTTTAACTGTAAACAGGTCATTTGTGTGAGTGAGCGTGGTTTGGTTTGCCCAGTGTTTTTCAACACTGTGAGCTGTGTTTACTGTGAAGCACAAGGTGGCGCTGTAGAACTGTGAAATGGCAGCGTTCACTGTTTACTACTGGAGCTGCTTAAAGACTTTACACTAGACTAGAGATTTTTATTCATTAACTTTATTTATTTATTCATTTATTTCCCTAGAAATTGCTTTCTGGTGTGTTGCTGATCATTATGTAGATTCCCTTTAAACATTAAATATTCCCTTGACAAACCACAGCAGTTTGGTAATAAATAAACCGCCCTTGGAAATCACTGATAAGTGTCTCTGTTGCAGAGAGTGTAGAATCTTGACTTAAGTTTGTTTGCCTTCAAGAAAATCCCCCTCAAATAAACACTGTTTTATAGACATATATGAATAACACTTAGGGAATCCACTGAAAGGGGTATATCATAGAAAATGAAATTTGTTGTCACCTTTTTTTTTTTTTTAAATAATTGCATATAGTTTGTAGAAATTATTAAAGCATTCTTCTGTTGTAACAAGCTTGACATTGTAAAGATAGAAGAACCCTTTTTGTTGCTATATAGAACCCTTTTTAAAAAGGTTCTTTATAGAACCATCTACAGCACATTCTCCATCAATCTGAAGAACCATTTCACTATGCAAAGAACCCTTTAATCAAGCAAAAGGTTTCTTTTTTCTTCATACGTTTTTCATCATTATGAGTGCTTATATGCAGCATCTCAGCACACCAAGGGAATCCACTGAAAGGGGTATATCATAGAAAATCAAATTTGTTGTCACATTTTTTTAATAACTGCATATAGTTTGTAAAGATTATTAAAGCATTAAATCATATTATTCACTCCTTGGATTATACATTCTATATATATAGACTGTATATATAGACTATATATATACAGTCTATATATATAGAAACTAGGTGCCTGTTTTGAATGAATTGTTTTTGTGATGTCACAAAAAACAACACATTTACATATATCTGCCCAATCAGTCTGTCATTTACACTGAGGTTATAAGGAGTACTTCAGCCTGGACTTTTAAAAAGAGGCGCAATGCAACACAACCAATCAGAACAGAGGCAATTTGCATATATCATTCTTAAAGGCACAGTAATATAAACATAAACAGCCTCTTGGGACCTAAAGGATATGAAAGGGCTGGTGTAGAATTAGTTGAGATGGTTCTATATAGAACCAGGAGCACTCAAAGAACGTGAAAGAGCTGGTGCAGAATGTGCTGTAGATGGTTCTATATAGAATCGTTTTGAAAAGGGTTCTAAATAGCACCAAAAGGGTTCTTCTATTGTAAAAAGCCTGACATTATATAGATAGAAGAACCCTTTTTGTTGCTATATAGAACCCTTTTCAAAAAGGTTCTTTATAGAACCATCTACAGCACATTCTCTGTCAATCTGTAGAACCATTTCACTATGCAAAGAACCCTTTAATCAAGCAAAAATTTTCTTTTTTCTTCAGACGTTTTTCATCCTTATGAGTGCTTATATGCAGCGTCTCCATTCACCCTGGTTTGTTGCTCTAATAGTATGAACTGGGTTAAGTTGTCTGAGCTTAATAAAACTACACTCTTAATACAGATGAGTGTTCAAGGTTTCTTTAGTGAAGGGAATCTATACAGTACCATAAACACACAAAATTGTTCTTTGCATTGTGAAATAGCTTTTTCAGCTTTTAACAATAGAAGAACCCTTTTTGGTGCCGTATAGAACCGTCTTCAACACATACAATACATTCAATCTGAAGAACGCTTCACCGTGCAAAGAATCGTGTAAGCATACATGAGTGTTTATGGTGCTGCATCAAACCGTTCCCTTCACTAAAAAACCCTTGAAGAACCATCTTTGTTAAGAGTGTAGTTCTAATAAGCTCAGACAACTTAACCCAGTTAAGCCAACTTAACCCAATGGTTCTGTTTAGAACCACTCATGGTTCTAAACAGAACCATTCCGTTTACTGTTGAACCCTTGAAGAACCGTCCTTTTAAGAGTGTGGGCGTAACTGGGTTAAGTTGTTTGACCTTATAAAACTATGTCAGTTTCACATTCGGCCCACATTAGGCCTGATAATCACCCTGCACTTCCAGAGCTTCACATTTGATCTGTTTTATCATTAAGATATGAGCTGATCACACTGGACAGGTATTATTCTTATCAAACATGGCATGAACAAGTCAAAGAAACGAGCCTTTCCTCCGATCTGCCCTGAGTTCAAGGGGGAAAGTTTCATTTCACACCCTGACCTGCCCACCCTTGTCGCTGACTCCATGAGGATAAAAAAAGCAGCAGCTGCCATGCAGGGGCGTGGCTTGAGGGCTAGGGGCCGGGACTGAAGGCTTTCTTAACCAATGCGAAAGCAGAAAAGAGGGACACCGCCTCCCTACCAGCCAATTAAAACGCGCCTCCTGTGTATGGGCGGGGCTACACGAGTATAAAAGACGGGAGTTGCGGCCTCTCGGTCGCCTGACGCCGCGGGTTGGGGTGTGCGGGGCGGACACTTTTACACTGACTTTAAACCCTTTCATACTTACATTCGCCGTTTCTTTTTACGTTTATTTCTTTTCTGTAACTTGTTTTTTTTATTTGAGGGGCGTATTATTGCGCTTTCAGCAAACAGATACTTCAAGGTGAGTTCGTCTTGTCCGTTAGCCGCTTAGCTTCGCCAACCTACGGCGTTTCTGTGAAGTTGTAAGTTAGCGACGTAGCTAATGCGTTCATTCCTAATAGAGATTTGGCTCCAGGCTGTGCGTTATAACTAACCTTACAGCTGTTAAATATCAAGTTTGTAAAGGTTTAACGTTTGTAAATCATTGTTCGGCTAAAGTTAGCCAGGTAGCAGCTGTGTAGCTAACAAGGCTAACCTAGCTGTTTTTTTGAGCCCTTGTGTACCGTACTGAGGCTCGGCCTAACGTTCATGTAGGCCTGAGACTTTAACAGTAATAATTGTAGACGACAGTGAAGTGTATATGCTATAAATAATCTGTCTGAATGTTTTTTTTATAGGTCATTAGTTTGTAAACATAAGTTAACGTTATAAAACTAACTTGCAGACTGAAGTCAGCTTCGCTGTTCGCCAGCTGCTTGTTCGAATTTTCCCGTTCCACCTTAAATGGTGCGGCAGCTGACTTAAACGTTAATGTTCGGGCTCCATAATGTAACTGCTGTGTCATTTTAAGGTGGAACGGGAAAATTCAAGGACAGATCTGACTTCAGCTGCGCTGCGACAGTGTGTCTAGTCTGGCAGGAACATGTCCCGACATGTCTCTCTAAGGTGGTCCTGTTATTGTAGGTTATCAGTGGGCTTAGCCTCATGTGACGCTCAGCGTTTGTTTCCAAAGACTTAATTAAAACACAAAGCCCCGTTTAATTTTGTCATTTAATGACCGATTCAGCGTTTGTTGTCCGTAGTTGGACAGGCCTCTGACGAAGGAATGACATGTCTGGGCATGTAACCTACAGCCCTCCGCCCATCCCCCCCTCCCTATATCTTTCTAGAAGCTTTCAGTCCAGAAGACCTTCGCTTGCCAACACCAGTAGATTTCCCATTCTGACACTTGTCATTACAAACTGCTGTTAGTTATTAAATGCTGCTTCTTCATTTTAAGATGATTGACAGAGTGACCGGAACAGAGGCCTTGCCCTTTGCTGTCCAGTTGAAGGCTCTTGTGGAGCAGGAGGCTCGCTTTCAGCCCAAACTGTGCGGCCTACGCATCCTGGAGTCTGCTCATGATAATGGCCTGAGGATGACTGCCAAGCTGAGGGACTTCGAGGTGAAGGATCTGCTCTCCCTGACCCGCTTCTTTGGTTTCAGTGCGGAGACCTTCTCCCTTGCCGTGAGCCTCCTGGACCGCTTTCTGGCTGTGATGAAGGTATGGTTCAGGGCTGGAATAATCAGTGAACAGGTTGAATATATGTCGCTGCTGTCGGAACAAAACCTTAACTCCATTTGACGTTTTTCAGTTTTTGACATAATTTGAAAATGCCTGTTGCCTTTTACATTGTGTGTAATTTATGTAATTTCATGATAAATGGATCACAAAATGGCCCAGAATGACTTGGAAAATTCTGGTTCCATTGACTTGCATTAAAAGTAAAGTAGGTTTTTTCCTTCTCCTGTAAAGTTACCATTTTGGAGATGAGGCTTTCCTTAGACAGTGATGCACACATGCTTTTCATATCTTGTAGCTGGTCATCCTCTCTAACTGGTCCAAGTGTAATGGTGTAGGTGTGTAAATATGCAAACTAGAAACTTGTTAAACATGTCGGGTTTATTGCTTCTCTGCCAAGGTTGAAACCCATGGCCACACGATCATTTTACTTTTCCATAACTTTACTAGAGGTTAATGTTTAGTGTTTCTCACGTTCAGATTCAGCCCAAGCATCTCTCCTGTGTTGGTCTTTGCTGCTTCTACATCGCCGTGAAGACATCAGAAGAGGAGAACGTTCCTCTGGCAAGCGATCTGATCAGGATCAGCCAGAACCGCTTCACAGTCTCAGATATGATGAGGATGGAAAAGATCATTCTGGAAAAACTCTACTGGAAAGTCAGAGCACCCACTGCACTGCATTTCCTCAGGCTGTTTCACTTCCACATCCAGGAGAAGATGGATGCTGACAGGTCAGCAACTTCAGCACAATCATGTTGTGGATGTAATGAGTAAATTCATTTGCTAATAGCTATGATGTAAAAGTATTGTTTCTTATGAGTAATGCTCTGCATTAGACTTTAATCTGGTATTTTCTTGCAGTAAAAAGATTCTGAACATCGAGAGGCTTGAGGCTCAGCTCAAGGCCTGCCACTGCTCCTTTGTCTTCACAAAAATAAAGGTGAGCCAGTGGAGTCTTGTTAAAGTTGTAGTAAAGTTCACTGTATTGTTGGATAACACTATTCAAATGTCTTGATTTTGTTCCCTCAGCCTTCCTTGCTTGCCCTGGCTTTGCTAGCGCATGAGGTTGAGGAGCTGCATGGATTTGAGTCGGTAGCAGTCCTGAGAGAAGCGGTGCAGGACCTTCAGCAGCTACTTGCTGTAAGTGTCGAGTCCCAGTTTCTAAATGGGTAATGTGTTGAGGACTGTTGTGTAATGGGTTATCTAATGACTTTGGTTGTGAAGTCTGGAAAAGTAATTTTAGCAGTTGCAACAGGGCTGTTGTAACTTCATACAGCAGTGCACTGCTTTCTCACGGCCTTTGACCGGATTGCCGATTTTCTTTCTCTTAATCCTTTTCTAGGTTAAAGATGGAGATTTGGTTTGTGCAAGGGAGCTGGTTGGCAAGTGCCTGATTGAATATTCCACCACCAAGTGCTCAAAGCCTAACGGCCAGAGGCTACGTTGGATCATCTCGGGTAGAACGGCCCGACAGCTAAAGCACAGCTACTACAAGATCGCTCACCTGCCTACGATTCCTGAATCTGCTTATTAATGTTAGGTGGCCATAATTTAGAGTAAATGCTTTGAGTTATGGCAACTTAATGGAGAATCGGATTCCTTAAAGAGCTTCTATGTGAAGCTCTGTAAGGAAGCTGAATGTGTGGCTTTTAACCCCCTCCCTTTTCCTCTTGTGGTAATGGTTATTTATTGTCTGCTTTGACTAGAAGTTTCTAGTCAAGGGTGGGATTGAGAGCGGTCAGCCAGACAGGGTCACACCTGCCTGGTTTGATCAGCTTGCGCGCATGTACAGTATGTTCATTTGAATCGGCGCAGTCGTTGGCGCTGGTTGTTTAAAGCGGTGAAGTATTGAACCACCTAGGTCCTCAGTCCACCATGTGGAAGAGGAGGGAGAAGGGTTTTGTGAATTACGAAAACAATGGAACCAAGAAATCGGGCCCAAAACCCTTAACTCCCACCCTAGGTTGCCGAACTGTCCTAAAGCACACTCCTACCCAAGGTGATTAAACGAAGTTACTTTTTTCTTTCATTTCTTAGGTTAGGGATATAAACCAAATAAACATGTAGGTTTTTATCTTGCTGAGTAACATGCTCCTAACTGAGATGCTTCTTATGACTAACAGGTTTGACCTGCCATGCCTTCATGGCTGTGTGGAACCAAAAACTTTATATACAGGGTCCAAATTGCTTCACAAATGTCATTCTTGACAATGCAAAGCATGTCTCACTGCTAGTTTTCTTTTCTGCAGTAATGTTATCAGGCTTGACTTGGCTAATGACCAGACATGTACCCCTGTAAACATGAATGTGCACCTTTCAATAAAACATTATTGAAATGTTAAACTGGCTCACTCTCTTTAAATGAAACACACTCTTGTATAATCTACTTTTTTATTATTTTATAATAAATCCAGAACTTCCACTGCACAGTCTGAACTATGCCTGTACAGACAGCATTGGCTGAGTCACTGAAAAATATTGGCCTCTGTAAACCTAAATGACAAACTGACTTGAAGGCTTCTTGTGGTAAGTTATGGCTTTAACACTGACAGCCTGAGCTCTAAATTACTGAATGTCCAAAGCTCCAATACAATCACCCACTTGAAGAGCAAAAGAAAAACATCTGAAAACATCCCATTGAATGGAAACCAACCCATAATGTTTACTGTCAGTTTAAAGTCCTCATGCTCTCCTGGATTAGTGTGGTTTTACTTCTCCAAGCTGGAGAAATCTGGTCCCCCACCATGGAAGTTTCCAGAAATGTCAGCACCGCTAAAGTCAAATCCAGGATTCTGTCAAAACGAGCAAAAACACAAATCAATAAGTGTAGATTTGGGGCCACATTACAAAAACTGAAGTCTGAAATCTTATCTGTTTAGTCTTTTCAACCCCATGGGACCACCGGTGGTTCCAAAACACACTTTGTCAGATTCTTTATAACTTTAATATTTCATAAGCAATGTTCAAAAGGTGGGTATCATATGAGAGCTGCAACTGTCTTCATTCCAGTCAAACAGATGGGTAATGTAATTTTACAACTTTTATAATAGAAGCTGAACTCAATTTTTTTTTCTACTGAAAGTCGACCCATTTTCCACAAATCTGAGCTGTAAACTGGATACCAGATGGTGTCTCATTAGTGATCTGCTCTGACAGTCTAAGACTTTTGGCTTTCAGGAGTAAATTGTAAGCATATAGCGATATGCATATGATCATAAAACACTTGCTGTTAATTTGAGGGGAGGTTTTACCAAAATAAATAAAATAAAAATGACATTTATTCCATACAGTTACTGAATAATTTGCCTTACGATTTGTTTATGTAACTTCAGATGGAAAAAACAAAATACACCCTGGGGAATAAGAGGTTGCTATTTAGCCGTCCGGACCATCAGGAAAGTATTCAGTCTGCACCTGAAGTTAAAAACAGTTTAGCTCGAGAAACATGATCACACACACATCAGCAAATCCATCAATGTGTGAATCACCTCTCATCTTAATACACATACAAATAAAATAAACCCCACAAAACACAGTAAGAAGGACAGAGCTGAAGTTGGCTTCCTATTCACCAGCTTCTTGTTCGAGTTTTCCCGTTCCACCTTAAATGGTGCTGCTTCAGGCACCAGAAAGTGACCGTTACACCATTTAAGGTGGAACGGGAAAACTCGAACAAGAAGCTGGCAAATAAGAAGCTGACTTCAGGTTTGTGTAAGAAGGTGCTAATCTATTATGAATATCTACACAGATTAAGGAATGCTATAACTTACCGAGCTACAGAACTTTAACCATCACTGTAAATAAATAACTCCTACATAAAGTGAAGACCCCCCGAATAGACTTGTAAATGAAACAAGCTTAATATAAAACCAGAGGAAAAACAATCACATCAACAGGTTCTCTGTGCTTCACCAACCACACGACCACAACTACATGAACATCACACAAACAATACAGATCACACTAACATGAGTGTGGATCACTGTGTTCCCTCCGTTATATAATCCTATCCCACTGTCTGAGTACAATACTCTTGAAATAGTATAATTCTGACAGTATCTTTCTTAACTGCCGCTCTGTAATGGTACTGAATGCTGTCCAGCAGGGATGTTGACCACCCCAATGTATGTATATCTATGGTCCTAACCCTGGAAGACTGGAGCAGGAGGAATTGAGAGAATGAGCAGTAATGAGAAAAATGGGACAGCTGATCCATTTTGCCATCAAATCTAAGCCCTATCTGTTAAAACCTGTAGAAGACTCCCTGGGTAGCACTCAAGCATGTATCCTCCAGTGGGAGCTGCTTCAGCAGCTGTTTCAAAACATCTTGTCTCCTTTAGTGTTGGACAGCTGGTAAAATGGTGTCACCGAAGCTGTTTCTGGGTCATAGAGAAGAAGAGGAAGATCGGTAGGAAAAGGCAGTAACTTTTAGCCCAGAACTGAGGAACCCTCGTTCAGGCCGAAAGTGAGGACCGTGCAAAAGGAACATCTCCTGCTATTGGATGTGCTTAAAACGATATAGCTGAGAAATTCTGCTTTATCTAAAGATTGAGGTCTGTCTCACAAATAAGCCACTCAGCTTGTCCTCATGTTTCAAACAACCGACTGTTTGTAATAAACACCACACTGGCTGTGTTTACATGCAAAGACAATCCGATTTAATACACTCCGATTACAGATTAAGACTGAGGTGTTTATATCTCACTGTACTCAACAATCTGATGGAAAATCTGTTTACATTCACACTACAAGTAATCAGATCCAAAATGACACGCATGCGTAGAGAACCACTTAGTGTAGACGTTACCATAACAACGAGCATCACATTAGTCCAGTCAGAGTGAGACGAGTTTTCAGTTGGCGCGCTTGTGTGTTTGATTGCTTTAAAATGATGTCAGACTCAGGAAAACGTCCTTCACGTCCTTATTAAAGAAGGCCGAGAGGAAGACGTCGTGTTCTGAGACACGGAAGCTGGACGTCCGTCCCACCGCCGACTTTTAAAGATCAGAGCATAAACTTCATCTCCTCTGCAGACCAGTTTCTGCTCCGCCATGCTGAACATTATAAACTTTCACTATGACGTGATGAACATGACCTGTTCGTACTTAAACTTTCAGATTGGGAATGAAATCAGATACAGTAGTTTACATGGCTGTTATTCTTCCATTTAACAGATTATTTGCAGGATTACTCACCTCGATCAGTCGGATAGAAATTGTATTCCGAATGACCTCAGTCAGACTAGCCTATTTCGATTGAAGTGTCTACATGAACCTGTTGTATTCCGAAATATTGTATTATTTTCATATTAAATAAAAAAGTAACTGCACATTTTAAAAATACTGGGTGATGATCTGCCAGAATATACAGTTCTACAGTGAACTGGGCTGAGTCCCAGATCTTTACTATTAGTCAGAGCTATTAGTCAGATTATTAACGGATTATTAGGCTGCATGTAAACACGGCTCCTGTCTTGTGCTCATGCAAAAAAGATTAATTATAGCTCGAAAATCTAAACTTGGCCTAACAGAGAAAGTTTTTCACTACTGTCATAAATCAAGTTCACTGCGGCTGCCTTTGTTAAGTGTTGTGAAGCTGAAACTTGGTCAGAAACACTGTCAGTGTTGAACATGCTTTGTGTCCAGGTGTGAACTGACCCATAGATTCACAAGAGACCAGAATGTCCAAATCCTGGACACATTTCAGTGTCTTCTCTGCTCCAACATGCCCACTTCAGCTCAGGGGGGCTTGTTAATTAGTCAGTTAGTGTGATGAAGTGTGTTAGAATGAGTGAGTGTGTGCGAAAGCTAGAAAGAGAATGCATGCATGAGAGAGAGAGAGAGAGAAAGAAAGAAAGCAAGAGACTATTCTGTTTGACTGTGCAAAAGGAGGATAAACTGGCGGAGTGAGCAAGAGTCTCTTTGACAAGGCTTCCCATTTGTACCATGATAGAGCGGAGAAGGAAAAAAAGGTGGACAGAAATCTTCTTAGTCTTTTTCTTTTTGGCTGTTTTTTCAGAACTACCCACTGCACACACAAGGGCAGCTGCGGCCAAAAGCTGCTTCTTTATCTGCTCCACTGTTATTCAGTTTCTCGTCTGGTAAATTTCCACCAGGAGCACGATGGGGAAATAATCTCAAAAGGAATCATACTGACCCCGCAAGACCCCCAGTCTTCACAAAATCACAGTCTGTGACTAAAAACTTTGGGAGTAATGCCGGCCTCACACCAAACGACTTTTCAAGTGATTTTACTGGAGCAGACAAATTTACAATGTAGGAATAAAATCATGAGAGTCTTGCTAGAGTCGCTTCGTGCTCGTGTCATCTCAATCATTTAGTGTGAGGTGGTCAGGCTGGTGGTCTTAAGTCGGTCTTTTTCTCGTCCTGACAGTGCAATCAATCGTCTTTAATATTATCATGTTTTAAGTCTTGGGCAAGCGCTTGCGAGTGGCGCGATAGAGGGAGAGAGCGAGGGAGTAAATGCATGTGCGAGTGCCTGAAGTCTCTGTAAAAAAAGGCAAATCTGCTCCACAATAATATTAACCTGAAAGTGTAAACTGACTGTTTTAATATTAAGTTCACTAAGTGTGTAACAGTGATGTAAGGAAATGTGCAGAGGACTTAGGAACATCACTGTTGTTGAAAGAAAACCTTTAATCTCCATTTATGTCCCTTTTTCAGTTTTTGACATAATCTGAAAGTCCCTGTTGGTCTTTACATTGTGTGTATATTTCATGAAGAATGGATCAAAATAAGTGGCCCAAAATGACTTGGAAAAAAGTCTGGTTCCATAGACTTACATTAAAAGTAAAGTAGGTTTTTTCCTTCTCCTGTGAAGTTACCATTTTGGAGATACAAGATTTTGTTCTGACAACAGCGACATATTAAATAAAAAAGTAACTGCACATTTTAAAAATACTGGGTGATGATCTGCCAGAATAGACAGTTCTAGAGAGTCCCAGATCTTTACACACCCAGCCAACGTGTCTTCTCATTAGTACCACAGCAGAGTGGAGAAGGAAAAGGGTTTCTCTGCTGGTAAATTTCCAGCAGGTGCATGATGGTAAAATAATCTCAAAAATCTAGCTGCACTCTTGCAAATAGTGACCCTGTAAGATCCCCAGTCTTTGCAAAATCATAGTCTGTGACTAAAAACTCTGTGACACCGTCTTCAGGTGTGAGAGGGTGTCAGACTTCAGTCTTCTAGTGTGTGAATGTTCATGTACCTCTCTCTGGAACCTTTCCAGCGTGAGTTTTCTCTGCATCTGGTCCTGCACCCATGGGTCAGCGGCGTACTGCCCTTCTAGCAGTGAAGCCCAGCAGTTTCCAGCCTGTCGATTCGTCTTCATCAGGACAATCCTGATCAGCTTTTTGTCCTCTGAACGGCATTTAGGAAAAGTCACAACATAAACCTGATCAGTTTAACAGGCTTCATTCATTTTTAACCAGTTTTTCCCCAAAACGATCCCAAAGTCAGTACAATCTCACCTAACGTCCAGGTAGCTTCGTCTCCCACTGTGGTTCCAAACAGCTTTCCCTGTGGCAGTAAACCCAGTTAGCTTTGGCATGTGTGATACACACTTAAAATTATGGTTCTTCAGTAAAGAAAATAGTTCTATACAAAACCATAAACATCCAAGGAACTCTCTGCATGACTGCAGGGTTCTTTGCATCATGAAAGGTTTTATCAGATTGACTGAGAATGTGCTGTGGATAGTTCTATGTAGAACCTTTTTAAAAAGGTTATACAGCACGAAAAAAGGGTTCTTTTTGGTTATGATGTCAGAACCCTAAATAGAACCCTTTTCAAAAACATTCTACATAGAACCATCTACAGCACATTCTTCATCAATTTCATTTAAGTGTATATATAAAAAATAATCACACCCTGCCTTCCTTTTTCCTTCGAAACGGTTCTATACAGAACCACTACCTTTACTAAAGAACCCTTGAAGAACCATCATTTTAAGCGTTTATCTATATAAGATTCAAATTTTAGGAAAAAAAAAACAAAAACAAAAGAAATCACACCCTGCCTTCCTTTTTCCTTCGAAACGGTTCTATACAGAACCAATACTTTTACTAAAGAACCCCTGAGGAACCATCATTGTAAGTGTTTATCTATACAAGATTTATGTTTTTTACAAAATTCAAATTCTGCCTTCCTTTTTTCTTAAATATGGTTCTATAGTCCTATAGTATACTCACAGTCCTACACAGAACCACTACCTTTACTGAAGAACCCTTGAAGAACCATCTTTTTGAAGTGTGTATCTATATAACATTCAGGATTTAAAAGTAAATAAATAATTCACACCCTGCCTTTCTTTCTCCTTCAAAACGGTCCTATACAGAACTCACAGTTCTAAACAGAACCACTACCTTTCTACCTTCACTGAAGAACCCTTGAGGAACCCTTCATCAGTGTTGAGTGTGTACTAATAAATGAAGGCCAATGGTTGGTGTGTCCGCACCTTGAAGACCTCCTGCCCTTTGACGCTCAGCTCCACTTCTTTGCTTCCAAGTTTACACCGCACCTCCTTGCCTGACGTTCCCGGAGGGACGCTGACCTCGATGAACACCTCCTCCATGGTCTGATACCACGACCCCCACGGCGTTTTACAGGGAACGACGCCGCTCCTCTCCTCGAAATGAACCGACATGTTTATTAGTGTAATCTTGGGCCAGCAGCTGCAGCCTCTCACCTACCAGCCTGCTGACCCAGCCTCGGCCCTTACAGCGGTCACCGCAACCGGAGCGGTGCAGTCCGAGCTGCTGAAATGACCCTCCTCTATCAGACTGACCCCTAAAGATAAGACATCATCCCTCAAAGCAAGAAGCTCCTCAAAACAGTCTCCAACAATCCGGCACCTTCTCTCAGCTTCTGCTCCCTCCCCCGCTCTGTTTCTACGCCGGGGAGCCGCAGCGTGAAGAAACTCACACTGACACCTGGTGGTGAGAGCCGGAACTGCACCGCGCTGCGCGGCTGGATGGCAGAACTTCAAACAGGCCAGACAAACACTGGGGGCCCTGGTGATGCACATGAGCTGGGATCATTTAAACATCCTCAGATTTAGATGGAGTGATAATGAGCCAGTATTAATTATGGATGTAATTACGCTTTTTAAACTGTGTTTATTTTTCTTTTCACCACTTGGGTGAAACCAGGCCTGCTTGTTTCCAAAACCCAGTCACTTAGTGGATTCTCTTAATCCCTTAACTCGATTATTCCCCAAGATCTCACCTCAGACAACTCTGCAACACGCTGAGAGTCGCAGCGCAGCGAAGACAAGAGACCCAAGTTATGGACTTGTACTGTTGGAGAAGGAGGCACCGGCTGAGTGTGGAGAACATGGGCCGTATTTTGGCATTGTTTTTATTGATGTGGTGAGTGGAAACAGCCTGGAACAAGTGACTGTGTCTGTTTTTGACATAGTGAGAAGGTACATGTGATATTTATAGACAGGTTAAAGGGGTATGGAGGTATAGAACTGCCTGATAAGATGTGTCTTTACCCTCTAAAAGGGAATTACTTTCCAACATTTCAGCATAATTAAATGGTTAAGATGTAAACAAAGTCATTCAGCGTGGTTTGAAATGCTCCATTCCAGATTAAGCATTGTTCACAGTGGTGGTGATAGGAACCAGACGTCAGAAACATTTTAAGGCCCTCCTCACAGAAAGTTGTTACATGAAATGGTTACAGATGCACAGCCTGATGTCTGAGACGTTGTTTTAAGATAAAGTTTGGCCTAAAACATGTTTTTAAAATGCATTCATAACAACATAGTACATGTGATGAGTTCTAAGGCTGAATAGTCCCTAAAGAAAACTTATTTTTTCAGATTTTCCACTATTTTACCATCAACAACATTACTTATAAACACTCAGAAGACTCGTGTAGGTTCACTGGTGGTTTTGGACAGTGAATAAAGTGGCTATATTTGTGTTGTAGACATTGTGACGTCTGGTTCCTCCCATCACCACCACTGTAAAGAAATCTGAGTCTGTAAGTTTCTCTACAGTGAACCATTTCATACCAAACCACTCTGAATGACTTTTTTTTTACATCTCAGTGACCAAATTAAGTAGAAATTTTGATAAATCAGCAAATTCCTCTTTTAAAAGAGACTCTTTTTTATATAGTTCTATAATTTACTACAGGACTAATGTTATAGATTACTATGAGACAGTACTACAGGAGCCCTATACAGAGGTCAAGATATGACAGGTCATTATAGAAGTATTATAGAGCCTACGCATTTAAAAAACATGGTTCTTTAAGGGTTCTTTGGAAAAGAAAATGGTTCTGCGTAGAACCATGAACACTCAAAGAACCCTTTGCATCATGAAAGCGTTCTTCAGATTGATGGGGAATGTGTTTTATACGGTTCTATATAGAATCTTTTAGAAAAGGGTTCTATAAAGCGCCTAAAGAGAGTTGTGCTACTGTTACAGGCTTGGCACTGTAACAACAGAAGAACCTTTTTGGTGCTATGTAGAACTCTACAGCACATTCTCCATCAATCTGAAATCAGTCTGAGGAACCCTTTAATGATGCAGAGAACCCTATAGTCATGCATGATTGTCCATATTGTTCCATATAGAATCATTTTCTTTACTAAAGAACACAGAAGAAGCATCACTTTTAAGTGTAATGGTTTATTATGGTATTGCTGTAGATTTTCTGTAAGGATTTCAATCAAACTTGCTAAACCGTGTATAAACACCTTGTCTCCTCAGTGTGGGCGATGTAATAGGGAACGCAAAAATAAGCTCAGAAAACATCACACGCATTCTGGATCGGCTTCTTGAGGGTTACGATAACCGGCTGCGTCCTGGATCAGGAGGTGACTCTGTACACTTACATCATTTACATTCATAACATTTTATACATGAATACATTGTATTACATTGCATAACTGACGTAAAGGTTAAGATGTTCTTCTGGGCAAAAGTGATTATGATTTTTAAGTTCTTTCTCAATGTCGTTTCCTCTACAGTGTCAGTCACTGAAGTCAAAACAGACATATTTGTGACCAGCTTTGGGCCAGTGTCAGATGTTGAAATGGTGAGGAGATCACAGTTCATCACTCACTCCTCTCTGTCTTTTGTCATTTGTTGTTGCTGAGGGTCGTGGTGGGGACGCTGTCGTCCAGGCACTGAATGGTGCTCTGTGGACAGTGTCATAAGAACCCATAATGGAGTCTGAGACTTGTCTCTCTTTCTGTGTGAAGTCACATGTTTTAATGCCACTCCAAATAGTTAAAGGGGAATTCCACCTATTTTTCAAAATTTCTTAATAATTAAATAGTTAGGATGTCAACAGTCAACAATCTCATTCAGAGTGGGTTACCAACTCACAGTTCACAGTGATGGTGATAGGAACCAGACGTCTGAAGTGTGTAATTCCTTTAAATGCTGTCTCAATTTCGAAACGTTGGTAGAATTCTCCTTTAGCAAACCCATTCACATTCACCAAGTCTTTCCAACATGTCTTGTAACATATTGCAGGAAAAATCAAACACACAATGTAGCCTGTGCAAAACATACAGCATGTTTTATATTTTGTATTTTCTTTTTTCCAACATGTTAATCTCAGTGAATGAACAGTAGAGGATGTAGAGGGTGTGTTAGCTTATTTTCACTTAAGAAATACGCAAAACATGTAATTTGACTGAGGGTATTTAAACTTTTGCATACGACTGTGCAACAGAACTTATACAGCAGACCAAAGTGTGGCCTGTGGGTCAAAGTAAGCCCTCAAAGACATTTGATTTGGTCCACCAGAAAGTCTAACCCTGTACACTCTCAGGCAATGAGGGAACACAGTTTTAAATAACTTCTTATTTTTTAAATCTTTTTTTAATGTTAAGCTATTTTAAAGTACTTTTAGTGACAAAGCATGTGGTGCACACACGTACATACATACATACATACACATACATACACACACACACACACACACACACCATCTAAACTGCTTATCCTTCTGGGTCACGGTGGGGTGCTGGAGGCATGTGGTGTAATGCTATAAAATAAAAGAATAAGCTGGCGATTGTGAGCTAATTGAGCATAACAGTTGTGCACAGACAAGTGAAGATATAGAGACTTTCAGTGTGTGGTGCAGGGTGCCTTATATATAACAAAACCACAGTATTAAAAAACGACAATATATATTACATAGAATGGCAGTGTGTGAAATGTAAGACGAATAAGTTGCTGGCTACCTATTTTGTCTTGGCCCTCGGCTCACTATAAACATACTTTGGTGCCCAAGACAAAAAGTTTGACCACCCCTTGTCTAAAGTGATGATATTAGACCTCGGGTGAGCATCTAACAGTATTCACTTGAATTGTGTATCATGTAATTATGTTTATTCACAATCAAAAGTAGGTTTTTTATTGTTTTGATAACCAACAAGAAGCTTAATTTATTGTTATATATTAAGTAATAACTCACTTTTAAAGCCACATGGATTGATTGATTTGACATTTTTGTTAAATCGGAGAGAATATGAGACAACCTGAGAAAACACAATGTGAGACAACCTGAGAAAACACAATATGAGACAACCTGAGAAAACACAATATGAGACAACCTGAGAAAACACAATATGAGACAACCTGAGAAAACACATGGACCAAAGGAAGTGTACAGTTTCACATATGGACATTAATGAGTTAAGAATGTTGCATGAAATTTGCCCGAATTGTGGTGGTGAAGAGATGAACTTGGGTTCATTTCATGTGTATTTGTTACACAGGAGTTCACCATGGACATGTTTTTCCGTCAAATGTGGGTGGACGAGAGGTTGGCGTTCGAGGGCCCCATTGAAATCCTGCGCTTGAACAACCGCATGGTGGACAAGATCTGGACGCCTGACACCTTTTTCCGCAACGCAAAGAAATCTCTGGCACACAACACAACCTCACCCAACAAGATGTTCCGCATCATGCAGAACGGCACCGTGCTCTACACCATGAGGTACATGAAAAAGTCATGAACAACCCCGACACTCAAAATAGCAGCAGGAAACGTAATTAAGAGATCGCCAAGAGACAGTAAGCATATGGAGAGGACGAGCTACAAGATGCTATTTTCAGTTTCCCCAAATATTGAACTCAAGGTTCAGTCTAGGTCGTGTTGACAAATCCTTGGCGTCGTCTTACCTTACTAGATAACACAGATAACTAGATACTAGATAACTGCTGCTAGTGCACTTATTAGTACAGCATGTGGATTGAGCCCTTGTGTATTTGGCTAGTTGTGTTACTCTATATACATCTAGACTTCAGTTGAATTACACACAAATATTGGCACCCCTGGTAAACATGAGCACCAAAATATTCTTAATGACTTATTCTTTTGGTCTTTCTTTCAAACTATTAGCAAAAATCTAACCTTTGTTTAAGGTATAATGATCAAAAGAAAAACTAAATCTTGTCATGAAAAAAAATTTTCTTAAATTTATATATCCACAATGATTGGCACCCTTAGAAATACGTAGGAGTGAAATCTAACGGAAGTATAGTCCCATTCATATCTTATGTTTTTAAACCTAAAAAATTACCTACAAAGTACCTTTAGCAGCAGAAAAATTATCTACTGTGATTGTTAATAATAATAAAAATGTATTTTAGTTAGTGAAAATTTCTGTATCTTATATTTAGTCACCTTTTTATAAATGCAAGGTTGTGTTACAGTGATTTTATCACAGTTAAGCAGGAATTCCACTTGTTTTTCAATATGTCTGCATAATTCAATCATTAAGATATGAACAATGTCATTCAGAATATTTTTATGTGAAATTTTGATTGTAGAGAAACTTACAGACTCAGATTTGTTTGCAGTGGTGGTGATAGGAACCAGGGGTCACAGTGTCTACGTACAAAATATATATATTTAATTTGGTATGAAACCTACACATGTAAAGTTGAAAATGGTAAAGTAGAGGTAAATTTGAAAAGTTTAAACAAAACAAAAAAAGAAGTGTTTTATTTAGGGACTATTTTGTTATACAACACCTCATATGTTCATCTCTGCCACGAATATATTTACAAATGTACATTTTAGGCAATGATCTTATCAAAACTATCATAAAACCTATTTTTAAGGCATTTAATAACTTTCTGTGGAGGCTTTTAGAGACTTTAAACTCTCTAGACGTCTGGTTCCTATCACCACCACTGTGAACAATTCTGACTATGTTTCTTTAGAACAGAGCCTTTCACATCAAACCACTCCTAATGACTGTTTACATCTTAGCCATTTAATTCTGCAAAAAATGTTAACATTAAGTTGGCTTTCAAGCGGCTTATCATCATCCCTAACACCCTTTTGGTGAAATCACTGTAACGCATGGTCTCAAGTTGCTTCTTGCTTTTTTAATTTATGTGTGTCTCTTTCTGGGGTGGTTTTTCAGACTGACTGTAAGTGCAGAATGCCCCATGAAGCTGATGGACTTCCCCATGGATGGCCATATTTGTCCTCTGCGGTTTGGAAGCTGTGAGCACCTGCTCTCTCTCTCTATCATCAGCACCACAGAGGTTCTTGATTTGGCTTTAACTTTTCTGTTTTTCTGTCCTGCCTGCAGATGCCTACACAAACCGTGAGATCATTTACACATGGAGGAAGGGCCTGGAGGAGTCAGTGGACATCCCCCCTGAGTCCTCCAATTTACTGCAGTATGATCTAATCGGAAAGACGCTGTCCAGTGAAACACTGAAGATCAGCACAGGTAGGCACTGGCCCTCCTGGTTGGATAATGGCTCTAATTAATGGACAGTGTTGCTTCAAATGAAGGGTGGGCAATGTGGCACAAATATAACATAACAGGACCTAAAAGCACTGATAAATGATGTGTCATTATGTTTAGTTTTTTTGAAGTTTGCAAGCAAATTGGAATAAACAGAATGTACCACATTTAAAATGTACTAAGATCTCACTTATGCATCAGTAGGACACTTGATGATTTCAAATTATGTCAAAGAATTTATACATGGACATACAAGTTTTTTGTCCTGACAGTGAAGGTATATTCTGATATGCTCTGATTATTCATGACATTAACATTAACATTAGTCACTGGTGCCACAACATGTCACTGGCGTAACACCAGTGGCTGTGACACCAGTGACATTCTGGTTAAAACCAAGGATTTTGTAAATTGGCTGACTTCTCGGCAGTCATGTGACCTTGTGCAACTATTCAAAATCAGTAATAAAAATGATATTCAGCATTATTTTGACAAAATTTTTATTAGCCACCCATTAAAGCACATAAATACACCAGGCAGACATAACATTATGACCACCTCCTTGTTTCTACGCTCATTGTCCATTTTATCAGCTCCACTTACTATATAGGAGCACTTTGTAGTTCTACAGTTACAGACTGTAGTCCATCTGTTTCTCTGTATACTTTGTTAGCACACTTTTACCCTGTTCTTCAGTGGTCAGGACCCCCATGGACCCTCACAGAGCAGGTACTATTTGGGTGGTGGATCATTCTCAGCAGTAACACTGATGTGATGGTGATGTGTTAGTGTGTGTTGTGCTGGTACAAGTGGATCAGACACAGCAGTGCTGCTGGAGTTTTTAAACACTGTGTCCAAGTGCTCCTATATAGTAAGTGGAGCTGATAAAATGGAAAATGAGCATAAAAACAAGGAGGTGGTCACAATGTTACGCCTGATTGGTGTATATAATAAGCAAGTGTGGACTCTCCATTCATGTCTTGAGATGCATCCTCTCTGATAAGCCTTGACCCAAGGAAGCAGATTAACAGAGTTGAAAATACTATGTCAAAATGTAACATAAGAGTCCTGATAACACCTGTGACCGAAATCTCTGTGACAAATTTTTAAAATGTATTTTTAAAATGTAGTACAAGGTTAATGATATAAAAAGTAAACATGAATCTGTTTTATATAATTCCTAAGTTAAACCTCTTAAAAATATTGTTTTATATCAAAAATGGTTTCTCAAATGTTGAAAATTGGTTTTGTGACGAGCTGTTCGACATATGCAGAGCGACTATGAAAGAGGATAAAGAAAGAAAAATAAGAGAAATCATGAGGGAAAAGTGTTATTTAATCTAAGGTCAACTGTGTAAACGTACACACCGACTTTTGGAGCTGTGCCTAATATTTTAAGCCCTGCAACCTTTGTGACATGGTTTCCCACTTCAAATGGAGAATGACCCAAATATATATATATATATATATATATAAATTTCTTTTTTTTTATTTGTTTCAAAACAAATTAGAGATTTCGTGGTGCACTGAATTTTGCTTCCTAAAGAGTTATACTCTAATCGATCCATTCTGTCACAGATACACTCCCCTAAAGTACTACAGTAGCAATTATTGTAGCTACTGTGGTGCCAATTAGCAACAGAATGAGTAACTTTTCCAACCTAATTGCGTGATGTAACAGTCACAAGGTGGGCATATTGCTGGCCAAATGCTTCCCTGAGCGGCAGTGTAAGATGCTTAACTAGTCAGGGCTAATTTATTCTGTTGTGTGTGCCTTTAAAAAGAACAGAGAAGGCTAAAGCCGCTCGCAGGCCCTGAAGCCATACGGGGTCTGCGAGAGGGAGATTTATGCGCAGGCAAAAAGCAGTGTCCCCCTGCTGAGGACCCATCAGATCAGTGAGGCACAGAGACAGTGGATCAGGCGCAGGCCCAAATGCGAGGACAGTGCCCCAGTTAAAGCCAGAGAGAGGGAGACAGAGAGAGAGAGAGACTGTCTCTCTCTCTTTCTTTTCACCTTATTCTCTGATAAACTGCTCTTCTCACCTCATTCACTGATAAACTAGTGCTCTGAATGAACTAGATTCAAATGTGTGCATCATTTCCACATGAATAAAATATACTACATTAACACCAAGGCTGCATTTTCAGTAATTGGGTTGTATGTTTTATTTGTGTTGAGTCATTGTTCACATTTAAACCCCTCATGCATGATGTTCACATCTGTTGGAGAATTTTTTCAACCTTCGTTATCACATAATATTTTTATTTTAGTAAGAAATTGTTTACAAATTATTTTGTTGCCTACAAGCAACATTATGTGAGAGTGGATGGATTTAGCCAGTAGCAAGTGAAGTGTTATTTATGCAGCCAGCTGAGAGATCACTGCAGTTATCATCTAGTTTTTTGTTTAGGCTTATAGAATTAATTGTGTTTTTTGTTTATTTAGGAAATCTAACTTCAGTATTTAATGTGTACTCAATATTAGAGGCTAGAAGTCCACTCCAGTCTGTCATGTCGCACTCAGCAGAGATGTTTTTTTACTGTCAACAGTATATAAATGTTTATTTCTGAAAAATCTCAGTGCTTAAAATTTCCTTGATTCTTTTTATGTGTTAGTATGGTTCTAACTGTTGTATGTAAGTGCAGACCATGCCTTCAGCATGGTGGTGGTAGTATGAGGGAAGACTGATTGAGGGAGGGGGAGAACTCTGAGAACTTGGGCTGGAGTTCTGAGCAGCTTCTGCCTGTAGCTAGAAGGCCAGACCCCCCTCATGTCTGTAGTAGGACTGATGTAGGACTGAGAAACAGAGAGGGGATGGGGTGGCAGTGGGAATTGCAAACCCTTCATCACGGGAACGGAAGGTGAGGTTGTGAATTTATAGGCCGTTAGATTGGAAGAAGGAGGGGTTTCATGCATGCTCCTCCCCCAAACTTCAGTTATAATATAATTACATTTTGTGGTTTTCAATGATTATTTGATTTGTGAGAAATGAAAAAACATTAATTTTCCAGATACTTAGATTAAAACATGCTGTTCTTCATATAAAACACTTTCATTTCTTTCTGTTGTTGCACAGTGTTGCCTCAAGGAAACATAACCCAAAAATACCTTGTACACATTGTTCTTCAAAAATTGTGTTTTATTTTAATAAACACGTCAATTTTATGCAAGAAGACTGAAATATAACTCATGCAAAAAGGGGGTTGAATAAAGTATATTCCATTTTTCCCTCATAGAGCAAAGAAATAAACATTTAAAATAATGACGCTTTATGCCTCCATGTGTTGCATGTTACAACAATTTAAATCAGTCATTTAATTTCATACAGTTTTATAAATTGTATTTGTATTTGGAATAAAAGTGTAAGTGGAATAAAAAAGATGTTCTTTTGTATCCTGTGAATATCCTGAACATTATAAACAAATGAAGACATTTTTAATAACCTCTAAATGTAATTATATCCATGTGATAACCAAGTGGGAACATATAGTGAATATCTTTTCACGAAGGCCTTGGTTAAAATCGGAATGGCTGAACATTTAAGAACCTCCCTGTCCCTCTTATAGTGCAGTGCATTTTAAATATATGACATAAATAGTTTTAACTTTAAACTCTTCTCCTCATACTCTGTGTCCTCCTTTGCCCTCGTGCTCCCGCTCTGTTTCAGGCCATTACTCCGTCAAGCTCGTTCATTTCATCCTCCAGAGGAAGCTGGGCTATCATCTGATCCAGACCTACATCCCCCTCATCATGGTGGTTGTGCTGTCCCAAGTGGCCTTCTGGATCAACAAGGAGTCGGTTCCAGCTCGCACTGTGGCTGGTAGGGAAACACTTTCAGACCTGCTTTAATCTCAGAACCAGGTGGTCCTTCTACATTAGACCACCACGTGCTGTATTTACTCTACCGTTCAGAAGTTTGGAATCACTTGCTGCATTATACGTACAATTTATATAACATAACTATTCGCCAAAGGGTATTTTTAGATGTTTTATTCTATATTTCTGGACTTATGTGAGCAAGAGGTTATTAAATGCTAAATAATATAATGTAATTGTCTGCAAAAATGTAAAATATTACATTAATATTTTTATGAAGTTTGTCAAGTATCTACCTTTTACGGAGCCCCTAAGGGGCCGTGATTAAAAAATAAAAAAAGTTAATGACACTGTGTTCCCTCGCAAATGTTTTGCATTACGATGCAACAGTTTGCATTCACTTGCAAAAGCTGTGCTTTGCTAAGCTCAGACATGAAGCAGCTCATTGAATTTTATGTTGATCTTGGATTGAAATATAAAGACGTCGCTTCTCAAAATCAACATGATTCTGCTGTTAGTGATGCAAACTGAAACAGAGGTCGAGCGTCTGCGTACAGTAAAAGCTCCATTTACAGAGACTGCAGAGAACAATTGCTGAATAAACTCAGCATAGACTGGTGAAACTGGGGAAACAGCTTTTACCGTTAAATGTGCTAAAAACAAAGCTCTAATGTAGGCAATGTCGTTGGGCACCTCTGGTCCTAGTTTGCTTGCTGTCTGATGAGCGTATATTTTGCGAGGGAATGCAATGTCATTAACTTTTTTTATTTGCCAGCCCAGCCACTGAACCATAGACTATAAATACAATCAAGCTGGCATGACTTTTACCTCACTAGACACGCAGAATTGAAAAGACAACAGCAAATCTGTCTTTATTCAGCACAAAATGGACACCAGAGGCAACGAAAAGATAAATAAAGAAATAAATACAACCCGCCCCAAAAATCTGCCCCAAAGTTGTAGTTTTTCAAAAATTCCTTCCACCTTCAAGACACATCATCAGAAGAAGGTTTTACTGGTCTTTAATTTCCGATGTTTTACAGTTTTCTCAGTCATTTTAGAATCTTTTACAGCCCTCATGATCATTCGTAACACATCTGAAACATCTTTTCCTTGTGTCCTCTTAGGTGTTTGAAACATAAAGTTGCACAGGACAAGCAGAGTTATATGTATATAAAGTGTATGAAATCATTTTATACACTTTATACACAGAATCATTTTATACACGTTTTTAATGTGTATTTATACAACCAGGGTGTTTCCTGCCTCTGGGAAACACATATATACATATATACATATATATACATGTACACGACTCTACATATATACACATATACACACTATACAGATTAGTATACACCATTATTGCACCACTACAATATAAAATCTTTGTACGGTAATGTAAGTTATTAAATAAAAGCTATGGTATGTAAAGTTTCCATATATTCAGTTATACCATAAAAGTATAAATGCATGTGATTTTTGCTACATGGTCATGATTTAATTGGGATATTGTTACTTGAATGAGATCCATGACCTGAAGTTCATTGTCGTGAGCACTTTGGCCTTTTAAAATCATTCCCATGGTACAACGCTGGTACACTCTTTAAAAAGTGGTACACTCTTAAAAATCGAGCTGCCACAGACAGTTCTTTGGAGCAGCTCCATGAAGAGATGAGATGTGCAAGTCTTTTTAAAGTTCAAAGACTCGCAACATAATGTAAAGGCTCTATACCAATTAAATGTCTTTGCTAGCACCATATGTCTAAGCCAAGAACCTTTTAGAAACCTTTATTTTTTTAAATGTAGAGGTCATGCAGTGTTAGCCCAGTCATTTAGTCATTTAAAAAAATGACTTCATCTGTTCACAAAACAACAAGAATAATGTAATAGTGCTTTATTCAAACCTTGAAAACTAAAGCAGGCCTAGTTTAGTATATAAAGGCATTTGTTATAGTCTCCGCAATGTCTTTTTCTCCTCCTGCCTGCAGAGGGTGCCAGTCACCCCACAATACTGTATGAATCAGACTGCACTGAGTATTAACTACATAGACTAGTCACAGTCTAAACCAGTGTTCCTCATATCCAGTCCTGGAACATTGTAGACTTTAGTGCATTCCTTCATTTATTCACCTAAAACAATGCCATGTACAAATTCTAATCAGAACAGCTATGACTGCTGGTAACGTTTGATGATGACATACAGCAAATATTTTACAGGCGTATTAATATTGCGTAGTCATCAATAAAGGCGGCTCTGACAAGCTCTAGAATTAGTAGTATTTGATGTTTACAGCGGGTCGGGTTCTAGATTGGGGTTTCCTTTGCAGGGTTTGGCCCAGAAATGAGGTCTGATACATGTTTATGACCAAGTCCAGCAAAAATGCCTGTAGATTTTAGTCATCAATGAAAGTGACATACATCCTAGCATTACAGAAGGCTTGATCCTGTTTGTGTTTGACTCAGAAATGTTTTATTCTCTGATTTGCTGAGTGAATCAGCAAAGTCAGATATATATTTATGACCATATTCACTGATAGTCATATGCAAAAGTTTGGCCACACCCAGTCAAATTATACAGCTGATTTTCTCAATGAAATTAGGTTAACATATTCCATACAAGGAATTTAAAACTTTAGTGCACAATTTCTGTTTATTTGCTGAGCTGAACACATTGGAAAAAAATAAAACATAAAATATAAAATGTACCATAACTGTTGCACAGGAAATATTTTATGTTTTATTTTTTCTCCAATACGTTCAATTCCTTTATAAATGGTAGGCCCAGAGTTTTATTACACGCTTCTATAACCTAAGAATAGCTCAGCCAGTTTGCACTGAAGTCCCTGTAGTTACTGAGTAATAAGCCTTAGTCTGTAATAATCCTGAGATTTTAAGGGGGTAAAATGTGCAGAGGTGCGTTCTCTGTGGAGGGTGTGTTAACTTTTAGAAAATCAACAATATAATTTGACTAGGGGCGCACAAACTTTTACATACGACCATACGACCGTCTCCTGTAACCTGCTCTGACCTGCAGGAGTCACCACCGTTCTGACCATGACCACTCTGAGCATCAGCGCCCGCTCTTCCCTGCCCAAGGTGGCCTACGCCACGGCCATGGATTGGTTCATCGCCGTCTGCTTCGCCTTTGTGGCCTCCGCTCTGGTGGAGTTTGCTGCAGTTAACTACTTTGCCACACTGGAGGCCAACAGAATGAGACGCAGACTCTCCAGAGGGTCCGTGCTGGAGTCCATAGCCGAGGGCAGTGATGATGAAGACGAATCGGTAACTACTGCATCCCTTGAATAAGGGGTGGCCAATATGACAGTGTGTTATAGTGATAAATTAGGTCACGATACACTGTTCTGTGTATATTGTGGACATCATTAGTACTGATTGTATGTCATCCATTTATGATATAATCTCATTTAATTAATTTACTTTTACCAACAGTTTCATTTTTCCTCCTGTTCCTTTTTTTAATTGGTTCTTTTAGGTAAGCAAGTAAAAAAAATCTCCTTTTTTCATAGATTTGGTTAAAGCTGCACTATGTAAGATCTCTGTTTTGTTAAAATTGACAGAACTAGCATTACTGAGTCAGGACGAAAAACACTAAGATATGATGTCCATGTGCTGCTGTTAATCTCCCTGCAAAGCCTCAAATGCTAATTTAAAAGTCAGAGGTGTCAGGTTGAATGTTGTGGGAGTTTTTTGGACCACATCCTAAGCCTTTACATATAAACATCACATGCACAGACTCAGAAAGAAGGTCCGGCTTGATGTTTCAGCCTCAAATGCAAAATCAACATTATACTGATAAAGATATGATGACACCAGTAGATTTCATCATAAATACGATGTTATAAATATGGTGGAATCTGATCCAAGATCAACCCTGCTTTGATAGTACCAGCCACGATGTTGTCTGAAATGGCTGCCCATTAAGTAGTAAGTCATACTGTGTCCCAAACCACATCGTCAAGACTGTATGACCTTAATAAAGACCCTGATGCTTGTTTGAGCAAGTTGAAAGAATTTTTGCTGATGTATATTTATAGAAAAGATTTGGGCTATTTGGGTGACTATTGAGTTCTAGTGCTTGTTAGCAATGTTAGCCTCGCCACTCCGGTTCTAAACTAAAGAAGCACAATTTGTGCTCAAACATGTCTTGGCTGACCAACTACATCTGTGGTAAATGGAAAATTGGGCATATTAGATTTTTTTTGCCAAACTACTCCTTTAAGGAGTCTAAAGACACTTTGTCCTTAGAACCATGTTCCCTGGCCTGAATGATAGATTTAGCTCCCCAGTGTTGTCCCTCAGCCCGTGGAGTGACTGACATGGTTTCTGGTCTGCGTGACGAGTGTGACAGCTCTTTTTGCAGTCGGAGCGGCTCTGCCCCACAGTTCTATTTATAAAGCTCTTTTCACAGTAGATTTTGTCAGAGAGCAGCTTTATAGACATCTGGGCCTAGACCCCAGCGAGGAATCCAAAGGTTACCGTGGCACGGAAAATATTGCGGGATAGGGTACTGAGAGAAGCCAACACTCAGAAGGAGTTGTGACCACCTTCTGGGCTGCACCATTTGTTTGCATGTGAACTTTGGCCTGCCACATGTCAAAACCGCTACGCATTATCCTTTAGACGTCTGGAGTCGTGATGCTTTGTATTCGGCTTAAATTTCGTTTAATTATTTAAGTGTGATTATACAATGACGTACAGGGATGGGGTTTTAAATAGGGGTGCTGAGATTTTAAGCAGCATATACACGTAGACAGGAAAAATCATTTGCCTTTTTCCATTGGAAAGTTTTTTTTTTAAATAATTTACATCAAACCGAATGTGGCCTTTACTACACTTAAATATTATAAAGTTCTGATTTTTTACATTATTATTATTATTTTTAGCAGTAAAACCTTCCTGAAATCTGGGGGTTCTGCTGACCCCTCATACACCCAATTCTCGCATCTATGATTAGTTAGAGAGTTAATGAATCACATTTACACTTTGTATACAATAGTGTGCAAAAGTTTAAACACCCCATCAACTTCCATATTCTGCTGCTTTTCTTAGTGAAAATAAGTTAGCACGTCCTCTACAGAGGACACACTTAAAAATGGTTTTTCTACAAATTTTAGTGCTCAATTTCTATTTATTTGCAAAGTTTGGAAAAATAAAACATAAAATATAAAATGTGCACAGGCCACATTTTATGTTATATTTTTCCTCATTATGTTGAATTCAGCAAAAACACAGTAATTGTGCATTAAAATGTGCACAAAGTGTGTTCTCTGTAGAGGATGTAATCACTTATTTTCACTTAGAAAATCCACAAAACCTGTAATTTGACCTGGCTGCCCAAACGTTTGCATATGACTGGACATTTTGCATTAACAAGTTAATTCAAGTCTGCGCGACTATTTCAGTGTCAAGAAATGACAACCATGGCAAAATCTTTGCGTGAAGCAAAACTGTACATACAACAATGACTTTTCATAAAATATAAATCATAATAAATTATCATCGCTCCTTCTTACAAACACAAATCCAGTATGGACTGAATATGTATCCACACCTTTGGCATATTTTTCTGTTTGCTTTAATTATCAAAGAAATGATTATAAACTGACACCATGCTGTTTTAAATGTGACTTCTGATAAACCACCAGCGGCACCCAGCCGTCGTCCTTGTCTGTATCGTTCATGTACAGTTCCCTGTCTCGCACAGCTGTAACTGAATCAGGACATGTGTGATGAGAATGTGATGTGCTGAGGCTGGATATGCTAATGCTGCAGGCATGCAGTGTCTCCAGAGAGCGCTCCCATGTGGCCAGCTCATGCCTGGCGTTTTAAAAATAGCCTCTATATTAGAACCGCGCTCCATGAGATCTTCTGTAATCTCTGTGTGTACTGTGGAGATACTACCTACTACCCTCCTGTTCCTCCTCTCTGGCTGGGAGGAGGACGTGTCACCACACTCCGTCCTCAAACTTAGAAGATGTTGTCTATATACTTTTGCTTAGGAGGCTTTTTTAATCTATGTGTAGCCCTTGAGCTCCAAGTGCATCTCTACTGTTTTGAACAGTTTTGAGAAAAATTGGTATTGAGAATCAGGACACCATTTAAATCCAAACATATCATGAAAACATGATTTTGATTATCTTTTTTAAATAATGAGTTTGATCTACTGTGTAATCGCTCTTAACCCGACACAAAAAAGTGATATCTTTGCCATTTTATGATCTCTTTTCCATTAATAACATAATTAACATAAAACGCTGTCGTTGTGTTTATTTGATATGAAGAAAATGGGATCTAACAAAGACGAAAATTCTTTTTTTTTTAATTCATTCTGAGTCACAAACTAGCTTTGTGAACAAGTTGAATAGGAATAGAAGTTACACGTCATTGTTTTATTGTTACCTTGATTAGACACATGAATAATAAGCATTTACTTATCTGAAGTGAGCTCTGGATGAGCTTACGTGCTCACGGTGCCCCCAACAATAAAGACAGCCTTATGCATATTTTATACAGTGATAGAAAACATGGTAGCACACAAAAAGCTCCCAATCTATACACCAAAACTGATACAGTTACTTTAGTTTGGTCAAAGGCTACATGCATGTGGCCAAATTCCTGTGTTGACATATTTAAATGAGCAGCCCTTTCTTTTTTTTTGGGCCTGATACCGAGCTTGTTGAGTTCATGTGGTTAGAATGTCAAAATATACTGTTTTTTTTTTCACTTTTTTATACAATTCATATATAGAAACTGTGCTTGTTGTCTTGAATTTATCATGGCTGTGATCTCACAACCGTGAAGACAGTTCCATATGACCGCGTATTCGGCCTACAGCAGTTTAGACCCACCACTAAAGTGATGCAGAGTGTTGTTACTGCAGACAGTCTGTAGCAGAGTTATTGGAGGAGAAGATGAGGAGATTAAACGTTGTGCTGTTCCTGGCTGTCGGGAAGCAAACAGTTCATTTTTGCCTTCCAAAGAATCCAAACATCTGAGAAGCTCACGTTGATTTTTTTCTGATGTCGCTGAAGATTTTAAACTTTAGTTTCAGACACAGTTACAACACAGCCTGCTTAATTCTAAGGGATAAAGAGTGATAGCATAATATTATTTTGGTATATAAAACCACATAAAAAACAAAGAAAAAGCAGTAGAGTACAGAAAAAAAGAGAACATAAGCCAGCCAACACCTAAAGTAGGTCTTGCTGCAGTTGGCAACAAAAGTGCTTCAAGCTGCACCCTCTAGAAAGTGCAACAGTGTGTGTATGTTGTGCCATGTTCTCTGTTAGTCGACTCAGTGGTAATCTCGGGCTTGCTGTGGAGTTGTTTCAGCACTTTCTGAGCTTTAAACGTCACCTGTAATGCAGAAAAAAGCTGCACGTAAGCAGCTTTTGCGCACAGGAAAGTTGTTACTGGGTCTCAGGCACTTTCTCTCCTCTATATCTTCTATGGAGTCGCCCTTATTTTCAACAGCCCCTCTTATTCAGTGTATTCACATGCCAGCTGCTGCATATGCTGCCTGTCAAAAGTTTGGGGACGCCTTTGTTTTTAAACTGTTTTTAATATAAATGAGCTTGTCTAGTCAGTTTGCGATGAATCATCCCAGTATTTCTATTTTATTCCCCTGTTGTGTTTTTAGCATTAGGAATGCAAATGTTGGCAGAATGAGTTGGTGACTAATTGTTAACCGGCAGGTCAAAATTCAAGGATGCAACCCAAAATATAAATGATAAAATGGACAGTTTCTGTTCTAAAAACACTGATTGCCTGCGTCACATTCAAAGCCACTGCAAAATACTTTTTGTATGCATTTATAAAATATGTTCTTTTCTAGACGGTGTCTGACCCCAGCGTTGGAGGTCGGGTGAGGAAGAGGATGGGCTCAATCTCCGAAGCCCCCAAAACCCGTCTGCCCATCTTCCTCCAGCAGGGCTCAGCCATCCCACCCAATGTGACGCTGGCCGGCCTCAGCCCCATTGACAAGTACGCCCGCATCCTCTTCCCACTGGCCTTTGCTGTTTTCAACATCATCTACTGGTTTATCTACCTCAGCAAGGACACCATAGAGCAAGCCAGGTGTGTGTGTGTCTGTATGTATGTACCCAGCTGCCTTTCTCAGTCACAGAGTTGGGAGATGATTCAGGCTTTTCTAGGCGCTTAAAGTGACAGTTCAGCCAGTAAACCCAGTTTGATCAGCAAAGACATGTTTGTTGCCTTTAGCTGGCTTCTTTCTTTTTGCACTAGATCTACAAGGCTAATGTAGAGGGGTGTACCGATACTCATATTTTCAAGTTAAAGATGGTTTTCAACTCAAAAGTTGATTACATTTTTAAATTTTATGTATACAAACTATCGTGATTTTACAGAAAAACAAGTTATCAAACAGAACTTTTTCAAGTACCTGCTCTACCACCCTTTAAAGGGGAACTCCACTGATTTAGCAAAATGACTTAATGATTCAATGGTTTACAGGTAAACAAAGTCATTCAGAGTGGTTCGGTGTGAAATGCGCCTTTTTAGAGAAATTACAGAGTCAGAATTGTTCACCATTATAGTACTAGGAACCAGATGTCCGAAGCATTTAATGGCTCTTAAAACTACATCCCATTAAGTTATTACACAAAGTGGTTATGAATCCATGGCTTAATACCTCAGACTTTGTGTTGTGATAGATTTGTTATAAAGTTTTGGCCTAAAATGTATTTTAAGTATAAAGTTTTACTCTAGATCACTTCTGTTTCCTCTCAAAACTGCATTCTCTACTGAGATCAATGCACCAAAGATAACGTGCTTTTGTTGTTACTAGTCTGTTCAACACGGCTAACGCTGGCATTTCGTTTACAGTTTATTTTTACAGTTTTTTACCTATTTGGGAAGATGGCAGAGTATGCGGAGGACTGTGAGGAGGTGTGTTTCCTAAATGTCATAGAGCCATATCCATTTGAACCAGAACACACAAATGAGTGGCAGTGATTTGAAGAAGACAGAGACAAAATGGGGAGAGAGAGAGAAAGAAAGAGAGAGAAAGAGAGAGAGAGAGAGAGAGAGAGACTGTCACTCACAAATGTCTCTTACCCTGATTCCAGTTCCTGTGGTGGAAAACACAACAGAGGGAACAGCCGTTTTCTTTAGCAGCGGGCATTAAAAAAAATCCGCTTTGTATTTTTTCACTGGTCTTGAGTCGTCTTTGTTGGTTTTTAGTTCAGTTTCGGGAACCAAAAAAAACGCACCAAACTGTATTTTCTCCATTTATTTTTACATCCTGGTCCAGCGCCGTCCACCACCACTCTGAACAATTAACCAGCAAGGTGTAACTGTGATCTATCGCAGCTCCTCTGATGAACAACTTTACTCACATCAGCTCTGAGTTTTGCTGACACCGTGTGACACAGCACTGCCCACCCAAACAACACAAACCATGTGCAGGGGGGAGAGGTACATGCAGGGCGTTACGGAAAAATAGTACCTAAAGAATACGTAACTTTTTTTCGATTTAACAGTATTTTACCTTTATCAGTGCGAGATATGAAACATTATAAGACAAATGTAAGTTCACTGGTCATTTTGGATGGCAGATAAAATGGTGATATTTGTAGTGTAGATATGGATGTCTGGTTCCTGGTATTACAATAGTGAACAACTTTGACTCTGTAAATTTCTCTAGAAAAAGGCGCATTTCACATCAAACCACTCTGAATGAGTTTGTTTACATTCAAACCACTGAAAGATTAAGTAAATTTGAGTTCCCCTTTAACAACATAACCCCCCAAAGTCAGAATCCCTACAATTAGAAAGCGACTTCAGAATAAAGTCCTGTCATTTGAGCACAGCTGCGCTCCCAGATGCCAAGTTTTGATCATTGACTATATTTTCCAGGAAAGACAGTAAACGAGATGTTCAGAAGACCGATACAGTTCTACATTTCGCCACAATGTTTTGAGTGTTATTTTTCCACTTTTCAGTACTGCATTCAAACATTTACACTCTTACTAATGCATCGAACAAGAAATAAAAGTGTACACCTCAAAAATCAGCACTATCAGTTTTTTTATCGACAAAAATGGACAAAATTCATACCTCCTAATTTAGTCATTGCCTATTCCAGCCATCTTCCCCCTATCACATGATGCTGCTAAGCTGGGATGGTGAAGGCTAGCTTGTGCTTTCTCAGAGTCACATGAAGCACATCTTTTCAAACTGATGCTAATGCAACTTAATAGGACAGCTCAAGGTGCTTGGAGGAGAATGCTAACTGTCAGTTCTATTACACTGGCTAATAGACATTGAATACCCACCCAGAGAGAATGAGGAAAGTTACGCTGTGTTGGATTCCCACTTATGTATGGCTGTGGCTTCATCAGTGATTACCGTGATCTATGGGGCAGTCGGGGGCTGGAGGTTAGGGAACCAGCCCTGTGACCAGAAGGTCGCCGGTTCGGTCCCCTGAGCTGACAGTACGTGACTGAAGTGCCATTGAGGCACCTAACCCCCAACTGCTCCCCGGGCCCTGTGGATAGGGCTGCTCACTGCTCCCTAGTGTGTGTGTTCACTAGTGTGTATGTGGTGTTTCACTGCACAGATGGGTTAAATGCTGAGGTGAAATTTCCCCAATGTGGGACTAATAAGGGTCACTTAATCTAATCTAATCTATTCTTCCAACAACAGAGCCACTTGGGAACCCAATGCTGCATACTTTGACCCATTTTTGATCAACTTAATGTTGTTTGAGGTGTGTGAGGTGATCTGGGCATGCAGTTTGCACAATGCTAATCAGTGACTATAAGCTACTATGACTTTTTTGTCAGCATTCGCTTCATAGCTCCAGAAAAAACCTGCTAAAGAAGCAAATACCAAACATGTCCTGGCTGATTGATTAAATCTGGTGTAAGGGCAATGTTGTACAAATTACATTTTTTTGCTAGACTATTCCTTTAAAAGGTTTAGGTCTGTGAGTAGAAGGGAAAGGTTTATTAGCAGAGAAAGTCTGAAGTCCTGAAAAGTGAGTATCTGATTGTTTATAACAGTGAACGCTCAGGTGCCTGGTGAGGTGTGGCTCAAGACAGGTGAGGGGTGGCTTGTCGCTTTGGAATCCAGGCTTTCTGTTTTACCTATCTCAGTGTAAAGTCTTTATTTTCACAAACTGCACACACACACCAATATCAGTGCACCAATACCGTGAGCCTTACCTGTGATCATGCCCTCCGACTGTGGAGGTGCTGTGAGTGCAGTTCTCTTTGATCTGTTCCCTTTTGTGCAGTAAACAGCTGAGGCTAAGTCACCCCCACGCAGCACACACTGATCTGCTCACGCTCCCCTAAAACAATAGCAACATGCTCTCCTTGTCTGAATTTTTTGGCTCAGCTGTAAATGCATGAATAATTTCTGACTGTAAAACAGCCTCGGGACTGACTAGACAAAACCAGAAGAGCGGAGGGTGCGGCCAGTTGACTCTTGCACCGAAAAAAGTACTGCATTGAATTTTATTCATTCAAACATGTATCTTTTCTGCATGAATAAAATACAACCCCATTTCCAAAAAATTGGGACGCTGTGCAGAATGTAAATAAAAAATAGAATGCAATGATATGCAAATCATGTAAACCATAATTTAAAGGAAAATAGTTCAAAGACAACATATTAAATGTTGAAACTGAGAAATTATTGTTTTTTGAAAAATACAATAACTGTGCACTGATAACAAGCTGAGCGGTCTTTAGCCCAGAGGACACAGTGTCTATGATTTCCAAAAAGAATTTCAAATGTTGATTTGTCGGACCACAGGACACTTTTCCACTTCCCCTCAGTCTATTTTAAATGAGCTCGGGCCCAGAGAAGGTTTTTTTGAATCCTGTTTATATGTGGTTTCTTCTTTGCATTTTAGAGTTTTAACTTATATTTGTGGATGCAGCGCCGAACTGTTTTCACAGACAGTGGTTTTCAGAAGTGTTTCTGAGCCCATGCAGTGATTTCCACTACAGAATCATGTCTGTTTTTAATTTTTTCTTTAGCATTACATAACTTTACCAGCCCTTTTGTTGCCCCTGTCCCCAACATTTATGGAACGTGTTGTTGGCGTCAAATTTAAAATGGGCATCTATTTTTCAAAAAACAATAACATTTCTCATTTTCAACATTTGATTTGTTGACTTTCTATGATTTTCATTGAAATATAGGGTTTAAATGATTTGCACATTGTTGCATTTTGTTTTTATTTACATTTTTCACAGCATCCAACATATTTGGAAATGGGATTGTATATTATATCAACACAGTTGCTAAAAGTGAGTAAGCGAAAGACAAAATTGTGATTTCACTCATGTGGAAATGACGTGTGGACAGTGAGTGGACACAGTGTTTAAAAACTCCAGCAGCACTGCTGTGTCTGATCCACTCGTACCAGCACAACACACCACACACTAACACACCACCACCACGTCAGTGTTACTGCAGTGCTAAGAATGATCCACCACCCGAATAAGAAGGACTACAGTCTGTAATTGTAGAACTATAAAGTGCTTCTATATGGTAAAATGTACAATAAGTGTAGAAACAAGGAGGTGGTTTTAATGTTATGGATGGTCAGTGATGTACACTTATTATTATATATGATACTTCAATACGTGTCACAATTCATATTCTGATGCACCACATGATCACAAAATGTACCTGGCCTTTCATAACTGCTGCCATCTATAGGTGTTAAGTAGGTACTACATCCACATTTGTGGATTGAACTTTAGAAATAAACAATGATTATGAATACATAGATAAACATACATACATACATACATCATCTAAACCGCTTATCCTTCTGGGTCGCGGTGGGGTGCTGGAGCCTATCCCAGCTGTCATTGGGCGGAAGGCAGGATACACCCTGGACAGGTCGCCAGTCCATCGCAGGGCAGACAGACAGACATACACAGTCACACACTCACTCACACCTAGGGGCAATTTTAGCATGTCCAATTAGCCTGACTGCATGTCTTTGGACTGTGGGAGGAAACCGGAGTACCCGGAGGAAACCCACGCAGACACGGGGAGAACATGCAGACTCCACACAGAAATGACCCTGGTCGCCCAGCCGGGAATCGAATCTTGCTGTGGGGCGACAGCCCTACCCACTGCGCCACCGTGCTGCCCTACATAGATAAACAATCCAGTAAAAAAGAATAAATATATTTGACACAAGGGCTCAAACTGAGTAACGGTTCAGCAATTAAACACACTATCAGCACAACTGTATGTTTTAATTTTAGCGAGGACAGTCTGGATGTCATGTAGCTGCTGCTAGAAGGCCTCTGTTGACGCCTTCCTAGCAGTGGCAGCAGTTCCTGATTGGGGCTTAAATAGCTAATCGAGTCCAAAATAGTGCTCGAAAAGCATCACATACTCTCTGAGCTGACGCCCTTATCACACCCAGAGCCCCGTGCTCTGGTGTGCTTGTACGTGAGAGCAGCAAATGGGAGATTTGTTGGAGGTTTCTTGCCGCTCGAATAAAATTGCACAATAGCAAGGCTGAGAATGGCTTGAGAGAGGCATCGCACAGCACAGCGCTCGCTCTCCGTGCGCCGCCGACCATGATTTCACACTCAGAACAAATGATTTTCATCAAACATTAATCACTGACGTCATGATGCAGAGCCACACTCGCTCGGAGAGGTGTAATCTTTGCTCATCTCGTGTTTTGTGTCTTTGTGTGTTTTTTATCTCTACAGGGAGATCGACTGAGTCTCTCTGGCGCACGGTTCAGCTCAGCCAGCTCTGCACTGCTGAAGAAAAAGCATCTGCTGGTTTCTTTTTTCTCTCTTAAATTCAGATTCCCATTTAATGAAGCTGTTTGGCATAACCATATTGGGTTAAAGTGTTGCCAAAACATTTAAATCTGCTGATCGTGTCTGTCTGTTAACCCATTAAACTGTAACAGGCTGTATATGGGTCCACACTTCAACTCTTTTAACTACATAACTTACATATTACCTACATATTGTTGCTGTTACATTAAAACATTATTTTTTCAGCTTTTGTTTGTACATCCTGAGATCATTTTATGATGAATGGACCAATAGAAATGGCCCAAAATGACCTGAGGTAACATCTTGTTATGTTACTGTACATAAAAGAGTTAGAAATGTCTGTATGTTCCTTTGTTGGTCACCAATTCAGAGATATGAGCTTTTGTCACGACAGCCACAATACATAGTATTAATTTGAATATATACTGTACATTTAAGTATACAGCATACATTACACTGAAAACCAGTACCGCCACTGACTTCATACCATCAGTGTGCCATCAACTTTAACTCAAGATGGGATTTTCTTAGAATGTAGACATATTTGTATCTCTGTCTCTGTCTCTCTCTCTCTCTCTCTCTCTCTCTCTCTCGCGCTCTCTCTCTCTCTCACACACCCACACACACACACACACACATTCTAGTCTCTCTCTCTCTCTTCCGATGTCAAGCACCTTATGGAACTGTCTTGTAACTCACTCATTTACTGACTCACTCACTCACATTTAGCATCTGAAGATTCTCCACAAGGGAGCGTCATTAACAGTCACATAGCTTTTGGTGCTTCATGAGAGCTTCATAAGAGCAGTGCCTCATCAGTGACAATGCGTTCTTGTTCCCTCTCTCTCTTTCACTTTCCGTTCTCTCTCTCCCCCTTGTTTTCTCTCTTTCTTTTACTTTCTCTCATATTCTACTGTCTCTCCTTTTAAATATGAGGCATCTTATGGAACTGTCTTGTAACTCACTCATGTTTAGCATCTGAAGATTCTCCACAAGGGGGCGTCATTAACAGTCATAGCTTTTGGTGCTTCAGAAGAGCACTGCTTCACATCAGTGACACTGTGTTCTTGTTTCCTCTCTCTCTCTCTCATTTTCTGTTCTCTCTCTATTTTCTCTCTTTCTTTGTTTCTTTTGCTTTCTCTCATGTTCTAGTGTCTCTCCTTTTACATATGAGGCACCTTATGGAACTGTCTTGTAACTCACTCACTCATGTTTAGCAGGCTGAAGATTCTCCATAAGGGGGCGTTGTTAATGATCAAATAGCTTTTTGTGTTTCATAAGAGCTCCATAAGAGCTCACTTTCCATTCTCTCTCTCTTTCTGTTTTTTTTTGCTCTCTCTATTTCTGTTTTGCTCACTCTCTCTCTCACCTCTTTCACTCTCTCATTCTCTCTCTTTCTCTGTTTCTTTTCCTTTCTCTTATTCTAGTGTCTCTTCTGTTAGATGTGAGACACCTTATGGAACTGTCTTGTAACTCACTCGCTCATGTTTAGCAGGCTAAAGATTCTCCACAAGGGGGCGTCGTTAACAGTCAATTATCTTTTGGTGATTCACATCACTGTGTCCTTCTTTTCTCTCTTCATCTCTCTCTCCTCTCACTCTTTGTCTCTTTCTCTCCTTCTCTCTCCACGTCCTTCTTTTCTCTCTTTCTCTATGCTAACTATCCTCTCTTTCTCTCCCTTTCTCACTCACTCTTCCTTTCCATTCACTCTCCCGCTCTCTCTCTCTCTTTCACTCTCACTCCTAGCTGTGATGGTACACAGGCCTGTCTGACACTGCTTGACAAGCATGTGTTCCCACTCCTGTGTTTTTTCTGTCAGCCATATGCGCCTCTTTTTCCGTCCGTTTGGCTCTGTCGTTCAGGCCCGTGTCCCTCACTGCTATCTACTCTGACTAAATCTGTGCATGCAGCACATCGTAAACCTGCACCGCTTATTATCCGGACGTGTGTACTTGTGTACGTGTGTGTGTGTGTGTGTGTGTGACAGAGAGTAAGAAACACACCCAGAATAAAAAGTTGATGATATAATCTGCAGCTCTAACCGGTGATGCAACATTGAACCAACGCTTTTAGATGTGTGCCCTCTATAGAGACCCAGCCTTCACTGCACTGGATGAGGAGCAGCGGTGGGGGCTCATATTCTCCAGCAGCTTCAAAGAATTCTCCATCTGAGAGGAAAAAAGAACCGAAAAACAAAACGAGAGCAAGAGAATGATCAGAGGAGTGAATTCTGATACTTGCATCTCCTGGTGCAGCCAGTCTGTGATTTCCAAGGTGCTTTCCCAACACCGGCAGTGAGGATTTTGATGGAGGAGCTTCTTTCTGTGGACTGTAATCTCTGTTTGGAGTATTTCAGTAACTCTGTTTGTTTTATTTAGAGTGAATCCAAGTCACCCACTTACAGTTGACTCCTCAAACTGTAGGCTTATCATTGAGTTATTAATATAAAACTTGTTCAGTGTTAGCTATGGAACTAATATGTAAGTTATGTACAGCTGTATGCAAAAGTTTGGGCACCCCTGGCCAAATGATATATTTTAATTTCTGTTAACAAAAGTAAACATCAGAAAAATATTAAAAAACATTTTAATGTGAATGTTAATGCTCAGCTACTTTGTATTTGGTTAACTTAAAAATAGAACAAAAATAATAATAATAATAATTGTGGCACGTGCACATTGTAAAGTCTCAGGACTTAATCAACTCGTTTCGCCTCAGTTGACTCATTAGGACTGGCTAGCTGGGGCAAAAATTGTCATTATGAATCACAGGATAAATGAAAGGATCTGGCAGGAAGGTTTAGGTGACACACACATGAATGGTGGTGCACAGTTCAACTGTGCAGCGCTGCCTGCACAAACATGATTTGCATAAGAGTCATCAGAAAGAAACCTCATGCTCAAAAGTCAATGTCTGAAGTATGCAAAACAACATATAGATATGCCCGAGGCATTTTGAGAACAAGTACTGCGGACTGATGAAATAAAGATATAATTATCCGGCCACAATCATCAACAATGCTTGGAGAAAAAAAGAGCAGCATTTGATGAAAAGAACACCTTGCCAGTCCAGTATTATGCATTGGGGTTGTGCATCCAGTGGCACAGGATACATTGCACAGTGTAGATGGAAGGATGGATTCCACTAAGTATCACCAAATGACAGTCAAGAAACTTAAGTTGAAAAGTTCTACAACAGGACAATGATCCAAAACATACCTTAAAAGGTACCATGAAGTACTTATGAAACAAAAGCTAAAGGTTTTGGATTGGCCCTCACAGTCCCTTCATTTAAAATCTGTGAGTAGATCTTAAACATGCAAAATATCGTTGTTGTTGGAACAAAACCTTGTATCTCCATTTCTGTAGTTTTATTAGTTTTTGACATATTATGAAAAAACTTGTTACCCTTTATATTGTGTGTGAATTTCATGATGAATGGACCAAAAGAAACAGCCCAAAATTGCTCACAAAACTTCTGGTTCCATTGACTTACATTAAAAGTAAAGATGGTTCTTTCCTTTTCCTGTAAAGTTACCATTTTGGAGATACGAGGTTCTGTTCCGGCAGCAGCAATATGCATGCAAGACAGCCCAAGAACATCACAGTAAAGGTGCTGAAAATAGTGCTGACTCTGTAGGATGTCCAACCTTTTTACATGCCACAAATACCAACTTTAGCAAATAACTGTAGTCATGAGAGTGAGGAACTGACATGCGGGCCTAAGAACAGGACTTTGCAGGGTCTGCATAATTAAATGGTTGAGATGTAAACAAACTCATTCAGGGTGGTTTGGTGTGAAATGCTCTGTTCTAGAGAAAGTCAGAACTGCTCACAGTGGTGGTGATAGGAACCAGACGTCCAGATGTTTAATGCTTCTAAAAGCTCCCTCACAGAAATGTATTACATGAAATGGTAATGAATAACTTTCTGAAGTCAGAGACATCGTACTACACTCATTCTAGATAAGGTTTTGGTCTAAAATGCTTTTTGTTTTTTGTCATGGTGGAGTGGTATATGCAAGGTGTTGTAAGACAAAATAGTCCCCAAATTGTGTGTTTCTTGAGCTTTACCACTATTTTACCATCATCAAAATCAAATAATAATACTCACACGTGTAGGTTTACTGGATAGTAATAAAATGGCTATATTTGTGTTGTAGACATTGTGATCCTGGTTCCTATCAGCACCACTGTAAAGAAACCTGAGTCTATAAGTCTCACTACAATGAACCACTTCACACCAAACCACTCTGAATGACTTTGTTTACATCTCAATGACTGAACTGTGCAGCAAATCTGAAAAATTAATAGAATTCTCCTTTAAGGGGTGAAAATGATATGCACAAATATACCGTATAGCACAGTGCAAGATTATTTACAATGCCTGTACACTTCTTATGCACCCACATGCAATATATGACAGGTCACTTAAAGATGTGACCAAAGGTGGACACTGACAGTCAGAACAGATCCTAAAGTAGGTCCCATGTTTCTTACATGATTAGTTGTGGACGAACTGCTTCGGCTTTAGCTTGTTTGATTAGCTTTTGTCTGCCAGCTCTTACAAGTCTTGGTGACACTGACAGAGTGTAAATTTTTGATGTAGTTCATTGTAAATTAAACATGGCCCTGTCTCTGTCTCTGTCTCTGTCACTGTCACTGTAAACAAAGCCTTAGTTATGGGTGTCATTAATGACACAAGCATGACGAGTCATTAATAATAATGTAATGCAGGAGGTTATTATGGTCACCTTGTCTATCACTGTTAGAGTGTTATTGATTGTTAAAGATTAATAACTCATCACGCAATAACGAGAAAGCTGTAGAGATTCTTTTATGAAACAATTAACAACAGCTGTAATAATACCAACAACAACAACAACAACAATAATAATAATCATAATGAATAGAAATATTATTTTGTTGAAGAAAAAATGAATAATTTCTATCATATTAATAATAAGTATGAGTACAATTGTTAATAGTAATATTAAGTATTATAATATTAATACTATTAATAATTATCATTACTATTCTTATTATAGTCACTATTAATATAACAACAGTTATTGGTGATTTATTAGTATATATATATATATATATATATATATATATATATATATATATATAACATAATATATAAAATAATAGTATTGTTATTAATATGACAATAACAATAATAAGAAGAATTATTTTTGATAACAACAACAAAATTATTATTATCATTATTATTATTATTAATATTATATTTTGGTTGGTTTAATCAATCCTTACCACCACCACCAATAATAATAATAATAATAATAATAATAATAATAATAATAATAATGATTTCTATCATATTAATAAGGAGTACAATTGTTAATAGTAATATTAAGTGTTATAATATTAGTACTAATAATTATTATCATTACTATTCATAAACTATTAATATAACAATAGTCATTAGTAATATATTAGTATACATATAACAGTATATAATATTAGTATTGTTATTAACATGACTAACAATAATAACATTATTATTATTATTAATTATTATTATTATTATTATTATTATCTTTGTTGTTGTTGTTGTTATTGTTGTTGTTATTGATCAGTGAAAAGCCTGTGTTGTCTCGCGCTCTTTCTCCTGAAGTTATTCCCAGAGTTATTAAGGAGGCTCTTCATCCTCCTCATTAGAGGCTGCTCACGTTTTCCTTCCCGCTCTCGGTGTCTTTACGTTCTTCACCCACTTGTCCCTTTAATTTCTCCTCCGCAATGCAAACTGCTCATCCTCCACCTCCACCACCACCACCACCACCACCATCATCATCATCAGTCGCTGCTCTTTGATCTGGAGGCGCAGTGTGCGCATGCGCGCCTCATTGCCTCCACTGCGCTGGACTAAGTTGGACGTGCGCTGCCTTCGCCAGGTCCGAGCCCCCCTCAGCAGAACTGTTGCAATGGAGAGGATGAGGAAAACACAGTGCATCTTCCTGCTGTGTCCTCTGATCATGACCGCCGTGTGCGCGCAGAGGTAAATGGACTCGGTGTGGATGCGGACTCCAGAATGTCATGCGTGGGGAATTTAGAGCACTTGCACGCACCTCGTTCTCATGTTAACGCTGCGTTTTCCTTACAGCAACAGAGACCCCAGCAACATGCCAGTGGTCAAAGACACGGTGGACAGACTCATGAAGGGATACGACATCCGACTCAGGCCGGATTTTGGAGGTAATTGTTTTTTTTTTTTTTTTCCACCCCATCCATTTCAGACGTGCGGCACATCCCCAATGACTTATGCAAACCTTCCTTATTCATGACAGTCACGCATGAACCGTGCATGCATGCAGTGCCCCCCCACCACCACCCCCGACCCCCGTGTGCTTTTATTCCACATTAAACTTGACCATCGAGCCCTTTTTTGCGTTTTAAACTTCGTAAACTTCGCGATGTTCGCGATGCTTCAGCGGTCACGCAGATAATCAGCAGTTCAGCCCTGATGCGCTGCTCTGTTCTGCTCTGCTGAAGATGCTGCGTTTAACAGTTGCCAGTGGATTCACAGTTTGTGGATTCACGCGTTATGATCTTCCCCCCACCCGTATTCGGGCAGGCCACGCCCCCGTGCGCTGCCATTGGCTGGTATCGTGCTGCCTCCTGCGCTGCGAGTGGTCAGTAGTTCGCACCCACACGCAGTCTTTCCGTTCTAGACGCGTTCTAGATCGGCGGACTGCTCGTGGGAACAAACCGCGGGCGAATTGTAGCGCAGGAGGGGCGGGGCTTGTCGTTCTAGAACGCGCGTACTGCTTCACTGAGTGCGAACCGCCAGCCAATCGTAGCCCGGGTGGGCGGGGCGCGTCGGAAGAGGCGTTCTGGAACGCTTTTAGCTTTTGAAGCGCTTCGCGTTCTAGAGCGCGTGAGTACGAACTACCAGCCAATCGTAGCGCAGGAGGGGCGGGGCTTGCGCGCTCCAGAACGGCGGGCTTCTTGCGAGTGTGGAAACTACGAGCCAATCGCAGCCTCAGAAGGGGCGGGTCTTTGGCGGAATACGGGTGGGAAAAGTAAACGAAACGCCGTATTTATTCACCTCCAGCCGAATTGGGGTTTGTAGCAAAATCAACAGTTTTCATGCGCAGTGCCACGTGAATGTGGGGTGCTGGGGTTTAGCCCGAGTCTAATGAGCCAGGCTCATTTGAGCGAGCCTGGCTCCTCTCTATCCCTGACTGCGCTGCCTTACTGTGCTTGTTTTTTGGTTAATTGCTGGCTCTCTCTCGTTTAGGGGCTCCGGTGGCGGTGGGGATGAACATAGACATTGCCAGCATAGACATGGTGTCCGAAGTGAACATGGTATGTAACACTCAACAGTGTGTTTTTGTGCCTCCCTGCTCTCTGTTCCTGCCTGTAATGGCCAAGACACAGTGTTCTATCCACAGCGTTGTCCACAGTGATCGAAATAGCTGATCTAAAAATGGTATCTTGTCAAAGGGATGTGGCATGGATGTCCTAAGGTTGTCATAAAGATGTCCTAAGCAGCAGCAGTGATCTTCATCCTTTGTCCAAGATGAGGGATCAAAATAGCAGATCCAAAAAAAAAAAATGCTTTCATGTCCTAAGGATGGCATAAACATCAACGCTGGGTTTTGACTGCTCTCCATCCTCGTTGAATCAAAATAGCTGGTCCAAAATTGTTCTGTTGTTATAAGAATGTCAAAAAATGTCCTAAGGTTGTCATAAGGATGGCATAGGCTTTAGCCCTGTTCCACAGCACAGTGCTCCCTATTCAGTCCATGATGGTCAAAATAGCTTATCTAAAAATAGTCATAAATGTGTCAAAGCATGTCCTTGGGTTGTCATAAGGATGGCATAAGGCTTCAGTAGTGGGTCATACCCCTGCCCCTGCCCCCTTGGGTTTTTTTGTTGTTGTTGTTGTTGTTGCTGTTTCAAGACCCTTGCACACCACTTTCCAAGACGATGGATCAAAACTGCTGATCCGAACATGATATCTTGTCATAAGAATGTCAAAAGGATGTTCTAAGGTTGTCATAAGGATGGCATAAGCTTCACCAGTGACTATTTGGTTCCAAGACACAGTGTTTTTTATCTTCTGCCCATGATGGTCAAAGTAGTTGATCTAAAAATGGCCTCTTGTTAGAAAAACATCAAAAGGATGTTGTAAGGCTGTTGTAAGGATGGCATAGGTTTGAGCAGTGCTTTTTGGTTCTAAAGCTAAGTGTTCTCCAGTCTGTGTCCAAGATGATGGATCTAAATAGCTGATCTGAACATTATATCTTGTCGCAACAATGTCAAAAGGATGTCTTGTGGTTGTCGTTAGAATCATAAGCATCAACACTGGGTTTTTGTTCTAAACAAATAGTGTTCTATGCCATCTGTCCAAGATGATGGATCAAAACAGCTGATCCAAACATGATCTGTTGTCATATGAACATCAGAAGCATGTCCTAAGCTTGTCTTAAGCATGGCATAGGCTATTTTGTTGTTATTGTTTCTGTCTGAGATAATGGATGAAAATAGCTGATCCAAATGACAACTTGTCATAAAAATATCAAAAGGATGTTCTAAGGTTGTCATAAGGATGACATAGGCTTCAGTAGTGTTCACCGTCCTCTGTCCATGATGGTCAAAGTAGTGTATCTACAAATAGTCTTTTGTCACATGAAACGTCAAAAAGGTGTCCTGAGGTTGTTAAGAATGGCATAGGCTTCAGTGGGTTTTTTGTTGCTGTTCCAAGACACAATAATAGTTGATCTAAAAATGCCCTCTCTGTCATAAAGATGTCAAAAGAATGTCCTAAGGCTCTCATAAGGATGGTATAGGCTTGAGCGATGTTTTTTTGGCTCCAAAACTCAGTGTTCTTCAGCCTCTGTCCAAGACGATGGATCAAAATAGCTGATCCGAACATGATATCTTGTCATAAAAATGTCAGAAGAATGTTCTAAGGTTGTCATAAGGATGTTATAATCTTGAGCAGTGATTTTTGGGTTCCAAAACAGTGTTTTTTAATCTTCTGTCCATGATGGATAAAATACTTGATCTAAAAATGGCCTCTTGGTGGAAAGGAAGTTCTTAGGCTGTCATAAGCCAAGGCTGAGCAGGGTTTTTTAGCCTTTGTATAAGATGATGGATTAAAAATAGCTGACTTAAACATGACATTGAGAAGAATGTCAAAAAAATGTCCTGAGGTTGTCATAAGGATGGCACAGACTTCAGAAGTGGATTTTTGTTGTTGTTGACACTAAGACACTAAGATCTCCAGCCTCTATTCAAGATAATGGATCAAAATTGCTGCTCTGAATGTGATCTCCTGCCATAAGAATCTAAAAAGGATGTTCTAAGCATGTCATAAGGAGCATATAAGCAGGATCAGAGCTTTTCGGGTACAAAACATTGTTTTTTTACCATCCATGATGGTCAAAACAGTGAATCCAAAAATGGTCTCTCTGTCATAAAGATGTCAGAATGATGTTCTGAGGTTGTCATAAGGATATTATGGTTCTTCAAGGGTTCTTTAGTAAAAAAAAAATGGTTCTATATAGAACCATAAACACTCATCCAACATTTGCATGATTAAAGTGTTTTTTGCATCGTGAAATTGTTCTTCAGAATGTGCTGTAGATGGTTCTATATAGCACCAAAAAGGGTTGTTCTATCGCTACAAGCTTGATATGTTAACAATTTTAGAATCTTTTTTGGTGCTATATAGAACCATTTTAAAAAACGCTCTAGATAGAACCATCTCCAGCACATCCTCCATCAGTCTCAAGAACAATTTCACCATACAAAGAACCATTTAATCATGGGAAAGGTTTACCCCTGAAGAACCATCTTTTTAAAGAATGTAGGCTTGTTTTTTTAGCTTTTGTCCAAGATGATGGACCAAAACAGCTGATCCAAATGTGACGTCCTGTCATAAGAGTGTCATAAAGATGTCCTGAGCTTGTCGTAAGGAGGATATAAGCTGGAGCAGTGCTTTTTTGGGTACAAAACATTGTTTTTCACTCTCTGTCCATCATGGTGAAAACAGTGGATCCAGGAATGGACTCTTGTCATAAAGATGTCAGAAGGATGTTCATAGGCTGCCATAAGGATGGCATAGGCTTGACCAGTGTTTTTAGCCTCTGTCCAAGATGATTGACCAGAAGTGGTCTCCTATCTTAAGGGTGTTAAAGGGATGGTCTGAGGTTGTGATAAGGATGCTATATGCTTCAGCAGTGGAGCGCCCCAAAGAATGATGGCTGCTCCAGTGCTCTCCTGTCATAAGAACGTCATAGGGATGTTCTAAGGCTGTCGTAAGTGGGTTATTGCTCCAGAACGCAGGGTTCTCTGCCTTCTGCCCGCGATGGTCAGAACAGAACAGCTGATCCGGAGATGATCTCGTGTCATGAGGATGTCATAGGCTTTTGCATAAAGCTTTATGGTATTCTGTGCACGCCGAACCCGGAGGCGCGTGCTGGCGCTGTGCGCGGGGCTCGCGCTACATGATGATTTTGCAAAACTGCAGAAGTTCATTGGCATGCCTGAGCTCAGAGTCTCCCCTCTGCGTTTCACTGCCACGGCGCGCGCGCGCGCGTGTGTGTGGAGGCTCCATTTGAATTCCAAACACACACACAAACGCATACACACTCACACTGACGCACTCACACACGCGCACACGCGCGCGCTCGCCCTGGCCACTGCTCGTCCGTCAGCGTTAGCGAAGGGAAACAGCGGCAGGACGAGCCTGACCCGCACGTGAACGCAGAGGCAGATGAAGACCGGACCCTCAGTGACGTTTCCTTTTGGGGGGATGCAGTAGTTCAAGGTGATCCATCCCTCCTCAAGGAGACCGGCTTCACATGGCAACGCCGAGCGGCCACGTGGTCATTTCTGTAAACGATACGCGCTGTCTGCTCTCTGCTGGCACGTGCCGGTCCGCGTCTCTCTCAGTGTACAGTCCTGATGGACGCCCCTCTCTATCCCCCCTCACTGAAGACTCTAATTTAATTCAGCAGAAAAAAAAGCAACAGAGAAGAGGACGTGGAGAAAAGTTGCGTCGCCCCTCGGCGCCCCCTGTCGGCCGCAGGGCGCCACGACTCTGTAATCAGAGGGAAATATGTATGGCTGTGAAATGAAAGATTTATGTGTCCCACTGATTTCCAGCTTTATCATTGCAGCGGCTGATGGAGCAGTTTAATCTCCCAGAGAGCCAGAGGTTCACGTTTCATTTACTAATAAATGAGCTGAAAGTCGCTGCTTTATTCTTTAATAACGGCACTGATGGGTAAACACGGTGGGAAAGAGTCTAATTAAATCATTTTATTATTGCTTTGATAAGGCACGTGCGTTCCTTTCCTCCTTTCTTCCCTCCTGCCAGGTGTTTACATGGCAGGTGTGTGGCAGATGTATTGCTGATCGACAGTCGCTCAATCGTGCCTCGTGATGATATTTTTTATCTGTGATGTTTTTATATTTAATAGATAATGCGCTGCAGTCCTGTGCAAAAGTTCTGGCACCCCCGGTCAAATGATATGTTTTGTCGAACACACGTTTTAATGCATAAATACTGTTTATTTGCTGATGTTTACCTAGGCACTGTTAGAAATAAAGGTTCTGTGCAGGTACACTTCTCGTTCCTTAAGGTACAAACAGTGTAAATGTGCCCTCGATGGTACAACAGTGGTTTTAAGGTCCACTTATGTACCTTAAATATGTTTTTCCAGGTGAAAAGTGCATATTTGTACTTTTAAACTAATGTTTTAAAACAGAACAGTAAAATAAAAAGCCTGGAGACGAGACGGGGTGTGTGGAGTCAGTACGAATCAGAAAATATGATTTCAGTGGATTATGGTACAGTTATGATCCCTGATTAAAGGTACTGAGATGTGCCTGTAAAGGGGCCACCCCAGTGACAAGAGGGGGACTGCCCCAGTGACAGTTTAGGACCTTTTATTCTGAGATTGTGGGAGAAAGCATAATGCAAACACCAAATGTGGCCTGTGCAAAGGTTGTAGCACTTTGCTTTTACAATATATTAAACTCAGCAAAAAATGAAAACTGTGCACTAAAATGTGCAAGACATGCTATATTCAAGCTCTTTGTACAGTCTCAGAAAAAAGGTAGTAAACTGTCACTGGGGCAGGACCCCTCTTGTCACTGGGGTGGTACCCTCAAGGGTACATCTCAGTACCTTTAGTCAGGGAACATAATTGTACCAAAATCCATTGAAATTATATTTTCTAAGCTGTATTGACTCCACACATCCCGTCTATTTTATTTTTGTGTTTTAAAACATTCGGTTATGAAAAGGTTCACCTGGAAAAACTTATTTAGGGTTCACAACTGGACCTTAA